CTAATGGAGTTGCATCATGGAGAATGTGGATCTCACTCAGGTGGACGAAGTCTAGTATTAAGAGCGGTGAGAGCCGGATACTATTGGCCGACGATGTCGAATGACGCGACAAGATTCGCTCGTCAATGTGACAAGTGTCAGAGACATGCTCAAGTGTCGAAACTACCTCCAGAGAATTTGAAAAGCATAAGTTCGTCATGGCCATTCATGAAATGAGGCATGGACATAGTGGGAAAATTACCAACAGCGCCAACAGAAAAGGTGTTTCTCTTGGTAATGACTGATTACTTTTCTAAGTGGGTGGAAGCAGAGGCATTTAGTCAAGTCACAGATAAAAAAGTCAGAGGTTTCATATGGAGAAACATCATATGCAAATTTGGAGTTCCTCAAGAGATTGCCACTGACAATGGCTCTCAATTTACGAGCAACAACTTCAAAAACTACTGTATCACGTGGGAAATAAAGCTTAGCTTCGCGACACCCAGGCACCCACAATCCAACGGACAAGCTGAATCTTCAAACAAAACCATTATACAGATGTTGAAGAAACGGCTTGAAAGCGCAAAAGGCAAGTGGGTAGAAGAGCTCCCTGGCGTGTTGTGGGCTTATCGAACGACATCCAAAATAGCAACTGGGGAAACACCTTATTCTCTTGTGTACGGGATGGAAGCGGTAGTGCCATCTGAAGTCACTGTGAAAACGATACGAACAGAGCATCTACAATACCAAGAAAACGAGGAGCTGATGAAGCTCGACCTCGACCTACTCGATGAGAAAAGGGAAACTGCAAGGATTCAAAACTGGTGCTACCAACAGGACATCGCAAGACGATACAACAAAAACGTGCGAACTAGGACTTTCCAAGTTGGCGAATGGGTACTCAGGCGCGTCTTGAAGTCACTGTGAAAACGATACGAACAGAGCATCTACAATACCAAGAAAACGAGGAGCTGATGAAGCTCGACCTCGACCTACTCGATGAGAAAAGGGAAACTGCAAGGATTCAAAACTGGTGCTACCAACAGGACATCGCAAGACGATACAACAAAAACGTGCGAACTAGGACTTTCCAAGTTGGCGAATGGGTACTCAGGCGCGTCTTTCAAAACACGATGGAACGTGGTGCTGGAAAACTGGGGCCGACTTGGGAAGGTCCCTACAAGATAACATAAGTGCGAGGATCAGGTGCATACAAGCTACAGGATAAGGATGGGAAGAATCAACCTAACAGCTGGAATGCTTTGCACCTCAAAACCTACCAATTCTAGGTTCGTTTGATAATTTGATGTTTTGGCTTTTTCTTTGGTTTTGATTTGGTGTTACTGAGTTTTTAGACGATCCATGTGACGTCGATGCTTTTATCTATTTTTATGTATTTGCTAATGTCTACGGACAAGCTTTCTAATACGAAGTTTTCTACAAATTGATTCTACTATGATGTAACTCGTGTTGTCACTCGTCATAAGGCATAAGAAAGATAAGCGACAGTCGGAACACAGTGACGACCGACCAAAAAAAAGATAAAAAAAAAAAGGGGGCAATGCCTCAGGAATAAATCGACCTTAGACCACATTGCAAAAGGCAAGTGTCATGTCCTTGAACACACCAAGGAACGAACGAAAGTTCTGCACGATAGGAAGGAGAACGCCCTCCTCGAAAGCAGAAAACAGTGACATGCGCATAGCAATATTATTCACGTTTAAAGCTTCTTATACTGAATTTGGTTATATTGCGCACCGTCTGTGTCGATATGGTCAAACACGAGGTACGATATCCTCGAGAGAGCGACAACCAGCAGCCTTGGTTTACTCCATTGGCGCTAAATGTCACCAACAGCCAAGAGCAAAACATCCTCAAATCGAGTAGAGAGACTATTGTCACTCTTAACCTCGAGAATAAGGATATAGCCCAAAGGAAAATAACGTTACGTACGTACACATATAAATAACTGTTGAATATATAAAACACAATTATATAAAAAATCAACAATGGTTAAATACCAAATGATTAAGGCGTTCGATAAGCGACTTAAAATCCAAAAGACAACCACAAAAGTTTAGCTGAGAGCCTACATGGTCACTCGTCAGAGCAACAAACCTTAAACAGAGGAGCTCCAAAAGAAAAGTTTGAAACAATACTAAAAACCAGAGTTCAAGGAAACTGCTAGTAGAAACGATAAACGACAAACGCGAGATCACTGATCACCACCAAGGGGAAGACCACCATAAGTATCACCACCAAGTATCCCACCAGTAGGAGCTTCGTTCTCAAAGTCAGTAAATGTCGCAGAGAAAACGGGTGGTACCTTCCCTTCCGCTTTGGCTTCCGCTGTCAAAACCTCACGATAGGCCTCCTCTGCAGCACGAACGTCCCATGTATGAGCTTGACCCATCTTGAGGTCTCTAACCATTGCCCACTGCCTCTTGATGGCTCCTGCGCTAGCTGCTTTAAGTGCGTTCTTCTCTGAGCGACGAAGGTCAAGTCGTAGCTTGTTCTCTGCGGATTTCAAAGCCGCTATCTGCTGATCATGGTCAGTCTTCAGTGAAAGAATCTCTCCATCTTTCTTAGCCATGTCAGTGTCATATCGCTCCTTCCCTGAGACGAGGTCCGCTTTCGCCTTGGTGAGGATGTTGTTGAGACGCTTGTTATCCTTGGAGACGGCGGCGAGCTCCACCTTCGAAGAATGGCAAGCAGACATCACCTAGATACCAAGAAAAATCAACGTTCAAAGGAGCAACTCGCAAGGGAACGACATACAAAAGTTGTGAAAAAGAATAAATTATAACCTTGAGAAGGTAAACTTGTGACTCGTCAAGGACAGCAGCATGGCCGAGTTTGCCGAAGCTCTCCACATCTCGAGGAAAAGCTTTCTTGTTGAGATCGGCAAGCACATCGGAGTGATCGACATTGGAGAAGAGATCACCGGTGGAAGTTTTTCTCTTTGAGGCACGAGAAGGACGAAGATTGTCAGTCGGTGCAGCAACTTGCTTCGGCAAAGCATTGGAGCTGGGCGGGATCTCTGTGGTTACGATCGTGAGATCGTCCTCCATGTCATCTTCGTAAGCAGCTCGGAACGCAGCTAGGGCACCTCCGCCTGTCGATACATCAAACGCAGACATCCTGTAACCTGCAAAACGTGGTCAATGGCGATAAGGCGCGGTGCGACAGACATGTAATATTGATAAAAGTGATCTCCGAAAAACAGAAGGAATGAAGTTACCCCAAAGAGAACTCTTCTCCAAAGCGAAGCAACTGACTAGGAAACTCACTAAACGCTCCGGCTTAGGACGTACAATTAGCTTGAGTGCACGTTCTTCTCCTTCTTCGCACCTTGGATGACTGAAATCTGCAAAAAGAAAGAACAACATTGTTAAAGATCATGGACAGCGACATAAGATGAAGTACAAGCGGCTATCTACCTCTAAAAAACCAATCAACAGGGAAGTTGGGGTTAAAATTGCTGCTCACTTGTGCAAGCATTTCTTTAAGCTTTTGATTCTCTGTAGTCATTTTCTTCAGCTCATCTTGTAACTTAACCAACTGTGTCATTAACATACAGAAAAAGATTAATATTAATTATTGAATTAGACCGGTTTGAGTCATATTAATTAAGATGCAGTGTATTAATTACATTAAATTAAATTAAATTACCTCATTTTTGGCACGCTTGTCTTCCATTTCTGAAGATTCTCCATCATCGATCACTGATTGATCACTCCCGGTATTAGCCGTGGTCCGAAGATTCAAACCGGTCTATTCAAAAAATAAATTCACAAAATTAAAATTAATAAATGATTTCATAAAATATCAAAATTTCAATCTTAGACATTAATACAAAACATTATGTTACATTTTCAATTATATGATTTATCAAAAAATGTTTGACTCACATTTACGTCGGTTCGGTCATCTTGTTGTTCCTCTTTCTTAACTCGTAATCCGGCGTCGTTGTCAACGTCGTCGTCGCGACAAACCCTAGATTTCATATCGGAGAAAAAATCAACTTCGCCGGGAACTTCACGGTCGTTGTTGTTATCTCCGGCGGCGCCACTCGAGAAATCGTCATCTTCCTGATCATCACGAATACCGGAGAGACTCACCGGAAATCTAAATTCGCTTCCGGCGGCTGTGGACATTTTCGTCTTCTGATCATCGTCGTCGCCAACTCGAGACATGGTCAATGGATTGGAGAAGCGGCGGTGATTGGTGTTGAAACGATTAGGGTTTATGAGATCGAGAGAAGATGAATCAAGAGTGAGACCAGACCATACTCTGTCCATAAATAGAAGAAGAAGATCACGAGATTAACGAAATGAGAAAGATTGTTAGAAAGAGAGAGAGAGAGAAAATGAAAGATTTTTTTTTTGGGGTTTGGTTTGGTTTAGAGAGAGAGAGAGAAAGAGTTTGTGAAGTCTTCTGCCAGAACATAAAACTCTCCTATAAAAAGGGTTTGGGACGTGGACCGCTTTTCATTTTCTTTCGTCACATTTTTTTTCTAATTATGAATTAATGAACTTTGATTTTTTTGTTTCCGGAGACTTTAGAAAACAAAATGGGAGATTTTACGTCAGATCCTGCGTCATGCCTAATCCTGACCCGACCCATAATAGTTTAATAATGTCCATTTTATATTAAATCATTCTAATTTATGCTATAAATACGTTTTTATCGTTTGATATATCATTTACAGTATATTATATATTTTCCGTTTTATACCATTTTACACAAATGATGATTTTATTATTAGACAAACGAACTTACGATAGACAATTCTATTTGCTCCACATAAATGTAGGGAAAAAAATTTACGATGGACTATTCTTCTTATACTAAGCTCATGGAAAACTTAATCTGAAATTACACCGATAAAATTTGAGAATTCTATTTGAGAATTTACGATGACTTTATTTGTGAATTCTTGTACTAGTCGTCATCTTCTTACATCCCAAATTCGCTTAATTCATACTTTCTTCTATAAATCACATCCCAAACTCGGTATTAAAACATTAATAAAAGTTTGAGATCCATTTTTTTCTTTTTTTAAAGGGTCAATACCGAGTCGAGTAGTATGACCCGACATAGTTAGTCGGATTTATTAATTTTTGATGTAAAAATCACGAGAAAAGAAAAGGGTTATGTGGCGCAATGGTCTTCATACTTTAAATTCATCAAGAAAGAGCATTGACTAGTTCGCTTCTCTCCGATCAAATGGACGAAAAGTTTGATCCACCGCCCCGTTTACTGCGGCGCGTTCCACGTGATTCTCTCTTTTTCTTTTGTTCTTCTTTATTAAAAACTTGGAAACAAAAAGAAAGAAAGAGAAAAGATGGTTAACTAAGTCAACGATTTTGACGGCCAGGCTTGTTATAGTCTGATCGGAGACCGGGTGCGCCGGTCGTTAGGTCTTACTTCCGCGGGCGGCTGGGTCCCACCCATGTTATAGACATGGACCCTAACGTTTTTAAGAAATGTTAATCTTGACCCATTTTCTTTCGTTGATTTGTTATAATTTCTAACAAAAAAAGTACGCCTCTAGTATCTTATTATGTAGAAATTATACCTCGTTCTTTAAGTTCATATTCGATTATCTTATGTTTGTTGCTTAACACCGACTTGTTTTTGTTAATCATGGTTACCACATGTGATATGAAAACTTCCTGTACTTCGCTGAAAAGTACAACAAAATCCTTGATCTATCATACAAAAGAGTTGACAAAAAAAAACATAATACAAAAGAAATTCAAGTACGTACACACATTCTTCTTTTTGTTTTGTATTCTGTTACTCCAACCTGATTATTTAGAGTAATAATATGTGTTTTAGGTTTATATAACCAAAAGAAAAATAAATTGGTAACAATATATAAGCTTGTCTTTGTTGGGCTATCACTTCTTTCATGGAAATTAGTAAACAGATTATATAATCATTTATCTTTGATTTATAAATTTGGTGTAATTCAATATACTTTGTGTGTGTGGAAATATAAATCGATCGATATGTTAAGTTAAATTTAAAAGAAACAACAATAACTAGATGGTGAAGAAACGTGTCACAGTATCTGACATGACGTTTTAATTTAAAATTTTGAGAGGATAATCAAAACTAAATTTATTAGAGTCCACACACGAAGAAACAAGAAAGACAAGAAAGATCTTGTTTTTTTTTTTTTTTTTAGTTTTAATTTAAGGGCTCCACGTATTGACAAAAGAGATGTGATATAGATCTGGAGTTTTGGCAAGCATGTTGACTGTCTACCGGAACGACCGAGTCATTAGGTTGACTTTTTTGCATTTTTATTCTCTCTCATAATCACATTAAAATAAATAAAATCCTTTTATTTTCTTCTGACCTTTTTTGGCACTTTTTCTCCGCCCCTCGTGTTAATATTACCTGTAATGTAGGGAAACTAATTTAGTATTTTTTTGAAAAAAATTTGAGCTCACGGTTTCTCACGATGCCTTTTCTATTTTGTTTTCTATGTAAGAAAATTCATTTGCATCTCACAGCAAACACAATCAACACAATCAAGTTTTTTTGGGTCTAAATATACCATTTTATAAGTTTCAAGATACAGCTGTTATCATGAATTTTGGGTTCATATTGATCGAATTATTACTATGATCTGGATCAATTAATAAGCCGCAAATCTACTTTGGTTTAGTAATGTAGGTCAATTATTTCTTCAGTTACAAGTTTGTTTGTTATTCATTTTATTTTTAAAAGGTTTCTTCATCATCGAGAACTCTTTTAATCAGTTTTTTCAAAGTCTACAGTACTTGCCGTAGTTAAAACTTTATTATTAAACCTTAATCACCAATTCTGCGCTGATTAATTTCAAGCCACGATTTAATTTGTAGGATTATTTACATTAAAAGAAAATCAGTTCACATTTAAGATGGAGGAAGGAGCCAAGAAACCGTGTAAGATGTCAAAGCGGGTCCCACCTGAAATAACATTGTCAGCTTAAAAGCTTAGTCCTTAACTCCTTATTAAGATAATCTTAAGGAAAATAAAACAAAACGACTTGAAAGAAAAGAAGAAGAAAATCTGCAGAGCTGTCTGAGATTTGCGTTGACCAATATGATATTATCCCACGTGGCCGAGTTCGCATGACGTAGAAATCTTGTGGACAATAGTTTTGGGTTTACATGTAATTTATCTGACTATTAATTGATGCTTTTCACACTTAGTTTTGTTCTGTACTTTTCTTCTCTTCAGTTCTGTACTTTATTTTTGGGTTAAGTTCTGTACTTTTTTTTTGCTTAAATTTTTATATAAATATAGCTGAGACTGAGAGACATCTTCAACTTACGACTTACATGGGATTCTTCTCCAATTGGAATGATGGTTATATTTATTCAAATCCAGATAAAAATTTAGGAACAGAAATATGTATTACTTTGGATTTCTGATACCACACGAGACATAATGAGTTTTTCGATCTCAAATAAATTGATAACTAGTGAATTCATATCATAGATATTACTTTATGTTTTCAATTCATATGTGTAAATAAAATTTAATAGGTAAATTTTAGAATTAGCTAATAGTGTTATTTGCCTTTAAATACTCATTTTTAGACTTAGAATTAAACTAGTGATCTTAATTGACCTAGTAACTTGTTACAAAAACAGAGATTGTGAACTTTTCATCAAAGATATGTTCATCTAATATTTGATCAGCCGGCGGTAATAAGAAATGATATAATATGTATGCCGGCGGCGAATTTCTATCCAACTAGAAACCACCATCTTTTAGAACACTGAATATCGAATATGAACAATTTACTTGACTGGGTACTGGTTTAGAAAAAAAAGGTCAACAATAGAAGAAGAAACGAAGAAACCTTGTGCTTTGTGTCTTGTTTTGTTTTTCAAAGTTTTAGTATTTATCGAATAAGAGAAAATAGTGAAAACTTCCAAAATGCTCCTTTCTTGTTCTTATTGATGCATTTTTGGTCATTTACTACTATAGTGGTTGTTATTCTATCATTTCGATTTCACACAAGAGTTGGCACTCATATTAATTTTTGGGTAAACGCAAAGGATTTAACCAACGAACCAATCAATTACGGTCTTTCTTGTTGATACTCTACATCGATGTTTGAGGGCATTAAGTCATTGGATATCAAGACTTTTATAGTAGAAGATAAAAGAGTGGATAAGTCCAAAAGAGGTCTATCTCTAAGACTTGTAGAGGGCAATGAGGACAACAAAAAAAATCAACGACGGAAGAAGAAGGTAACATAGATGATAACACTTTCTTATCAATATAACTTTGACTAACTTAGACCTCGTGATTGAAACTGAACGAGATAAGTGTCTTCGTTTTGGCCAATAATATTCTTTTTGCATAATATTGAAATTTCCCCACCTTAATTTTACTCTAGACATTGCATATCTTTCTAGAAACGAGAATCATATGATTAATGGCTGGATATTTCCTGAAAATTCTAAATAAACTTATAGAAAAATTCTAAATAACAAAAAATTGCGGATTTAATTGAAGTTTGGATCGGAATTTTTTTGAGCCAGGGACAAAAGTATATACTTATCTATTGTCCTGATAAATACTATATTCATCTAGACCAATGTATCCTCTCTTATGTAAATGAAATTAATTTCTGAATAGTAGTTTTAACTTTTCTTTTTATTAAAGATTTAACATACTTATTTATTTTGAGTTAGAATTTATTTGCTCGTTTCTCGAAAGTCATAATCAATTTCAAAGCCATCAGAACATCAACGAGAGAAAAAAACATTGGTTGGTTTGACGAATAGAATCATTGGCCCCGTACTATGTCTGCCATCTTTCTGCCGAAGTTTGTTTGAAAAGAGATAAAAAAACAAAAAAAAAAAAAAAAAAAAGATAAAAGAATAAATTTAAATTTCTTTTGAGGACAACCAAAGTGAACATAAAAGGATTTGGTCTGCCATTTACGACAGTCTCTTGTGACTGCAATTTGCGCAAATGGGCAAAGATTCTTGTCTTCATGTTGAAGAATAGAAGCCAATCTTTTCTTTTATATATACATTTTCACATATAAAAAAAAGGAGAATAAAACGAAGATAGTATACAACCACAATGGCCTTTATTTCCGATTACAAAACTTTGTTCTATAATCCAATACTAGTTTTTTGTTCACCAGATGTTTGAAACCAAGTACTTTATATATTAATGTGAGTTTTATATGGCGATTAGAAATCATAATATTTATATATCTCATGACTCTTGATCGATAAATAATTAAATATAAGCAAAAGTGTTATAGTTAAAGTTTTTACCCAAGAGAATAGATGTAACACTTTTTTTTTCTTACTATACATAGCGTGCGTGAATTATTAATAACAAATTATATATATCATGACCCATTTTTTGTCTTTTCTTTGTAACCTTTATTCCTGATCTCACCAAACATTGCAAGACCCTATTTGGGTAATTAATTAATTAGCATGTGCTTCATAAGAAACCTTTCTCACAATAGTCCAAGTATGCATGAACCAACGCAATTTCATCAGAACCTAGGGCTGTTTTCACGTAAATGATAAGAGTCAATAATAACAGACAATACCTTAAGCTACACCTTTTTGATTATTTTCTTATTCGTTATGCTCTAAAAGGATAGGCCAATGCATTATCATATTCATATTACTATATATGTACGGACGCTTATACCACTGTCCTAAGACGTAACCCTATTCGCTAGACTCATTAAGTCATTATGCAAGATCGCATATCATTATCAAGAAAAGTACATAGAACCATCGAACGATTCCCCCAAAACATCTGTATTATAATTTCTCATTGAGAAGCTCATGAGTTTTAGTATGAGGAATTGAGGATACATATAAAAGAAGAAAAAAAACCCATGAAGGCTTCTGTACTAAACTATCTCTGTATCCTTTCCACTTTGTATATTCTCTAAGTTAAAACTCTTTCCGGTGTCAGATTTGCTTTCTTCTTTCTTAGTTTTCTAACTTAAAACCTTTGTGCTCTATCTTTTTGGCATTCAAGTTGTTGTATCTGTTGATGAATCTACTAATCCTTCACTCAATAGACGCATTGCGGCTCCTCTAGTGAACTTCCTCGCAAAGAGAAAGCAAGGGACGGGTTTCGAATCCGCTCGGCACCATTCTGTTCGATACTCCGTTTCGTAGTACACATGGTTGATTCTCTGTTACCGAAGATAACAGAACACAAACACACACACAGAAACAAATTGATCAGCTCAAAATGCGCAATAGGCGGTGTATGGTGAACAACCAACACAATTTGTACCTTGATTTCTTGAATTTCCTCTGGTCCTGAGTTTTCAGAAGTGAACGTGAGAGGATGCCAAGCAGCTTTTTTAGCTGATAGGTTCCATGTAGTGTATGTCACTGTCCTCCGTTCCATTTCACTTTCCAAGCCGCGCATCTGAAAGAGATCAAGATTGGGATACAAAGTACTGAATCAGAGGTCTAAAAGGAGAAATGAGAGATTTTGATAATTTGTTTGTGCTTACTGTAAGCAGAGTTTGCACGTAGTGTTCATCAGGGATGCAATTGTGACGTCTATGTTTCTGTTTCGCCATTCACAACAACGTAATATGTTATAACACACATAATCAAGATCAAGCAGAATACTTTCTCATTGTTTATTGCTATGAACAGCTACAGATTGTTTATGGATTCAAAAACAGCTATATAAGCCAATCAAAGTGATCTAGGAGGAGTAAAAAATCAAGATACTTACAAGATAAAGCCATTTCTTTCTGGGAGCCAGAGGCAGAGATCGCTGGAAAAGAAAAGAAACAAAACAACTAATCCGTAAAACATCACAAATGAAACTTTGTGGTTTCGAATATAGCTCACAAGCATTCATGAAACCGAGAAGTTACAAAAAATGAAGCAAACCAAAAGCTTGACCTCTACCTTGCAAAATTTCTGAAAAACTGGGAACACAGTATCATCATTAACAATGACCTCTGCATGGCTTCTGATCAATGATATCCACTGCAATAAAGCAACAACTAAGAATGATTCAAAAATATGCAATACAAACTCTTCACACTCTGTGTTCAAGGTGCTTTCAAAAGTTCATTTCAAACGCTAAACAGGAAGTTTCTTTCTCCAGAGATCAGTATGGTTAATAAGATACCTGAGATCCTTTTCGCCATTTCTCTTTCGGTATGACAGGAAACATTTTCATGGTGTAGCGCTTATCTTTAGTATCAAGGAAACTGCAAATCAGAAAGATCACTCCTCTCATACTACAATAATCAGCTGGGGAAATTCTATCTACTGTTCTTCATAATGAATCCGAATATCAAAAAAATTTACCTGTCTACAAAACTTTTTGGTGAAGTCATTAGATATCTGTATATGTAACCAAAGTCGTATAACGGAACACAGCTGCATCACAAAGAGTGAAAGGCAAAGGAAATTGAGTGGCTTCAATTGCAAATCAAAATCATTCAATCATTCAAATGCTTAAAGAAGCCAACCTGTCAGATAAAAGAACAAATCTTTGATTCGAAGGATCCTCTAAAGCAGACGCAAGCAACAATCTCTCTGCTGCAATCATGCTTGATTCTCCCCAAACTACCTGCAAAGTGAGAAGTGATTCAATATCCTCAGAACAAGCATAATTGAGATCAATCAAAATGGTTCTGAATCAATCACAAATCCAGGAAAATAAGAAATTTGCTCCTTTAACAACAACAAATGCATCAAACGAAAACTCACCTCTATGCTATTCTTCAATTGGCGATTGTGAAAGAACTGCGATCGGGTGGTGGAGTCATCGAATACGAAACCAGGAACTGAATGTACATGAATTGAGAAATCCCTCTGATCTGCATTCTGTCAAATTACAAGTGAGAATAAGCGATTTTCCGAATTCAAAATCGGAAATGAATGATCAGCGAAGTCGTTTCGCGAGTTTCAAACCTTGAAGAATCTATCCCACAGAAAATCGAGAGGCAGATCACGTCGAGCGAGGAAAAGGAACGCGATCTTCGGGCGGTCGCCGGAGTATTTACGGAGCGGGATACGAGATCTCGCGACGGAGAGAGACGACAGTGTCGCAGTTGGACGAGACTGACGGTGGATAGTAAGGAGAGCGAGGAGGCATAACGCGGCGGAGATAGCAGTGATTAGCTTCCATCGAAACCACACGACGCCGCGACGAGACGCCGGAAGCTGCAGGTGCGCTCTCCGGGACATAGTAACTCGAAAACAAAATCGAGATTACTCACCTCCGGCGAACCATCAGCATCCGAATTTCGAAATCTCTCTCTAGGGATTTTGTGAAATCGAGATTTCAGGAGAAATCTGAAATCAAAAATGGAAGAATTTTGGAATGTAGCAGCGATGATAGTGTCGAGAGAAAGCTTGGAAGGCTAGTCACCAAAGGTGAGACGATGAAGCTCCGGAAAACGACACCGTGTCGTTGTCCACGTGTGAGCTTTTTATGGGACCCGTGAAGAACTACAATCGACGTTTTGATTTTTTTTATTGGTTAAATAAAAAAGTTTTGTGCAAAACAACCCTCAAACTAAATTCATTTTGCAAATCAAACCCTCAATTTAAAGTTGTGCAAATCAAACCTCTGAAGTCAAAATAACCCCGCAATATAAGACATCTCTATATTTGTGACAAAATTTAAAATGATTTTATGCAAAACAACTCGCGAACTATTTTTTGTGTGCAAATCTAACCTTCAACTTAAAAAATATGCAAGTCAAACCTGCAAAGTCGAAAGTCACTGCTAAAATGAACTTATATGTATTTGTCCATAACTACAAACGTCATGACATTTATAATATTTTAACAATTTTTATTAAAAATACTTAAAACAATAATTCAATATTTCTTCTTTTTTTCTCCATCAATAAGGAGAGGGTTAGGATTTTTAACCAAATCCAAAAAAACTAAACCGTAGCCAATCCAGAAAATCAAAACCGAACCAACTTACTCACAATATAGTTACTTGGAAGATCTGAAGTCCTATGTCTTTATGAGCCTCTCTCGAATAATTCTATTGCAAGTAAATTAGTTCTTATCTTTGTCTCTTCGTCGTCATTAGTTAATGAGATCATGAAGAAAAGAATCAACTTATTCGCGATAAGATTACTCGAGATAAATTTATTAATAAGAGGAGAAAGAGAAAGGAAATTAAAGATTAAAGTTTTTTGTTTTTGTTTTTTTTTAATTTACTTTTAATAAAAATGGTTAAAATATTATTAATGTCATGACGTTTTGAGTCAACGTTTGTAGTTAAGGACAAATACATATAAGTCCATTTTAGCAGTGACTTTCGATTTTGCAGGTTTGACTTGCATATTTTTAAGTTGAGGGTTAGATTTGCACATAAAAAATAGTTTGCGGGTTGTTTTGCATAAAATCATTTTAAATTTGTCACAAATATAGAGATGTCTTATATTGCGGGGTTATTTTGACTTCAGAGGTTTGATTTGCACAACTTTAAATTGAGGGTTTGATTTGCAAAATGAATTTAGTTTGAGGGTTGTTTTGCACAAAACCCAGTAAAAAACATTGAAAAGACAATCAAAAAAGTCATTAAATTGTTTTTCCTAAGGATTAGAGAGGTGTGATTATTTTTGATACGTTTCTTCTTGCAGCAAATGCGGCAACCACATTTGTTTAGGTGTGTTTCATCGCAACACACTAATTTCATTTTCTTTATTCTTTCGTATTGAAAAAAAAGGTGATATACATGATTTTTCGATAATATTTATTTTACTTTCTGTTTCGTGTATAGGAAGTTTTGATTCGCTTGGGTTGATTGATACGCAATTATGAGTATATTTTTTAAAATAAACAACTTTGGAATCTTGAATGATTTGAAGATTTTCTGAATATCTATCACGAGAAAAATATGGGATATTGAACAAAAATCGGATATCACTAAATTTTAATTGGAGGCTAATCATAGAAGTAAAATGGAAATAGTAAAATTTGATTCTAAGGGTCTTTTAGTCACTTATCATGGGTACACAAAAACCCTTTCTCTAACTCTATATATATATTAGAAACCTAGTTGCTTATTTTCTTCTCATTTGATAATCTTTTGTAGCAGTAAAGAAAGTTGTTAAAATATGTATTTTCAGTGGAACTGAGAGAGAGAAAAGAAGAAGATGCATATCAACAAAAAGGTTAATATCTCTCCCTTTTTATACATGTTTTTCTTTTTATTGGGATGATTTCATATAGATTTGAAACATACTGATCAGAAAATTTAAGAGCTGTTTCTTTTACAAAAAAAAAAATTTAAGAGCTGTTTGATTCATCTTGAGTTTTTTTTTTCTATGTAGTTCTATGTATGTGTATAGAAAAGTTGGATTTTGCTAGAGATGGAATTAATTTGTAGTGTCAATAAGAGATTTTTTTTAATCATAAAATAATGTGTTTCTTCTCACAAAAGTATATTATGAATATGCTTGATTAACCAGTCTTAAGATCTAAGAGATGGTTTAGTATTGTAGATCATTAGTATTATGTTTAAAGTGTTTTCAATGAGTATTTTTCTTAACAACTATAAAATTTTACGCCGAAAACTCGTCTGAGAAAATCAGTGTATGTAATATTGGTTCCGTCTCAAACCGCACTTGATTTTGTAATTTCTAAGCTTTACTTACAATGAGTTTTTCATGATTTGAATGGTACGTAGTTTTTCACAGTTTCTTTATATATTTTATCATTAAGGTTTAAGGTTTACAGTTTAGGGTGCTATAACTAGCTTGTCATATTTAATCTAATAAAACTAACTTTTCAGCATTTCATTATTTTTGATGAAAAATTTGTTCAGTTCAGTTTGTCTAGCTTATAATTTATAGTTACAAATACCGATAACTGTTTATCTGACATATGCCCCAATAGAGAACAGATAAAAAGGGTGAGAAACTCGAAGACTCTTGTGTGAGAGTCCTGCCCTTTGCCTGCAAATTCTGGTATTACACTATTTTGAAAATTCTTAATATGAATATAATTGAAGATGATGGTACCCAAAATGATTAAAATCTTCCCTTTTTATGGTTAATTGAGTTATCGTCTAAATGAGCATGTGTCAACCTTTGGTAGTTTGATATCCGATCGAGTAATGTAATGTTACATAGATGTTTTCCTTACTATGGATGTATTATGTGTATGTGAATGTGAGTAATGTTTTTTTAGTGGTATAGCTAGGTCAGACCCTACTAATCCGAACCAAACTTTAAGAGTGGAAGAGGTCACACGCACAACTTTATTTGGAGTCAATGGCAGTTTCAAAAAATAAAAAACTTTATTGGGAGTATGAAAAAGAGATATGTGAGTCATGTTATGATGTTAATCTTCTTTTTTTGGAATATTAACGATAAATCTTAAATAACCATGTGGTTTTTTTCTTTGTTTCTGTTCTACAGAATCCTAAGACACAGCTTAATGGGTACAACAAAGCAGCTTATATAGCTAGCTATGTACAACAGTACACCGAGAAATGACACTCGCAAGCATGAGTCTTCAACTACTGGAGCATCGGTTTGGTCTCTTCTGATAATGTCTCATGTTCTTTGAGAGCTTCCTCGATCGCATAGATTACCATCTTCTTTATCTGTTACACGAGAAAAACAAAACAAACAGAAAAGCATAAAATGGTCAGCCAAGTGAAAAGAATTATATTAACCGAGAAGTCTGGAATGCTTGAGATTTAAATTCTATCAAGATAATCACCAATAATGACCAATTGTATCATTGAAATGTATAAATATTTTGCAAGAGAATATGTTTTTTAAGTTTTATTTTATTTTATTTTCCTGTTAATTATAGATAGTAACATTATCTCTTCCTGTTTAAGGAAGTATTTGTTTTGCTTTAGCTACGCGACAAATCTTTGTGCTTTTTGAAAGATTGTTCATTTAAATCTAAACCAGATATGTAGTCTAGTTGTTTGCACCAGGGCTATCGTTATTCATCATGTCTTTTGATTCATGTGCCTCTAACCCAATGGTGAAGGTACGTTGAGTTCAGGGGACAGGCAGTTACCCACCATAAATTTTTAAACTAGTCTAAAATTTTAGAAAAGTACGTATATTAAATTAATTTCTAGATTCGCCACTGCAGGTATCATCCGCCAAGCCGCCGGGACCAAATCTCTCTGACATCTAACTATTTCTTCACCATTTTTTCCGCCGATTGAAATCATGTTGAGGAAACATATATTTGAATCCACAATATTAACATCATCCAAGCCAGATCAATTTATCGATGTTTTCGGCTAATTGAGACCATATTGAGATGGAGATAGGTATTTAAATCGAAGATGTTGGTATCATCCAGGATATAAGATCAATAAAAAGTTAGATTTTGTCACTTATAGGATCATTATTTACAACGTTGGTAAAACTCCAACGTCGATTACAAAAAAATAAGGACCACCCAAAGGCGTTACACTTCAGAAAAAGTAAAGTAGGCAAACATATAACAGAAACGAGAATTTCTTTCCACAAATGGATAAGTTAATGGGGGTATTGAACTTGAAGGCTCTTCCAATATCACACATTGTTGTAGCCAATTTATTGACCCTAGAGAACATGGCAAGAAATCGGATTCGCTTGCGCGTACCGGATAACCCACCATGTTACAATGCTTCATCCGGATATTGCAGGTTTGACGATGCCCGATGGCAACATGACCACCAACTATTCCGCAAAATTGTAGAAGGATCCACTAAACCTACAGCTGGAATCTTCATTCGGTTGTGACAATGGTCTTCTGCATCCAACACTCGGATCTCATCGCAACCCGATGTTTTTATGGAAGGGCCTCAAGTGCAGAGACATACCATCTCTGCAACCCGAGCCCTGTCCTACTCTTTGTTGTAGAGAAATATAGGGGTGCTCAATCAGGATCTCGACTAAAATCAGGATTTAATCCGATTCGGGAATCGGATTGAACACTCCCAGCTTAACATGAAACTTGAACCAATGTCCTTGGGATTTCTTTTTGAGGTCCATTACAATAAAGCCAATACAGTGCTATATTTTGAACTAAGACCTCATTTGTTTTAAGTTTATGTGTGAGTTTTTGTTTTGAAAAACAAAGCCAAACTTCAAAAAGAAATTGAACTTTTTAAAAACGAAAACTTATTTTTATTAAAATAGTTTTGTAAGATATAAAAATACCAAAAAAAAAACGAAAATTTGAATTAAAAAAAAAAATTTGCTTAAGATGTTGAGTGAGTGGGAAAACTACACATAAAGTTTTGGTACAAACACAAACGGAACGGCAAACAAACAAAGAAAACCTAAACATAATTAGGTTATCGAATATTTGGTCTTGGGCTGATTGCATTCTGGGCTTGGAAAAAGTATTAGCCTAACTAAGACCGATACTACTAATCCGTTCAGTTTTTATGGGAAAAAAATAAACAAATCCGGATCAAAAGATAATTTTGATCCGGTAAAAATCAGGTTGGTTAGTTTTGGTTTGGTAAAAAATCAAATGCACATCAACCATACACGCAATAAGCTCACACAAAACAAGAAAAGAGAGAAGAAAACAAAGACTAACCTCAAGTTTGTCCTCTCTGGCCTTATGGTTCTTAGGAAGTTGGCGAAACTCTTCAGTCAGACGCAGACACTCATTGATGTTCTCCGGAGACACAAAATCAACCGCCACTTTTGTACATGACTGTCCCCAAAAATTTCCAAATCATAAAACATCAAGTTTTTTCATCAGATTTTCAACCACCAAAGCAAAACTGTATATATGAGAGTAAACAAAGTTTAAAAGCAGAAGAAGAAACCTTTAGATTCCGGACTTGATGAGGACATCCCGCAGGAATAAACACAGCTTCTCCTAGCTTTTGCACAAATGTCCACGGCTCAATCCCTATGAAAACATATAAATTGGTCAAATTATAATATATAGTTTTTGTTATATACATATAGTTGTGGTCAGTTACATTACATACCAAATTCCGCCTTGAGTTTTCTCTTGTGCTCTACGGTTAAATAGCATGATTGGTCATGAATTGGATGATAAAGCTGCACACACACACACACACACAAAATCTGTCAGTGCCAAGAAAGTAAATTCGTCAAAACGTTGTTGGAGGTAAGAATTGTTTATTTACCTTTGTGACTTTACAACAATAAGTGTGCCTAAACTCACTGCAATGCTTTCTTAGATACTCTTCTAACTTGGGAACGTCTTCTCTCCTAAATATGTCCCAAAGAGCACTTCCCGTTTCTTCACGGCTCTGCTCATTTCCATTGCTTAGAACCTCTGGCATGTTCAACTCTTCTTCCTCTTGGCTAACGCTATCTTCACCGCCCTGTTCTTCTTCAAGCTTGTTCTGTTCTCTGTGTCTCTGTTTTATATCTTTGACTGCAGATATCTGTTCTTGACTCAACGTTACTTCAGCAGTATGCGTCAGAAGATTCACCTACAAAATATATTAAAATCCAAAGTTGTGAGTCTTTGAAACCATTAAAACACAAAAAACCAAGAAACGTGGTTTTTTATATCTTTATTCTTTTACCGCGTCTGACATATCACAGTGAAGCTTAGTCACGGAATCGCCTCTACCGAGCTCATCTTGAACCCCATAGGCAATATAAGTCTTCGGACCCAAATCCGGTTTGATAAGTGTTTCAGGGAGCTTTGCTGCAATGTTGAGAATCCCGGTTCTCGGATCGCTGTATTCTTGGAAAGGCAACGCAGAGATAAACTCGTCGCAGTGACGAGGCAACAGATCTTCAAACTTATCAGAAGGAGGCCAGTCTTTAAGCTTCAACATCTGAGGCCAAAAGTTCTCATACGTTCTTCCTTTGGTATAACCTTCAAAGAAGTGACGAGTGTTGATCTCCACCTCACAGTTGGCTAAACAATCAATCGCTTTAACAACTTGTGACATCTTGGAGCCACTCGCTGCCGCTGCTGTTGATGAGTCCACGTTTTCGCATAGAGCTCGCCACATAACCATCGGCTCCCAGCTTAAACCAGGTGTGGTTTCAAGAGCGTTTCTGACGATCACCGGCTCACCTTTTGACCAGTGTTCTTGAAAATGAAGAAGCTCTTCTTTCTTCAAGACGTCGAGAGATGCAGGACAGAAGAGGTAGTTGTCGTTGGATCCTGTCCTCGAAGCTACTTTTCTCTTCTTGTCAGGCTCCATGGAGTCAGAAGAGCAGCTACAGTTTGACACTCTAGGGCTCTTATCGTAAGAAGCCAAGAAAGTCTCTGCCTTTTGCTCCAAATCTGCCATCCTCGTCACCGGTATGATCCGTTTAAGCTCCAAGATACAATCACCACCACAACCACCGAGCTCTTCTGGTGGACAAGTTATGCTTCCATTAGAATTGGCTTCCCAGGATAATGGTTTAGCTTCTTCTTCTTCCTCGTCGTCGTCAAGAGCAAGAAAGTCCACGTTGTAACCATGCATGTATCTGTATCCTTTATCAACATACTGAAACTTAATCTCAGGGTGTTGTGAGAAAGTCCCTTCACGAAGCTCTTGACAGCATCTCAAACAAAGCTCGTAAGAGCACTTTGAGCAGCTTCGATGCAAGTCAACGATTGAAGTCTCACAGTGATTACTGCAACCACACAGATTGATTTCAGTAAGATGTGGATTCAAAATCTCCTAAATCTAATGAACTTTTAAGAGTGTGCTTACCAGTAAACACGTTCGTCACTGTAGCTTATAGCTTGAGTAACTTCAACTTCAGAAGGCAATAATCCTACAGAAAACAGAATCATATGTTTAGCAGAAAGCAACAGAGAACATATCTTAGTATAGCGGAAGATTTCATCATATACCTTGAATCTTTGCCTCAGTTTCAATCTCTTGACTCTGTGATTCGGAGAACTTATTCAGAAACGGAAGCATCAACGCAATCAAGTACTGGAGTTGGTCGCGTCTTTCAGCATTCGCGAGCTCTCTCTTCGATGTCTGTATTAAACCGTTCAAATGCAAGCATCTGCTGCAGTTACAGTTTTTGCAGCAGAAAGGACATTTCTCAACGACATCATCCTCAGATAGATTTGGATACCTAACAACAAAACCACAAACAGAGACTAAGAATACATTTCTTGATATAAAGCAAAGTCAAGACAAAGAAACTAACCATTTCTTGATACACTGAACACAATACATAGTCTCTTCACATTCACTGCAAATGATGAGAATTACATTTTCCCTTTTCAAGCACTGATGGCAAAACGCACGACGCTTCTTAGACTCCTGCCAAGAACATGAACATGAGTTACTTTAAAGAGAGAGGAAACGTCACATTTAAAGTTCTTGCCAAGACTTTATGTAACAAAAAACGTTACCTTTGAAGTAGTTTTCATGCTCGTGCAGTCATTGGTTTTCAGAAGAGAATCAGAGACTTCTGAAGCCGAAGAATGCGAGCGAGAACAACTAACAACATCCGTGACGTTTTCTGGACTCTTGGAGCCTCTCTCAGAGCGTCTTCTTCGAGAAGATGTTGTTGCCTTGGTCTTAGACTTCTTCAGCTCAGATTCTTCATCCCATTCCTCATCATCAAGTATCACTTTGCGTCGTCTCACTCTCTTTTTACTTGTACTGGCGACTTCAGAGCTCTTATTCTCATCTTCAAAACGTTCCGCTCTCACAAAGCAACACATTGCCGTTACCCTCTCAGGTTTAACCTCAGCAGCTTCTTTGGCTTTCTTCTTCTCACTAATCCAATGACTCAATGTACAGTCATCCTCATCTTCTTCTTCTTTCTTATCATCTCTCGACTCCTCCTCCAATGTCTTCATCCTCTTCGGATTCCTATCAACAGATGAGTCTTCGTTATCATCATCAGCTCTCGGTTGCTTCTTCCTTCTCCTAGAATAGACATTCAACATCACAGGCCGAGACTTCGCGACGCTCTCTTCTTCCTCTTCCTTACGAGCACTGGTCAAAGCTTCTGGCGACGTAACTCGTTTCATCAGAGATCTCTTCTTCTTACTTCTCCACGAGTACCCAAAATAGAGTAAGGAACTCTTCTCCATATCTGAAACTAGAGAGCTCATTCTTCAGCTGCAAAAAAAAATTCAGAAATTTGAAATCTATTAAAACCCAAAACCATAGCAGAAGAACATCAAATCTGAAAAATTCTTCATCAGCATTGGGGGGAAAAAAATCAGGAATCAGATTTTTTTTAACCCAAATTAGTATCGGAGATACGAAATTGTGTTTGAGATTGAGCTCAGAGAAGAGGAATTTCGAGTTTCTGAGTTCAAAATCAGAAGTGGAATCAATCGGAATGAAAAACAGAGAGATCTATCGATTCGAATGAGAGCAGGTAAAAACCCAGAACAACATTGTAAAAAATCGATCGATTTTAAACATTCAACGAAGATTCGCGACGAGAATTGGAATCGGAAAGAGGAATTTCAAAGCAAATTTTACCTTTGGGATGAAACAAAACACCAGAACCCAGCTCTCTCTCGCTCTGAGATTTTTGAAACGTTTGTGATTCTTCTGGGGAAAACGATGTAGAACCCTAGATTCCGGCGAGAAAATCAGTTGACAAGATTTAACAATTTCAGAGAAAACTCAGGATTCTGAAAATCTGCTATTTAGCTAATAAAAAAGAAAATTTCTTAATTTGTTTTTCATGGAAATTTCCCAGAAGGAAAAATAAAATTTCTTACTGGGCGCAAAAAGAAAGGTATCAAATTATCAATCTGCTCATGATCTCACCGTTGAAGATTACACCTACTCTAATCCTAGGGCATACGTGATTGTACGTAGAGCGCAAGGTACTGAAAAATGACGCGTGGCATCTGATTAGTTACTCACCGATTCGGTCGCGTCACACTGTCGGAACGGGATTAATAAACTTTAGCTTTTTTTTTTTGTTAATCGTATTTCTTATGTTTCATTTTTTTTCACAAATTAAAAAAAAAAATTCTTTAATTTAAATTTTCAAATTAAAACTATAAATTAAGGAATAATATAACATATAGAATTTATATTTTCAAAATGTAAAACAGAGAGAATAATTCATGAATTGATAACAAATATTGTAATACTTGACATAAAAGAAATAAATAAATAAAAAGGAAAGAAATCAGTCATAAGTTCAAACTTCACATAAACTACTTTGTTGACTAGAAAAGTACTCTTGGGGTAATGTTTTTCTTACCAGGATAAGACAAAATGAAATACGTGACTCACCTCAGATGTCAGATTTGCTTTACTTTAGGAGTAATACTTGTTTTATCCAACAACAAACAGAAAGAAAAAAATCATTTCCGATTTACTTCTTCTTTAAGTCAATGGTTTTTAGTCATTCTGGATTTGTATGCATTTAAAGAGAGACATCTTGACTTTTGTTATTCATGATTACGTAGTTATCGTTTTATTGTTTCTAGATTTTCTTTTTTATCTTCATTTATATTCCTGATTTGATCATTCATTCGAATCCAAGATCTTCTGATATTCAATACTAGTAGATTTGAAATTATGGCACTGCATGTTGACATATATATTTGATTGACAGCATATATAATTTATTTATTATAAATAGAAGAAAAGTATAAATAGAACAAAACAACGACGTTTTGTGATTTTGGATCAACTGAGTTTTTGTTTACTCTTTATGTTTTACCTCCAATTGATAGACTTTTAAGTTTTAAATAACATTTCAAATTTTTGTTACATATATTTGTTTCGATGAAACAACAGTATACTTGATATTTTTTTATGAGTACGGTTTTCTTATAATCATGATGGGTCTCACTGAATACTGCCCTAAAACACAGTCTTGACTCTTGACCAAACCAAAGATAAGTCAGTCAGTCACTACATGCTTATGCTTACGTCTAGTACGACACACTAACGCAGAATGGTTTTTATAACTTATCTTTAATTTACTTTTGTAAGGTTTGTTAACAACTTTTATATCAAGTTAGCTTTTAAACTCAATTTTGTAATACATGTTACCAATCACGCAAAGAATAGTACTACAATATTGTTTGTATTGAAAGTTGTTTTCTAGACAATCATGCATTGGAATAATGACAACAAATCTCAAACAAAACAATGATATTTAACACACAAATATACAAAACCGTTCACAACACGTCAAAACAAAAAAAGATCTCTAAGTATTAGTCACGTTTTCTTCTATACCGTTATACAAACCAAACCGGTTGAGTGATTTACTCATTGATGATTGAACCATCAAGACTCCGATTTTTCCTTACCCGTGTCAGGTCGATTAAAAGGCAGTGACGGTGTCGAGCCACCACTTGCACTGCTGTTGGCCGCGGTGTTTCTCCGGGACCGACGTTTGGTCGGTACAACTACACAATTTTCATCGTCCGAATCCTCAAGCAACTCCTCCGACCGGTCATCTTCGTATTCTTCGTCTTTGAAAATTGGATGAATATAAGCGCTTTGAAGAAACCTTTTTAGATTCAAGTTTGGTTCTCTTGCTTTCTCCAACGTATCTTTAATCATAGCTTCCTGTTAAACCGGTACTAACAAGATTAAATAACACATACCGAACCAAATCAAAATTAGTTTAGGTTAAATCTACTTTCTTGTCACATTTTCATGTTGTGGTGTTATCATACTAACCTGCAAAGGGTTAATGACAAATGCCGATTCGTACCGGCCTTTACAGAACCGGTGAAAACCGATAGTGCAGATCGTTAGAACGACGAGGAACGGCGTGGACTGAGCTTTTCCTTTCGTGCTCATCAATCCAATCAACAGGACTTGTGAAATGATCAATGCCGATATTATACGTCCATGAACGTCTGGCCAGAACGCAGCTGCGCTCTCGTACTCTTGATTGTACACATTTATGATCTGCAAAAGAAAACCAAATGTAATTTTAACATTACGACAGAAAAAAACACCATTGAATCTTTGTTCAAATAGACTTGCACCAAGAATCTTGAAATAGGGATAAACCAAGAAGAAAATGTTTTTACCCTTTTGATATCCAAAATAAAAATAAATAAATATGGACCAAGAAGTTAAAAAAACCCCCAAAATATCATTTGAAAATGAAAGATAAATTTAATGAAAAGCGTATTATAACTCATAATAGACTAAATTTTACACTATCATTCATCACCTAAGATAAGAAAGAGAGATTGTTTCTTTATACCTGATGACGGAATATGAGGTAAGCAAAACCAAAGAAGAAGATGATGAAAGGAAGTAGAATAGGTGTGACCGGAGCATAGACAAGTCCGAGAAGAAAATAGAGTTGAATCCTTGGCTCCGTTGCATAGAACTCAATCTGTCCCGGATCCATAGCTTCTTCTCTATCCTTTTCAGTTTTCACCAAGAAGAAGTTCTTCAAATGGAAAATAACAAACGGTTTCAACCTAAGAATCTCTCCCGCCACACCAGCCCAACCATCCACCATTATATACGTTATGAAAAACGTTGCTTTGATCGGTATTGCTACTCCAATCGTCCGTGGAATCCTAAAAAACAAGAATGTAAAAAAAGATGAGAACATAGTCGAAAGTGTGGTCGCGCTTTAGCTAGAGAGTAGAGGTCAAGCTTACTGGTCTGCGGATTGTTTAAGGAAAGAATCAAGCTGTTCAAATGCTGATCCTGTGATAATACTACCGAGGAAAACATTCACAAGGTTGAAAAGATAATATCGAAACGCAGCTCTTCTCTCTAACGCTGATATCGAAACAAACCCTTCGAATTTCGACATCATCATCAGAATCGCTGGAAGAAACATCAAAAAGAGCTTCAAGACGATACCGGGAAGAAAACCTTGGATCACTGATTTAATAAACTTCCTGCACACGCAATTGAAGTTTAAGCATACTTACTCTCAATGGAAACAGTGAAGCAAGAAAGTTGTGAAAAATGTTACGTACTTTTCGATGATGGGATTGAGGAACGGAGCGGATTTCCGGATACCTTCGATACTCGCTAGTGATTGAACAAATGCGATTGGGATGATGAAGAAGAAAGTGAGGAAGAAGAAGGCGACGTGCATCACAAATCTCCTTACCGTGAGAGACACGTAAGGCATTGCTAGGTTTTGCCAGTACACTTCTCTTGCCTCTGGAGCCCATTCAGTTAGCCACTCCGTCGGGTTCTTTGTCTGTTGAGTCTGTGCGCAAACCGCAGCGCCCCAACGCGTTTTAAAAGAGACGAAAGCTGCTGGCATCACACCTTTCTCATCTTTCATTACTCTCGTCCTTTCTACCATTATCTGTCAAAATCGAACCGATTACAACCGAAAACCGAGTTGGAAAACCCTAACCCTAGAAGAGAACAATACTTACTTTCTCGGTTATCTTCTCAATCTCAGCTGTGTAATGATCCATTGCATCTACTTTCTTTCCCCATAGCCCAATAAACCCCAACTACAAGATAAAACAGAATTAAATAAGAAGCTTCAAATATAGAAATGTTTTTTTGGATTTCTTCAAGTATTGATCACCTTTACCCTTGGCCTTTGTTCCTTGTTTCTTGTATACTTCAAAAGGTAGTAATCATACCAATTCTGCAGTTTCTTCTTCTCCGCTACTAAATCAGCCAAATCATTTGCATTGTAAACCACCTGGCATATGATTTTACAGTCAAGAAAATATCGATACAAACCGCACTAACTAAATATTTATTCCTTTTGGCTTTTGGACTAACCTGATTGGTAAGATAATGGTCCGGGTGGTTAACCATAAAGAAATGCTCCACGTTCTCGCTAATTGACTCGTTTGCGTCTGGTGGTACGTTTCTAACCAGAACCTGTCAAAAATGCAAACACTATTCATAACCTAGAAGCTGTTTTTTCATATATAATATTTGACCAAAATAGCAAGAAATATTTACAGTGAATTGATCAGCACGTCGCTTCTCGGATTGGAGAAATGCTAATCGCATGGAAGCTATTTTCTCATATTCCCTCATTAGAACATAGCAAGTCCAGATTGTGAATGCGTAAGCCATCACGAGATGCGCCCAAAACCTGTCTGATCCACGTTCCACATTTGAAATGGAAAGCTTATCGATATTGCTCGATGTTACATTACGAAGTTTCGCTAGTTGCAATCCATGACTTGTCAGATTGACTGGTACAAGAATTGACCATGAAAGTATTGCAATTGGGACAAAAATCTTAAGTCTGTAAAAAATAGTATAAGAACAAAGCTAATATTAGTATTCTTGCGCAACAAACTTCTGGTTTCTTAAGGCACAAGGAATGAACATTTGTTGATTACCCAATCATGTAAATCCTCAAGTAGACAGCAGAATCCAAACCAGCATGATCAATAAGCTCAGGCTCTGGCATCTGTAGCGCCGCGGGGATCCAATTCAAGAACCGAATGTAAGAACGGAAATCAAAATTCACAATCTTGCTCACAAAGGCACCCGAACTCAACGGGTTGCTTCTAAGACCTTTTAAGTACCATTTAGGGAAATAAACCCTATCGTTGAATGGTTGGAGCCTCAAGATTGCAAACAGCAAAAGGAATATCAAAGCACTTATGATGTTAATCGCTGCTGCTACTCCAATATCTGCTAGTGTCGCCATCTCCTTAATAAAACTACTATAAACCCTTCAAAATCCTCTTCACCTGCAAAAAATATTAGAACCCTAAAATTTTAAATTCTTCCAAAATGTATATGAATTAATAAAACAATGCCATGACATGAAGGGATATTAGTGTCAAGATCAAGTTTTTGAAGAATATCAAAGAATCTTACAGTTTCTATAAATCCGACTGAATCAAAAATCTCACCTTAAAAAACCCATACCCCATTATCTCACGTTGACCAAAAAAATATAAGGAAAAATTTACCTTTTTTCTTAATTTTCTTGCAGAAGTAATCTTGCGATCCGATTAAAGAATGGTGAAGAAAATTTTGAGACGAACCCAGGATTCAAATTAGGTCGTGTTTGGATTGTCATGAATCTTGACAATGATTCCCTCCAAGAAAAATCATTGCAAAATCCAAACAAGTCTTTAGCCTTTTCTTTTACTCCTCCTTCTCCTTCTTCTTCTTCTTCTCCTTCTCCTTCCTCTAACAGAAAGGAGAAACAGAGAGAGGGAAAGAAAAAAAAAGAGAGTAAAGAACAGAGAGATCGGTTCTGTTTAACAGCACACGAATTGATGAGAGAAGAAAATAAATGTCGTGCTGTTTTTGACAAATACAAGAAGCTGAAAATACTCGGAGAGAGAAACAAAATAAAGAGTTGAAATAACAAATGGCTCATTCAAGTTATGCTAAAGTTGGTCGGCGTCTATTCGTAGACTCTGTCTTGAAAGTTAATAAAAATGTCGCATTCAGTTGATGCTAGGACCCCTAATAATATTGAGCCGGTGACTGCCGGTCAGGTTCGTATCCGATCCAAAAAAAGAAATTGGTTACATTTATTTATTTAAAATATAAATTTTAAGATTTTCAAAAATGAATAGAAAATAAACTAGGCTATACATATTTTAAACCTTCAAACATCTGAAATTTAAAACAGACTGAAATGAGTATCGAGTTGGGTATTTTGTTAGTGAAATTTTAAATTGTTTAAATAAGTTATACATTTAAAAATAAAATTATATTACTCCCTGAGTTTTGTGCATTTTCCTGATAATAAAAACTTGAAAGATGGAATACTTCAGAAACTATAGGGTAAATACAAACGAAACAAAAAGTACAGGGATCATATTGGAAATTATAAAAATATCTAACTTGAACAACAGTTGGTCGGAGATTTGATGCTGTCCGTAATCGGAGCGTGAATCACTATAGAACATAAATTCAACTAAACCTGAACCATAATATTGACGTCATTTATTTTCTGTAAATCGTCGTTTTCTTATCATCGCTTTCATTCCTTATAATTTTTTTTCTTTCTTCCACTCACTCATTCGCGGTTTTACGAAATGGCGTGCCTTCACGTCGGATGATAAGAAATAACATGCATGCCACTGAAAATAGAAATACAAGCTCGGAATCGAAGATGGTAGAAATCAAAAGAAGTCTTAAGAGTACAACCGACAAATAAAAAAAAAACACTTTCTATTATATTAGGGATCTCAATCAACAATAAATTTTCTTTTCCTAACTATAAATGATCATATCCTTTTATAAAATAAAAGATCTATTTTCCTTTTTAAACCCTAATTCCATTGTTCCGTGAAGCCCGTGTAACCTAGATAGAATAAGGAGGGTGTATTGGAAAGGGGATTTTAAAGATTTTAGGTACTTTTGAATGATTTTGTATTTTAGGTGATTTTAAAGATTTTAAGAGATTTTAAAAGAGTTTGATGGGATTTAAGGAGATTTAAGAAAATATTTTGAGGGGATTTTGGATGATTCTTATGGGATTTTAAATGACTTTTTAAATGATTTTTATCATTTTGGGTGATTTCTTGTGGGATTCCATCCTAATCGATCATACGCTTATAAGTTGGAATGATGTTTTCATGCATCTAACGCACAAAAAACAAAGAAAGAATCAAACTTTAACTACTCACTTTGATGGCTTTATGGCTTCATAAAATGAAGCAGCATCAAACCTCGACTGTTTACTAGAGTCTAAAGTATCATCTCCCATCACCATCGATCCCTCAGTCTCCTTCCCGAATGATTCTGTCTCATACTTCGCCTCTGATGTCATTACACAGGCCAGTGACCAAGCTTACTCTGTTTTATCATCATCATCAGGCATCTTCGAGAGATAGTAACACGTGTTACTTGTACTCTGTTTTACTTGTTATTTAAGAAAACTCTGTTTTCTTCCAACACTTTGTTCTTCTCGAATCGTCTCTTTATTCCTCATCATCATCTTCTTCTGCACCATCTTCATTCACAACCACTGACCATACCTACTATAACGCATCACGTCTCATGCCCGACAGTTTGTTTTTCCTAAACTGCAGTAAACCTGCAATGAGAGAGCTTGCCATTACTGAGAATTGTGTAGAGCTGGCAACAACTATGAAAATTATAAAAGTCACACAGTTCAAAGTACGCTGGAACAACCAATTAAGAACGAAACAAAAGTGTAATTTCTTAATCCAAAACAAGACAAAGTGCAGATGTTTTGTCCATAAACAAAGAGCAAAAAAAAGTAAAGACACAATTACTAGATCCATTCTCTTTGATCATTGACAGCTTTGGCTTCGCCGGGAACAAAACCCGTTTAGCTCCTTCCTCCTCTTTGCCTTTCAACGTGTTGCTTCTTTTTCCAGAAGAAACTGATTTGGAGGAGGAGGAAGAGGAAGAGGAAGAAGAAGACTCTGTTGAGTCACCTTCAAGCTGCTTCCATAAGCTCAACGTACGATTCATCGTCTCTCTAACAAGCTTCACCTTATCAAAGCTTCTGCTCTTCAAATACAAACACAGGCCTTCTTATACAACGGAGCTAATTCTTCCTCCGCCGTAGCTATTTTAGCCATGGCTTTGGATTTTCTCGCGCGCCAATGAGAAACTCTGATACGTTTGGTAAAAGCCAATCTAGCACCGATTTCTCGCTGTTTCTGCCGTTAACGGCGCCGATTACGCTTCCTATGGCTCCGAGAAGTTTCGGTTTCACCTTGAAACCTTCCGATTTGAGAAATTTCCCGATCTTCGGAAGCGATTTCTGCAATTGATCGGCGTCTGGATCCTCCGCCGCGTCTATCGCTTCGTCGACTGAGTCTCCAATTGTTTAATTGAGCCTCCGATTATTCTGGGCCAAATCTACAGTAGTGTCTTCACGGTTTTTTTAGATGATCCTATGCTCGATGTCCACTTCGAAATGATGATAATGACTGCTTCCATGTCTGTTTTTCCTTTTAGAAATTGTTTTTAAGAAACGTTATTCAAATCACACCTTAGAGGTGTTATTTTTGTTAGCCAATAATGTGACCAATTTTGGGAGTCAAATCTCCTTAAAAAGCTTTTAACAATTTTTACTCCAATTAGTTGTTTAGGTTTGAATAACAGTGTGGATTTGATTTGAGATTTACAAATGACTAAATAAATAACAGGGCTTTATAAGTGATTTTAAATGACTTTAGTGAAATTCCATTTTCAATAACACTGAATTTGAAATGACAATTATAAATCCTTGTTTGAATAACAGAGATTTTTAAAAAGACCTCAAAATCACCTAAAAATTTTAAAATCCCTTTTCCAATACACCCACCTAATTCTTTAGAAAAATTGATATTTGAACATATCCCTTTATTTTATGTATCCAAGAAAGTTTACATTATGTGATGCTAGCAATATGTTAATGCTACTCACTATATATATTTTGTATCAGAATAACAACTAACAACTCAATAATATATTAGATTCTATGATATTTGATAAGCCTCCGCATATGCAGAATTCTGATGTTTCTCCTCACCAGAATAGTTTCAGTGTAGGATTACGGAGAGCTTTGCGAACTAGCGTGTAAGAATCGTTCCTGTAGTTTCCTCTAGTATTAATATTTATTTTTCTTTATCAAAACAACTAATATTGTTTTTTTTCTTTCTATTTTATTGCTAAACCCTAATTTCTCATTATCTCTAGTTATGCTAGTTTACTACGGAGGCAGCCTGCAAAGACTCATGATGCTACCTCAAGGGAAAAGTTTATTTACATTGCAAAAATCTTAGAGAATAAACTGATGACTTCAGCCAAATCAGAGGTAAGTCCCATCATGGTTTAAAGTTTGGGCTTACCCACAGACAAGTTTCATGATCTTTCTCGATTATTTTATGCAGAAGGAGTACTCAGATTTACGAGATCTTGAAGTCCGCATTGATTTTCATTTGAGACAAATGAAAAGAGTACTATCTTCTCAACGGCGTACTGAAGATACAATTCCATTGAACCCTAATCATACGCTGAGAGTTAAGAGTAATCAAGCTAGTGATATGGAGCACAAAGGAAAACATCTTTATCCTGGTCAACTACAGAAGCAAGATCATGTTATAGAGAAGGATGCTTATAATATGACAAGCAAAGAGGTTGTTGTTAAGGAAGATTGTTGTGGTCAAGATTGTATATATCAGAAGAGGTGGCTTCGGTTTGTGTTGCACGCACTTCGTTGCAACGCAGCAGAAGATGAGTGTGAAGACAGTAAGGATTGCTTTGCTCTTAAGAAGATAATCAAACATCAACAAAGCTGCAAGCGCCCTCTTTGCACAGATCTATATTGTCTTCAAATTCGGAGATTGATTCGTCGGTACGAGCTGTACAAGGACCAAAATTAAAGAGTGAAAGTTTTAATGAGATCTAAATCAAAATATTGCAAATATAAGTTTTTTCCTTTTCCATTAAAATATTGATTTTTTTTTCTCTTAGAATATGAGACATGCAAAAATACATTTTTCCTTTTTCCGTTTAATTTGAAACTTTTTTTTGTTAAAATATGGAAAATATATTTTTCCCTTTTTAATTAGATTTTTCACTTTTTTCTTTTTTTCCGTTAGAATATGGAAAATTATTCTTTTCCCCTTTTTGACCCTTTTAATTAGTTTTTTTTTAAGATATATGTCTAGATCTTAATATAAGTAAAATTAAAACTGACACATATGTTGCACCCATGCGCGCATCCATCTTTATATAATAAGATATTTGGTTTTAGTGTAGTATTTTGGATTTAATTTTTAGGATTGATCGTTTAATATTTGAGGGTTTAAAGTTTATTTTTAGTTTTGTGGTTTTTTAATAAACAGTTTATGTGGTACTTTTGGAAAATAAAATTAGCAATGATAATTTCCAATAAAAATTTATTTGTATGGAATTTTTGGGAATTTCCCAAAAAATAATAATAAGTGATGTATATTTTATTAACAGAATTACACTACTCTCTTGAGTCTTGAGTTTTGTGAACATTCTAATAAAAAAAGAAGTAAAGAAAAAAATAACATGAAACAGTGAATATTTCAGAAACCACAGGGAAACAAAAAAAAATACAGGGATCACATGTTGGAAATTACAAAAAAATACATAATTTGGACAACAGTTTGAAAATTTTAGATTCTGTCGGTAATCGGGGCGTTGATTGTACGATCCAATGAAATCACAGCAGAACATAATAAGTTCAACTAAAAACGTGAACCATGAATCCATGATATTGATTATTGATGTCATTTATTTTCAGTAAAACGTCGTTTATCTCGTCATAGCTTTTTTTTTTTTCTTTTTTTTCTTCTTCCACATAAACCAAACCCGATTCCCTTGATCAATTTCCATGGGTGAAGCTTCTGGGAAAGAGCCAGGAAAATGCCGATATCCGACCAGTCTAAACTCCTACCCATCCGCGTTTTTACAAAATATCGTGCCGTCACGTCGGATGATGATCAGAACTTACATGCATGCCACTGAAAATAAAAACACAAGCTCATAAGTCATAATCGAAGATGAGAGAATTGAAAAGAAGTCAATAATAGTTGGTCTGCCAATGATATTTCCTCCATAAAGTACAAAGAAAAATATATAGCATATCAAGTTCATGTAAACAGGGACACCACCGAAAGAGTGAAAGTGATACTTCTAACAAATTTTAAGAAAATTGTTACTGTGAAATTTAAAGTAACAAAAATGTTAAGGACAAGTTATACCTTTACTGTATTTTCCTGTATCATAAAGTTTAAAGATTACTATACACAAGTTACTTTGATAAGTGGTATCAGATGGCCTCTAACCAAGAAATATGCCCTTAGTTATAGTTAAGAGTACAAGAGACAAATCAAATAAAAAGTAAAAAAACTCAACTTATATTATATTTAAGTATAATATGATTTTACTTAGACAAAAAGTTTAATTTACCAAACTATTAAGGATAATATCCTTCTGTCGGAAAAGAAGATAATTTCTTTTTATTTTAGATAATTCTCCTATATAAACACAAAGCCGTTTTTAGTTGCATTGTTCCGACACAATCGCGAATTGTGATTCTGCTCAGGTTTAGGCTTCTTCCCTTCTCCGTTTATTTCGTTGTCTAGGTTTTTTTTTCTTTTTGTGTTCTTTGATTCGATCGCGTAGTTTGATTCTTGTTGAATTTCACTATTATTTTGACTTAGGCGTAGTTCACGAGTGATTCGTTACTAATGCCGTTTTCTTTTTCAGGTCAATCATCATCTAAGTCTTTGGTATCAAAGAATATGAATGTTCTTCAGCTTTCGCAGTTGCAGAAATCTAATGTTTCTCCTCCTCACCAGAATAGTTTCAATATGAGCTTACGGAGAGATATGCGAAAAAGGATGTAAGAATCTTCCTCACTATTGGTTTCTCTAATTCCCTTTTAAGTCTTATTGTTTCTTTTCCTTGCTAAACCTAATTTCTCATTCTCTTTGATTTTAGTTACGCTATCTTACTACGGAAGCATCCTTCAGAGTCTCAAGATGTTCCCTCACGGAAAAAGTTTATTTACCTTGCAAAATTCTTAGAGAATAAACTGATGACTTCAGCCAAGTCAGAGGTACGTATATGTCTCCAATCTCCAGCATGGTTTTTAAGTTTGGACTTACCACAACGTACAATGTTTGATGATCTTTATGCAGGAGGAGTACTCAGATTTACGTGATCTTGAAGCCCGCATGTGTTTTATTATGAGAGAAATTAAAAGACTCTCTTCTCAACGTCGTGCTGCTGCTACTCCTACCCCAAGCTCTTTATGTGAAGGACAATCGATGAGAAACGCTGTTTCTTGTGGCTCAAGTAGTCTCTTCAGATTTGTAACGCCATCGGGCTCATTGCCAGTTTCTCAAGATACATCTCCATTAAACCCTAACCCTATGCCAAGAGTTGAGAGTAATCAAGCTAGAGATATAGAGCGCCAAGGACAACATGTTTATGATCGTTGTTCGTCTGCAAGAGCTTCTATAAGCTGCTGCCAAACCGTTTTTCCAAGAAGCAATACAGAGAGGGACTCAAGTGAAGAGGTCAAGAGGGATTGTAGTCGACATTGTATGATGCAGAAGAAGTGGCTTCGGTTTCTGTTGCACGTACTTCGTTGCAGCGCAGCAGAAGTCAAGTGTGATGGTGAGCAATGCATTGCTATGAGAAAGATAATCAAAACTACACAAAGCACCAAGCCCCCTCTTCGCTTAGATCGATACTGTCCCGAAACTCGGAGATTGATTCTTCAGATCGAGCAGTGCAGGGATAAAATGACTGGAACTTTTAACTAAATCTAAAACTATAAAACGGTTAATAACTAACTTTTATTTTTTTTTTTAATCTCTATGATGTAATCAACACTTTTTACTTATAAATAAAATGGTTATGAGATTAATACACTGAGAAGTAGAGTGTGCATATACTAATTATATACGAGTTACAAAAAAGCAAGTCATAGTTTCTGATCTGGTCAGTTATAAAACGTGGCTTCCTCGGATCGAGTTTTGTCGGAATCAAAATCTGTTCGTGTCCTTTTTTAACCTTCAGTCTACTTTATATACAAAAGAGAGATCACTTGGTTCTGTTATGTACTTCTATCATCGATGCTTTCTCCTGCAAACTCTAAAACATAAAACAAAACATATTCTCTCATTAGTCAATTAATATTTCATCAACTTAACAACACAAACAAATTGCTCTGTATTTCATGAAAAGAGAAGACGAAAGACCTCGTTCGTGGAACTATTCTCAGAAGGAAACCATCGGAGGATGACACCGAGGTTCATCGCACTCGGTATCAGCTTGAACAACAATGGAGTCGTCACCTGCAACAAATCAGCATTAGCTATGTCTCTATTACCAATTCAAGTCTATATTGTTTTTTCCATTGATGTAACTTACGAGACTCAGAGCTGTTGTGCCCAGAAGGAGAAGATACATTTTCCCCTCGATAACGTGTAAGTTCGATGCTCGGCTTAGAAGAACAAACGCAAATTCTCCGATCTGAGCGAGCAATACACCGACCTGTTACATTTGTGACAACGAATTCACGTGAGTTTCAATACGGAGAAACTCATGGAAGATTTTAAACAGAAGAGGCCAGCGAGCAAACTCACGTGGAAAGATATCCTCATGTTGTATCTAAAAGCCTTGACTACTATTGCTGCAAGTGCTGTCTTGATAACTATGACTAGAATCACAGACGCCAGAAGGATATCGACGTGGTTCCATAGGAAGTGCACGTTTATGAGCATCCCGATACTAGATAGGAAGAGAGCCGCAAACAAATTACGAATCGGTTCCACCTACATTACCACAAGCAAGTCAAGATTTTGAACTGTTAATAACTTTGAGACCTAATTTCTTACCAAGTGCTAGAATCAGTACCTGCTCTAGTGTATGTTGAGCAAAGTCGGTTGTAGATAGCATAACACCAGCCACAAATGATCCCAACTCAAGACTAAGACCCAGCTTGTCACTGCACTGAAGAAGTTTTGCAAAACGGAACCAACACTTAAGTCAAGAATGGGAAATTTCATAGATATGCTATTATAATCCATCATTAAGATGGAAGCTTATTTTTTAATGCATAACAGAGTGGTAGATTAGACTTACCCATGCAGATAGTAAGCAGAATGCCACGGCAGCTAATTGGTAAAGTTCGTTTGTCTGCATTTACATAATGAGAAACATTGGCACTAATTCGGATGCCACTCAAAGAAATAAAAGAAAACAGAGTCCAGGGAAGATAAACTTACTTGAGATGATAATTGAATCATTAGCTTCAGAAAGCGTGGAACAAATGACCATGTTAGTAGAGATGCAACAGTGAGATATAATGACAATATCAGGAGCCTAAAATTAGACAAAGACATTTTTTGTGTCAGATATGGAACAGGATATATAAGAGGGTCTTGCATAAACTTCTTGCCATGAAACCACTTACAGCTTTCCCATTGATATGATTCCTTGTAGTAAACCACTGTTTCCACCCAAAACTGGAAGCAATGCGAATAGTAAGCCAACAACACAGTCCTGAAAAATTCAAGAAAATAGCTGAAGGAAACAAAAACTTCATGCCATGAGATATTCAACTTGTAGATGTAGAATGTCATGAGTGAAACCTGAAAGATAAGTATCCCTATTGTAACTTGACCATGTAGAGAACTTGTACTGTTCCGTTCCACCAAAAACTTCACCACCTGGTCAAGTTTGACATACGTGTAAAAAACTTAAACTTATGAATAGTTTTTGTATAAAATTCGAGAGGACAAAAGATATGAGAGGTACCACCGCAGTTGATGACATAGATAGGAAAGCACCAACAAAAATACCCTCTGACAATCTTGCTCCACACAGCTGCAAATGTTGAACAGATCAATTTAAAAACTAGTTTTCCAAATTGTTCAAGATATATGCATCAGAACATACATGACTGTTTTGCTCATACCAAGGCAGTTACACCACACAGAAACATGAGCAAGATGATTTGAAGAAGTCCTCCAAGGACAGCAACTGGGCCAACAACTTTCAGCTGCAGCATCGACACAAGAACAACAGATTAGCCTAGTGAGATCGTGAATCATTTAATTTTGGTTTCAGTCAACAGAACGGATGCCTACCTTAGCCATTGAGAATTCCAAGCCCAAAGCAAAAAGGAGGAAAACAACACCAAACTGGGCTACGGTTTCCACCTGCCATAGCATCAGAAGAAGAAACATATTATGAATGCAAGAACATATTTTCAGAATGAATGACTCGATAAATTGATCATATGAATGTAAAAGCACGAGATCATATATATACATGATAACATCGCCGAAACTAAAGTGGTCCATTTATGTGCTTTTATCATTTTTGCAGGACAATAACTAACAGGAAAATGTCTTCCAATGTAAATACCTGGACCATTTCACTGATGAATTTCAGTCCTCCTGGCCCAATGATTGAACCCGCCAGAAGATATCCAACAATGACCTAAGACACGTAGCGGTAGTGTAACACAACATCAGAATAGATAACTGACCACAACTGTGACTGTGAGGCCCAATATCAGATGTCTTTCATCATAATATGTAAGGCTGCATACCGGTTGTCCAAGACACGAGAAAACAATGCCACCAATCGCAGCAAAAACAATAATGACCACCAAATCTGATATCAATCTGCGAAAAAAAGCCAAGAAACTTTGTATCAAAAGCCTGAAACAGTGCATATAACATAATGCTCCAACAAAAAGATAATCAGGGAGAGAAAAACCTCAAATCTACTTGAAGTATCGGATACTTAGATTTTTTGTTTGACATGACAAAAACATTGTTCTGCAAAAAAACAGTAGAAGAACATTAGCTGCACTGAGAAAAAAAAACGGTGAGAAAGGCACAAAAAATCTTGCTTAGCGTTCCAAAACCTTTTTGTCAATAAGAGTCATATCATCAGAATCTTCATTCTCCAGAGAAAACACATCTTGAAGCTGGAACGGTCTCGTATTGCTGAGCCAACAGAAAACAATTAGAGAAAAAAAACTATAAACAACTCATTGGACAATTAACCATAAAGTTATTACTTTCAAACAATTTAAACCATACTTGTTTTCTTGTGTATCATTTCTTTTCCCTTTCTCATGTGTTACTTTCGCTACAGTTTCTATTTCAGCCTGGAAACACACAATGGAGAAAAAATATCAGAAATCTAAAGAACACATCAACGATGACATTTCAAGAAACTATAAGGAAGTGACTGAAACCTACTTGTTGATCAGCAACACTGCTGTTAAAGCTCGCTCCTCCATCCGATCCTAAGCAAACAAAACTTTTATTAAGCGAAATAGAAGATGTAAAGCTTCACCACTCACAATCACAAACCTTTTACTAATTCACATCAACAAGAAATGTCTTTCTTATCCAAAACCAGTGAAGTTAATAGACGAAAGCTAAGTACAAGTAGTCATTTTTTTTGCTCAGAATCTAACCTTCAGGCTGATCGTTTTCGGAGAACTCTTTCTCGAGAACTTGATCGAACATTTTGGCGAGAGTCCCTCCGCCGTTACCAGGCCCCGTCGAGTTCACCAGATTGCCGTAAAACCGCTCCCGAGTTTCCTCATCGGATCTCGCCGACAATGTTGAACCAACTAAGAGGAGGAACGATAATCCAATCACTGCGAATCTCCTCGCCATCGATATCTACAAAAATTATCAATTCGATTCAAATTCCTTCGAATGCAGAGCAAGCTCCCGAAGATATTGCGACGAATTTCACAGTTGAATGATAAGGAAGGCGACGGATTGAACGAATTCGTCGATTATTTCAATTAGAAGTTTGACTTGAACGAATCAATCGAAATAAGACGTACAGAAGCATGAAACTGACGAGAACCGTCGTCATCGGTGAACATGGCGTTGGAGCCAATACGTTGACACCGGAGAGCTTCTTCTTCGTTGCAGATCGATCTCTCTTTCTATCTTTCTCTCTTTTCAGATCCAATCTGTTTTTCAAATTTTTCGTTCGATTTGTCTTCTACTTTCCTTTGACGAAACTAACCTCCGTTTATGTTAAACAAAAAACCTAACCTTCGTTTACATGTCATTATCATATTAAATCCTTTATTGGACCTCTCATCTGCTCAATGATATCATATAATTAGTTATCAAAGTCAAATTGGTATAACCCCACATCATAAAATCCACAATTTCGTGTCACACATTCTTCAAATCCAAAGCAAGCCCCTACAGAATTTGGACATTTTTTTGTTAATTGAACAAATTAATTCACCCAATAATTATACAAAAAGTCATAAATTATGTTTTCCAAAAAGTTGTACATAACAGTAATAAAACTTATTATGTACCTAGTTGGTCCATCCAACAGTGGTAGTTAAATAATTATTCAAGTACTAAATCTAGTATTTTCAGCAACTTGTATATAGTAGTAATAAAACTCATTAATTTTGTACCTAGTTGGTAGGAGTTAATCATACTTTACAATTCACCTAATAAATTTTGTTGATAGTAAAAAATCAAGAAAAATTAACTTTCAACAGTTGAAGTATATTTTCTTAGAGAAATGATACATGATGATTGAACTGATGGTGATTCAGAAATGTCTACTTGAGCATTCCTTTCACAAAAATTAGAAATACATTTCACCTAATAAAATTTGTTGATCGTTAATAATCAAGGAAAATTCATCTTTATAAGAACGGTCAACTTAACAATTGTTTTTACAAAATTAGAAACACAAAAGGACATACGGTTGTCGTTCGTATTAGATAAAATAAAGGGTAAAGATAAAGTAATTTAAAAAGGACAGGGACCTTAAATTAATACCAGCGTCAATTTCAAGGATTAGAACCATTAATATATAAATTATTACGTTCGGACAAAAGTAAAATTTAACTCACTGAAATTCCAGCAAACAGCCTCTCTGACTCTCTCTCTTCTCTCTTCACTTAAGCCTTGTTAAATTCGACGAATCTTTCTCTCTCTGAAATCTGAATCAACAAGAGAGAGTGAGAGAGTGTGTGACTGAGAGTGAGCTCTGTGTTCTTTCACTATGGCTCAGGAGAAACCCGACGAAGAGAAACCTGAGACTGTTGATGTTCGAATTCAAGATCGGATCCATGGAGCTGCTTCTCCGGCTCAATCGCCGACCCGTCTCGGACCAACCCGGTTCTCTGAAGCAGCCGGAGAAACGCCCCGGACAGATTTCGTCGGGTCGATTTGGTCTTGGATCAACGGAGATCCGAACCGGAATTCGAAAAATCCGGTTAAGAGAGGGAAGCGGAAGAGAATTCGAACGGCGAAAACAGCCGTTGGAGTAATCGCGCTCGTGGGTTTCTTCATTTTTGTCAATTGGTTTATGCTCTCTCAGCTCCACGAAGGTCGAGCTTGGCTTCGAGTTCGAAGAGGGTTCTCCAAGAAACCGAATCTAAGTCCAAAACCAAAACCAAACCCAAACCCGGATCCAAATCAGAGCCCGGGTGTGAAAAGAGCTTCTGTTAAAGTGTCGGCGTCGGTACAGGTAAAATCTAATTAAACAAAAATGTGATGATTATCAATAATTGTGAATCTTAAATTTTTAAGTGTCAGTTACTCTGTTTCTTGTGTCAAGTCAACTTCAAATCCCCAAAAAACAAAGCTTTTGGCATTCCCAAAAATAGAAAAAAGGATTTTTGGTCAGTCCAAATATCAAAATGGTTAAATTGTGTAAAAATCTAAACTTTCTGGTCCCATAATACATTTTGTTAGGAAAGTTTTTAGTTTTTATAGTGGTAAAATGTAATTCAAAATTAGTTTTTACATGGTAAATGTTAATGTTTTAGTTATGTTATATGAAAGAAAGGGATTTTTGGTCAGTCCAAATATCAAAATGGTTAAATTGTGTAAAAATCTAAACTTTCTACAATGGTTAGGAAAGTTTTTACATTATGAAATATGCAATTATGGTGGTAAATTGTAATTCAAATTTAGTCAGGGTAACAAATTTAGCTTTTACATGGTAAAATTGTAATGTTTCTTTTGAAAGTGTTTTTTTTAGTTATGTTATATGAAGGTAGCTTTTGGATTGATGTTTGATGTAAACTTTGTTGTTGTTGTGTGACTGTGATTGATGTTTAAGCATGGAGAGAAGAAGAAAAAGATGGGAAAGCCAAAGAAGAAATACAATGGAACTTATGGTAGATTGTTGGCTTTTGCTGCTCATGCTTTGGCTGAGGTATCATCCAAACTGTTTTCTTTTTATCATTCCACATCTTCGGTTTCAAATTTTAACCGAGTACATTGTGTTTCTGTTAGGGACAAGACAAACTTGAGCCAAAAGAGTTGTGGAGAGAACCAAAGGACCAAGCTTTAGCTTGGAAGCCTTGTGCTGATCAACGTTCTTGGAAACCCAACGGTCTCTCTCACTACTCTTCCTCTCTTAATATTCACTTCTTGTGCTAATAAGGTTCTTACTTATAGTTTTCTTGATTTGGTTGTGGATTTTTAGATGGAAAAAATGGATATATAATGGTAACTGCAAATGGTGGCATCAATCAACAAAGAGTAGCTGTAAGTTTTTGTGTTACTGTATTACTTTTGTCCTTTTAAATTACTTTCATAGAATAACATTTGGTTAATCCTAAACAGGTTTGTAACATTGTGGTTGTTGCTCGGATGCTCAATGCGACACTCGTTGTTCCAAAATTCATGTTCAGCGATGTATGGACCGATTCAAGGTAAAACTATTTGTGTAAAGTCTCCTCTGTTCTCTCTGTTTCTCTCTCCCTCACTTATTCATTTGATAATTCTTGCTTTATAGTCAGTTTGGAGATATCTATCAGGTGGAACATTTCATTAAGTATCTCTCTCCCGACATCCGGATCGTCAAGAAGCTGCCGAAAGAGCTTCAGTCTCTAGACCTCGAGGCCATTGGCAGCGTCGTGAGTTTCCTTTAACCGAAAAAACCGATTTCATCTTTGTCTTTCTCTTTTGTTTATAAGCAAAAAAAAAACCAGAGCATTGCGTAAGAAACAGAGTAAAAGAAAAAAAAAAACAAACTTTTTCGTCTTTGTCTTGATTTAAGGTCACGGATATGGATGTGATGAAAGAAGCAAAGCCAGGGTTTTACATGAAGCACATTCTTCCTCTTCTACTCAAGAACAGAGTTGTTCACTTCTTCGGATTCGGAAACCGTTTAGCCTTTGATCCGATTCCGTTTCAGTTACAGGTAAAAAAGACTCTGTTTTTAGCTTCGTCTATATCGAATCTCTGACTCGTAAATGATCGATCTTTTTTCTAGAGATTGCGGTGTAGATGTAACTTTCACGCGCTAAACTTCGTTCCGAAGATACAAGAGACCGGTGCGATTCTTGTTCGGAGATTACGAGATAGCGGATCGCATTTAGCTCCGGTTGATCCGTACCTCGTCGGTCCAAAGTTTGCATCTTTCATACTGGACAAGAAGGCGGGTCCTCTCCATAAGGCGTCAAAGTATCTAGCAGTCCATCTCCGGTTTGAAATCGACATGGTTGCTCATTCTCTTTGTTACTTCGGAGGCGGCGACGCGGAAAGAACAGAGCTTGATGCTTACCGGGAAAAGCATTTCCCGACTCTTGCGAATCTAACAAAGACGAAAAAGTTTGTGTTTTTTTCTGTTACTCTGTTTCTTAGGCAATGCTCTGCTTTTTCTCTGCTTATGCGATGCTCTGTTTTTTTTGGGTGTAGAATGCCTTCGCAGGAAGATTTGAGGACGGAAGGGCTTTGTCCGTTATCACCGGAAGAAGCCGTGCTTATGCTCGCCGGTCTCGGTTTCAACCGCAAGACCCGAGTTTTCGTGGCCGGAGCAAATATCTACGGTGGGTCGAAACGGTTAGCCGCGTTAACGAGTCTCTACCCGAATCTCGTCACGAAAGAGAATGTTCTCTCTGAAACAGAGCTTGAGCCTTTCAAGAACCACTCATCTCAGGTGAATTGAAATGAAGATCTAAACCGGTGTAAATTACGTTTCGGTTTACAGACTAAACCGGGAAATTGATTGATTTTTTTCTCTGGTTATGTAGCTAGCGGTTCTTGATTTTATTGCTTGTGCTGCATCGGACGCGTTTGCGATGACGGATTCGGGGAGTCAGCTGTCGTCTCTGGTCTCCGGTTACCGGATTTATTACGGAGCAGGGAAGATGCCGACGATCAGACCGAACAAACGGAGGTTTTCGGATATATTGCTGAAGAACAATACGATAGAGTGGAAAGTGTTCGAGCAGAGAGTGAGGAAAAACGTTAGGCAGACCAAACATGTGTTGGTTAGACCAACGGGACGCAGCGTTTACCGTTACCCTAGATGTAAAGAATGTATGTGTAATGAAGATTGATTCTTTTGTGGTTCGTTTCGGTTTTGTTTTAATCATTTTGTACACATTTGAGTTAACTATTTTACTGGTAGTATTTGGTTTTGGGGTATTTTGGTACAATAAATGCCAAGATTTGGTTTGGTTAGGGATATGAGAGATAGTTTCATATTTTGTAGCAGGAGATGGCAAATAATTGTAACCAAAAGAAATCAAACTAACCCAAACTGATATAAAACAAAAATTTGAAAATAATCAAATCCTAGCAAAGTTAGCTAGAAGATTAGGTGGATAACTAACTACCATTCCAATCTACTAGACATCTTACTAATGAGATTCTCTTACACTTTCAAAGACTTGTAGGTAAAAATGATGTTATATAAATTAAGTATGCAACACAAACATGTTGCAATAACAAAGCTCAAAAATCAAAATGCCTCATCCTCCTCCTCACCGTCCTCCTCCTCCTATCTACCACCCACCACCACCAAGACCACCACATCCTGAGCCGCAACCTCCTCCTCCTCCGCCTCCTCCGGGACCTCAGCCACCACCTCCACCTCCCGGAGCTGCCTGGTTTCCAAGACCTTTTGGGCCTCACCCACCTGGACCACCATATTGATTATCATGACTCATATGTGAAACAATCAAAAACATCTTAACTTGCTTTTACATGGTTATGTTATGTTATCCTTAACTTGCTTGTAGCTATGTGATATTTTGTTATGTATCTTTACGTAGTTAATAATGTTATATTGAGAAAAGAAGTTTTTTCTTGTTCACGCTTCTTGTGTTGGTCTTTTTTTTTTAGTGAATGTAAAATCATATTCAATCAAAAGACTTGTTGATTTCTTCTTGTGGAGGAAAACAAAAAATGTTGGGGCATTCCGAGAATTGAACTCGGGACCTCTCGCACCCTAAGCGAGAATCATACCACTAGACCAAATGCCCATTTTATTGTTAACATTTTCTATTTGTATGAAAATATCATATTTTATTAACCCAACATAAGCAACTATATTGGTTTGTTTTACAACTTTTGAACTTCAAACTTGTATAAGAAATCAAATCCGAAATAACACACATAAATATTTATATATGAGAACTAATGAAATTAAGAAAAAGGGTACGTTTTCACAACGCTGTGGTCTTAACCGACAACGGGATTCTTACAATATGGTTTAAGCTTCCGGTAAGAACAATTTCGCCAAATGTAAACTGGTTTTGGACTCGTGTGACATTGAACTCAATGTCCACATCTTGGATTCTCTGTGGCCGTATAGTAAACGAAGGTGGACTTAACCGTACAGTTGTACCATTTGGAGGTAAAACCGAACCAATATACGTCTCGGTCTTATTAGATACGTTTTGGAAACTTCTTCTCAGCACAAGTGACCTTTTAAGTGCAGAAATAGTAACTGACGGATGGTTTAGATTAGCTGGGTGGCTAAGAGCGGTGGTACACCAGAATCCGGTTGTGGCTCGAACCATCACCGGGTTAATGTTTGGTAGTGAACACAAGAAACTGATGTAGTCTTCAAAACCTGGTCGAATGACCACAAACCATATATTATGAAAACTTTCTATTTTTAGATTAAACCACTAACTTTATAATTTATCAATTACAGTATCTCTCATGTTAAGTAAAAGTATGTACCTGTGGGTAAAACCAGCCCTGGATCTATGGCTCCAGCCGGATAAACATGACCAGCGCCATGATCAAAATGGTTAGCTGGAACAAGTTCACCGATTCTATAAGACTCCGCTGAAAGATTTTCACCGGAACTATCATATTTTGTGGCGGTTGTAGAAATGGCCGACGCAATCATAGCCGGAGTCCAAGAAGGATTAAGTTGCTTTATCAGCGCGCCGATCCCCGCTATGTGAGGAGCTGCCATGCTAGTTCCAGACAATAATGCAAAGCTACGTCCTACTCAAGAAAACAATTTTAAACTTTAGGTAGCAAATTGCATAATATATACAAAACAAGAGGGGTGTAAATGTAAAAAGAAAAACCTATGAGGATGGGATCAAAGGCGCTAGGGAGGCTCCAAGCTCCCCATATTTGGTGACCAGGTGCAAGAATATCTGGCTTAAGCACATCTAAAACATTCCGATTTGCATCGAGAAAAGCTGGCCCTCGAGAAGAGAATCTGCTCACCACAGGTGATTCTCCGGCGAATACAAAGTTTCGGCCTTCGCCTATTCGTGCTCGTGCCCCAAATTGTGTCACCATTCCGCTCCTGTCTCGGTAGATTTTCTCTTCGTAGTACCTCAAAATAGTCTAACATAACAAAGTCTCAATATATATGCATAGAAAAGTTAAAATAAATCACCCACACAAAAAAAGAATCACATTCGATGTTTTATATATATATTGGCTAGACTATATAGCAACGATTTTAAAAATCCCTATGCCTACTAATTTTGATAATTGTGTTAAATAGCTCAACATAAAAAAAAACCGAGTATTTTTCTTCGTCCAAAAATGTATTTTCTTATGATATGGTTTTGATCTAGATACCTTAATTAAGAAGATATTTTCATTTCTTGCAATTTTTGATGGATTTATAGATAAAATTACCTGGGAATCTGATAATTTAGGGATTAGAATACCGGGAGCCGAAAATATCACTGGTTCTGCAATGTAGTCGCCGAATCTAGGGTTGGCGATGAGAATGAAACCCGTGAAACCAAGAGTCATGGCGGTTCGAGTGATGGCTCGGACGCTCGAGATTCGATTGTAGAAGCCGTCGGAAAATGTACAAATCACAATACTTCCAAAAACCTTCACCGGATCGAAATTCTCCGGTCGCTGACATTCTTCAACCGAGCCGTTTGTTCTAGCTGCATCTCTGGCTAAGACTAGCCTATGCTGAAGGAAAGGAGCTCCAAGAGTTGGACCTTTAATTTCAAAATGAGAAAACGTAATTCATCTTTTTCTGTTCTTCATAGATATTATAAGTTTATAACCAATTTAAGCACTGTTTGCGAGTTTGTTAAATACATTATTGGCTACTGAAGTAAAAGCGAATACCAATAGAAAAAAAAACTGTTTATGTTAATATTGGGAACGTAAAAAAAAATGAAAACCACTTAGCTAACCATTATGTTTAAAAAATCTTGTACAATATGGCATTCTACTACGTACACACCATAAGTCCATAATGTTGTTTTTTATTAGATTAACAAAATCTAAACAGAACATAATATTTAAATGTGTGTCAATAATATGTTTACGTTACCATCCAAATTAAGCATGCAACTAATGCATGTACGTCAAATCATAAAACCAATCAATTTTTTTCAAATAAGAATAATGCTTTTCTTGGATTTTTGTATGAAACTTAAGTACATTTTTTTTATTTACCTGAAAGTCCGACGCCCTGAACGGTCGCGCCACCGTCGAGGATAAGAGAAGCAGGATAAGACCGGTTGGTACCTCCGGCGGCTACGCCAACTACCCACGGACTATAAGACGCCACGGAAGACGGCGATGGGCCACGGTTACCTGCTGCTTGCACCACAAACACTCCTGCTTTTCTAGCCAATAGCATTGCGATGTCGAATATTCCGAGTACCGTCGGCTTATCTACCGGTGGCCTGTCCGGTCCAATCGACAGAGTCAACACATCTACGCCGTCCATTATTGCCTTTGAATAAAATAACAAATTTGTTTAATGAATGACTCTTAATGAAACTGATTAGTGTTTCTTTGTTTTTTCACTTACTTGGTCGATGGCAGCAATTACGTCAACAAGAGTTCCGATTGATGGATAAATCGCTTTGTAAACGGCAATTCTGCCACGTGGACCAATAAAATCAATTTGTTAGCAATTCAAAAAATTTGAGACTAGTTAATGGTGTATCAAGTATGCATGGTTTTATGACTAACCGTGCTCGTGGAGCCATACCGCTGGCTCGGCCGTAGAAGAATCCGTCGACGATCACCGGAACTCCTGCATTTCCGGCTGCAATGGACGCCACATGGCTGAACCAAACCGACCAAAGTAAATCTTGTATCGTACGTTATTTATTCAACACACATAATGTATATTGTACAACAATAATAGCTACTGTATACTGATAATTTTCCAGCAAAGCAAATTAGCACATACTATAACTTATCAAAAACAAAGTCATACATTTATAATACCAAAAATGTTATATCAAATTCGAATATTTCATATTGTTGAAAAATAATTATAAAAAAACATATTTTATAACTGATTCAAAAATAAAGATATGTTTATACCTTCCGTGACCGGACGCATCAAACGGAGAGAGAATATCCAAAGAGCTGTTGAGAGGGACGAGAGCTCTAGCTCCGGCAGAAAAGAACCTTGCGGAGATGATTTTTCCGTTACAAGATCCTATGGGGAAGAGAGGACCGGTCTCACAGTCACCGGAGAAATTTATACGTGAGCGATTCGTTGAGAAAGGGTTGGTGAGATCGACAGCGAAGCTCGGATGAGTAGGGTTAATTCCGGTATCCACAAAACCGATTACGATATCTTCTCCGGCACGTCTGTATCCGTCGCTGGAGATCTCTGACCAGACTTTTCTTGGAAGTTCCAAGAAGTCAGGAGTGTACGTTGTCATTAGTTTCACTCCTTTGTCTTCTTCCACTGCCGTCACTCCTTTTGTTTCCATTAGTTTCTTGGCCTGCAAGTATCAAATAGGATCATTTCCGGTTTACCAAAGCCAAAGTAAACCAAAGGTTGAAGCAAACCAAATTGAGAACCTGAGATGGAGTGGTACGGATTGCGAAAGCATTGATGATGTGTTTGAAGCTGTAAAGCTTTGTATAACTTCCATTTTCAAGTGTGCTTCGAAGAATATTTTCGTGAGTCTCTACTATCTTCTTTGCTTCAACTGCCAAAGCTTTCCTGAAGTTTCCGACATCAGATGTAATAATGGATGATAAATAAGTTAATCATATCTTATTAATTACTACATGAAGAAATAAATTTAAAAAACTCAAAAACAATGTAAAACATTTCTTTCTTTCTTTTTTTTTTTGATAAATCTTACATCCAAATCCAATTCATAGAAAAAATGTATATAAATGAAGAACTCATAACAAAATCTTGCAACATATGCTCTGTTTTACATCTCCTGATGTAAAGTTTGTAAAAAAATTATATAAAATCTTCCAAGTTATAGCACTTTAACTCCATGCAAAAAAAGAAAAAATATACTCTTTTGTAATGTTTGATCAGATTAATCAGAAATTACCATTTGGGAAAGTCAAAAACGTAGTCAATGAACATAGAGGATGAGAAAAGCAGCAATATGTTTATGTAGAGATAAACTAAGATTCAAAAAATTCATATACAATAGCTTATTTAATTTTCTGATAAAAAATAATAATAAATTGATTGGAACCTGTTGATGTTTGCACGAAAGGCCAATGGTTCGCCTTCAACCAAAACAGAGTAAATCCTTGGCATGTGATCATCATCGGTTTTGGTTTGGTCTTTTTCTTCTGCTGCTTTGGATAAGAATGCACAAACGATCAATACAAATAAACATAATATAAGCCATAGAAAACAAACGGCTCTTAGTTTTCTTGGATTTTTCTCCATTAAATCTTTATTTGGATCCTCCATTTGCTTAAGACTTGGTTTTATATTGTTGAGGGTAATGTGAGAGTCATGTTTTTTGTACAAATGAGCATTACCAACAACGTGAACACTTTATATATATGCGTTATAAGTTAATTTCTATTTGTTAAGGTGTGTGAATCTTGCTTATTAGGAAGGCTCTTTCTTAAGCTCTGACCAAAATAAAAGGATAAAAAGCTTCCTTTTTCGGAAAAAAGCTTATCTTAATTCCAAATTTTATGTATATAGTTAAATAAATCAAACATTAGAAAGTCCTTTATTTTACTTCTTCAGAAATGGCATAGAAAATTTATAACTTTTCCAATTCTCAAAAGAATTCAACACAATAAAATGTTGAGAATTATACAAATTCTAGTTACAGAATCCCAAAAATACCACTTTTTATTATTGGGCTTTATGGGCCGAGCTAGTGTTTAGGAAAATTAATTCTAGAGCCCAAATCTGTTTCTTCAAAATCGAACAGAACCTGAAGAACTCATAAAAAAAATTCTTAAATGTTGAGAGCTTCTTCAAAATTTCTGTGTAAAATCTCATCGAAAAACCCTAAATCTTCAATTCCTCAAAGCTTCAATCTTTATCTTCACCACAGAAACAGAGAAATCAGTGATTTCACTGTTGATCCCACTCGCATTTACAACAAATCAGGGCTTGCTTCGAGCCCTAGCTTATCGATATGGAGACGGAAGAAAGAAATGAGCAAAGAAGGTTTAATCGCTGCCAAAGAGCTCAAGCGTCTTCAAACCAAATTGCTCCGACTCGATCGATATATCTCCTCACATGTCTCTCGTCTTCTTAAATCCGATCTCGTCTCTGTTCTTGCCGAGTTTCAGAGACAAGACCAAGTTTTCCTCTGTATGAAGGTAAAAAAAAAAAATATGAAAATTCCTCAAAATTCGTCAATTTCAATTGCATTTTTAAAAATTACATCTGGTTTAGTATCAATTGAAAATGGGCAGGAACAAAATTCACTCTTTTATTGTTTTCAATTTCAATTGCATTTGAATTTTGAAATGAACATCAGAAAATAAGTACCAATTGAAAATGGCAAATGTCTTTATTGTGGCAAGAGGACTCATTTTGTAAAATTAATACAATGTTTAACGTTTTTGTTTTGGTTAAAGGTTAAGTTTCTATAAGTGAAGCTTTACAAAAACAGAGTTTGTTGTTTATGTCTTTTGCTACATTTCACATATCTATGATGTTTAATTTTGGTTAAAAAAAACTTTCTTTTCAGCTCTACGAAGCTTTACAAAAATGGGGTTTGTTGATTGGTGTTAAAAGTTTATATCTTTGGCTACATTTTGAAATTTCTATCATGTTTAATTTTGGCTAAAAATGCTTTCTTTTCAGCTCTACGAAGCTTTACAAAAATGGAGTTTGTTGATTGGTGTTAAAAGTTTAAATCTTTTGCTGCATTTTGACATTTCTTTGATGTTTAAAAATGTTTTCTTTTGTCAGCTCTATGAAGTGGTGAGAAGAGAAATATGGTATAGACCGGATATGTTTTTCTACAGAGACATGCTAATGATGCTTGCAAGAAACAAGAAAGTGGACGAAACCAAGAAAGTATGGGAAGATTTAAAGAGAGAAGGAGTTTTGTTTGATCAGCATACGTTCGGAGACCTTGTTCGAGTGTTCGTGGATAACGAGCTTCCCGTGGAAGCGATGAGATTGTATGAAGAGATGAGAGATTCTCCTGAGCCGCCATTGTCACTGCCGTTTAGAGTTATTCTGAAAGGACTCGTTCCTTATCCTGAGTTGAGAGAGAAGGTGAAAGATGATTTCTTGGAGCTTTTCCCTGGAATGGTTGTGTATGATGCTCCTGAGTATTTGTGTGATATAAGTGATGACGAAGAAGCAAGAACAGATAGCGACCTTGATTAGAGATAATACTATTGCTTCTCTCAGTTCCCTTGAATCATTGTTTGGTTTTGTTTTAGAGCCATAGTTTTCTTGTTCTTGGCAGTTGCATTGCTTTGTCTCAAGAAGTTATTGGATCTTTTGTTCTTTGATATGGAAATCAAATTCCAGTGATGTTAGATCCATATTGATCCAGAGAGAATGGTAAGTATCTTAGAGCCAAATCGCCAATTAAACTCCATTAGGATAGAATCAGAGCTTCACCTACAAGGCTACAATCACAAAGAACATTACAGAGAACATTTGAACGGACAATTGATACAGAAATTAAGATAAATTGCATAAGTTCGACTCTCAAGTGATACAAGAACAGTGGTTGGGTCAGAAAGTAGACATGTACAAATTGACCGGTCTTTATGTTTGTGCCGGACCAGGTCTTTTGGGCGTAGAAACATGTTTAATGTACCACTCTGTTTAGCAGATTTCCAACAGGAACAAGAACCTTAGGTTTTTAACATTATGTCTTATGTACTAACAAGAAACATGTTTTATGTAATTTTTGTCCCTGCTCCCAATTTCGGCACCATACCCTAATGTTTTCGTCTTTTTTCTCCCTCAAATATAAAAACACAAACTTTTAGAAATCATATTGGAAACAAAGAAAAATACAAAAAAAAATCCATAGTAAAGACAAGTCTAGAAACTTTCATTACCAACAAAAAAAAAAAAAAAAAAAAAAAAAAAAAAAAAAATTCTAAAAAATTATAAGCTCACGAGAGAGCGCTGCATATACGTACGCCTAGTTAACAGTAAACAAAAATTATGGAAGATCAGTTGTGTAGCTTAATGTCAAACATTGTGAGTGAATACATGTAATATTACCACACAAACATTTAATTTTGTACATGTTTTGTTAGCTTAAGTGTGTAGCATCACGCAGAGTCACAAACAGTAACTTCAGTGTGTAATATCGCAGCTGATCAAAGAGCATGTATACATCACCGCCTATTCAACCAGTATGCATACATTGTCAGATTCAAGGCACACATCAACAATCTAAGTCAATTAAGTAAGTGAAAGTTTGTTTTTTGTTGTACGTTAATATGTCAGGTAAAACCCTCTTAAGCATATAAAAAGAAAATGAAGAATTTTAACGCCTGATTGCAAAATAAAAAAAAATCATTGTCAAATAAAGTAGATACTATTTTTTTTTTTTTTTTCAAAATGAGCTTCAGTTCACATTGATAGTAAAACTAGATACATCGTCTAAGTAATTGTAAGAACGCGACTCATTCCAGTAGTTAAAACTTAATAAATTGTTCATAACCTTAACATAGTTCCATACCGGTTTTACTGAAAACGGTTATCAAAATCCAAAAGCTAAATGTAATTCAAAGTTTAGATCAAAACTTATACTTCAATAACAGAATCTGCTGGTTACGAAATTAAGATTTTCACTTAACCACAGTACATTACAAAAGGTTACACAACACATACCGTTCATAATTTGGGGGAAACACCAAAAGCTTGTTCATCATCAATCGGAACATGCAACGTTCCTAAGTATACCGAAAAACCACATATTATACATATTATAAGCTGTTTTCATGATCATAAATTATAGTGGGAGAAAGTTTTTAAGATGATCGATCAAAGCATGGTGGAGGAGATATGGTCAATAGGGTAAGGATTGCCCAAGACGTTGTCCATGAAGTAATGGTGAGGATGTGTTGCGTCCATTACTACAAACTGCATATCCTCTGATGGCTTCCAATGCCGTTTCCTCTGGTTTATGAACCAATTGTTTATCTGTTTCTGGTCCAGCCCGGTTGATTCCGCCAAAGCTAGCTTCTGTTGCTCCTGCCATTTCATATCCACACCACGAGTGAAAACATGTCAATCATCAAATTTAATGTCAACATTCACAATGTGGTATATGTTCTTATGCTCTTTAAGTTCTAGGATCATTTCATGATCATAGCCACATCAACAATTTTCTAGATTGCAACGAGAACTTAGAATCAATCAAAAGCATAAGAGTTTACGTAATGTAATGACACTATACATTTTAATAACATATGCCACTCATTTCCAGTGTAATGATTTGATGTATGATTATCTACGTTTTAGAATAAGTTATGATATAGCCAAAATATGAAATCGGTAGTTGTATTTACTTAATTAAGATGATATTCAGACACTAACAATATTGTACGGAGTAAAGAATCGAATTACACAAACTAAGAAACCGAAAACAACATACATTGACCAAATAAGTTCAATTCATTCATTTAGATATGGATTATCAATTGTGCAAATTCAATTATGCAATGCAAGAATCAAGACAAACATGAACTAAAATTACAAAAACAGCATACATTGACTCAAGAAGTTCAATTCATTCATCTTGAAAGGATTTGCAATCAGATAAACGCAATTTATGTAATCCATTTAAGATATTTTAATGAGTGAGGGTACAAAAGAAGAAGTTTACCGAAGGGTAAGGCCATTTGTAGTGACGGCTCCACCAATCAAGAAGTTGTTGGCGAGCTTCTTTGGGGAGCTTTCCTTTCTTCCTCTTCTTCATGAACTCCTGCTTGAGGCTTCCTAAGTAACCGCTGTACTTGCGTAAGAGCTGTCCTTTAAGCTCCCTATCCTCGGCCTGAGGATCCACAAATTCATTGTTCATGTCGACTTCTTCCTCAGATGACCCATTATTGTTCCGTTCTATAGCTGCCTCTCCATAACCTACTTTGATTAATAATGTTAAAAACAAGTCACCAAAAAGGGTTCATAAGAAGAAAGATCTTTGATAGAATGTGGAACTGAAAATGAATAAGCTAGTGATCCAAATCATTCAAATAAACAAGGTTAAATGAGTAAGTGTGTGTGTGTGTGTGTGTTACAAACTTAACTACACTTTGTGAAGACAAGAGGGGTGATATGACATTGTGTAGGTATATGTATATGTGATTATACGTACAGAAACATGTGCATGTCTAAATTGAGCAATAGATCTAAGGACGAACAGACTCTAGATCCAGATATTCTTTTTGATGCAATAAATATATTAGACCCAAACAAATGGATAAGAAAGAGACAAGAACAGTGATGGTTGCTGTACCAAGCCAAATAAATTCAACTCAAACAAACAAACAAAAAAACATTAAACTAATTGTTTTAAATTCAATAAAAACATCTACATATACATAGTTATGTATAGATAGATTATACACGTAAACCTAGTAAGCTATAGATAACAATCTGACACTAACCCTAGCAACAAGTATCAAAGGGGTATTAACCCAAGAAACATCAGAAAAAGGAGAAATCTTTCTTAAAACCCACAATGGAAAAAACAACACTTTTCTCATCTTACGTTTAATTTGACGCCATAATTAAAAATAATATTAATTTTTGCAACAAAAAGAAAAAGAAAAAAAATTGAGAGAGAGAGAGAGAGTAACCGGAGAAAGAGGAAGGTGAGGAGAGGGAGAGGGATTTGAATTGACATTCCACGCGGTTAAGGAAGACCATAGCTTCCTTGAAAGGTTTAGAAAGCTCTTGCTCGTACTTAACGAGCATTTCACAGTAAGCTTCCATGAATTGATCAAGCCCTGGATCTTCACCTAAACACCCTGTGGGTCCCATGGACGCTGCTGCGGCGGCCGCAGACGAGCATGCCTCCTCCAGCCTCGCTACAATCTCCGGTGGAGCTCCAACCTAAGTAATTTTGTGATTAATAGGAAGATTTAAAAAATATTAGTAAATAAGAAAAAGAAGGATTGTCCAGTTCTGTATGTGAACGTATCATATACAAGAATGAAAGTAGGAAAAAAATAAATTGATATATGTCCTAATCTTCAATTGAAATCATGTTCTTTACTGTTTCAAGCTTCTTGAAACTTTCTCAATATAGAAAGATAGCTTCTTTTGAGTTTTGAGTATTTTGTTTGATTAAGTAACAAAATCAAACAAAAGGAGATATCAAAATCAAACTAAAACATCAGAGTAAAGGCTTATGTAAAAAAGGAAGTAAAGGTAAAGTTTGGTAATTAGGGTTTCTAGAATCTTAGAGTTAAGAAGAGACTCTCTATGTGTAAAAATATCAAATATAGATGATTAGAGTTAAGAAGAGACTCTCAAAGTGTAATTCTTTTTAGGGGGTTTTATCATCACCTTCTGACAATTGACATAAGCGGCCAAGAGGCGGTGGTAGTGAGGATGAGCCATGATCTTGGCCTTGACAGAGGCTGAAGAAGAACAAGGGTTGATTCCTCCTCCAACGAGGTCGTTTTGATGATGGATCTCCATGAGAGAATAAGCAGGAGCGCAAGAAGAAGGAGATGAAGAAGAAGAAACAACTTTGTTCTTAATAACTCGAGTAGGAGGAGGAGGAGGAGCTAGTGATTGAAGAAAAAGGGAACTACTTTGTTGGTGGTGTGACTGATATGCATAACCATCATGTTGTTGTTGTTGATCATGACTATGATGTTGTTGATGTTGATGTGATGTCATGACGGGCATCATCATCATCATCATAGGACACATCGGACCATTACTATTATCCCCGGCAAAAGCCATTGGACAAGAAGTGCTGTTGGAACCACTCTCCATCCTCTTTCTCTCACTAGTATTATTATTCACTTTGGCTTTGCTATATAGCTTCAAGAAAAATAAATAATAACAAAAAGAAAATAAAATAAAAAGGAGACGAGCATTGCAAATACAGCTAGCACTTATCATCAATATTATGAAACACAATAAAGTACCACAAATTTATTGGGAAACCCTAAAAGAGTAAAATGAATATATATGAGTGTATATGTATGTATATGTAAGCTTTAATTTAATTATTTGAAAATGCAAAAGTGGTCACCCGGGATTTATGCTTCAACAATCAGCTTCCTTTTTCACATTGAAAATTTCTAAATAGTGATAGTTATGGGGGAGAGGAAGCAGCAGACGAGAGACCAGGAACATAAATCTAAGGAATTTAAAATAAATATATATAAATTGGAGAAAAATTGGTGTTTTAAAAAGAGGAAAAAGCAGACATGGACAGAGATTGTGTGATCTGTGGGTTCTTAACTCTTTTGTGTTCATATGCTCAAATATGATTTTCTCATTTATGTCATTTTGGAAATTATTTTGTATTTTTTTTCCTCATATTTTTTGAGGTAACTAACCGGATCGAAATTAATAGTGACAATTGCTTGAAATGGAGAAAACCGGAATGTTCTTGAGAAAGCCCAAGCGCAACAAGAAACATTTGGTTGGATCTTCATAAACCATTGATTTGCCAAAAGTATTGGTTTCTGATGTCATATATACGTATAATGTATAGATGATATCCATTCCTTTATATAAATAGAAGGTATGCATGTATATCTAAACATATGTATATCATGTGATAATATTAGTACTGTTGTACAAACGAACTTTCTAAGATTCTCAATAATTAACTGACAGATCTCAGTAACTTAAGTATGTCTTTGAGTCACCTAAGGCGAAGATATTGGATTCTCTTTTTCCAATAGGAAAGCGCTTGTTAATATTTCATGATTTAACATCTGACTGCTGGTGAAAGTTGTAGTACTGTTGTAATTTGTAAATGTTGTTACATAGGTTAAGACAAATGTCATTATCAACGATAGTAAATAAAAATATATATACCGGTTCGATACTAGATTAATAGTTTTTTTACAAAAACAGAAATTTTAGTTATTGGTATTTAGTAGTTTAAACGATAAACATTATATTAAAAATCTTAATCATAAAATTCTATTAATAAGTGGAAAAAATTCGAGGAAGTGTAATTTCTCTGTTTGTTTTTTTTTAAGATGGCTTTTTCTTTCCATTTGTATTTGCCACCACTACCATGTTCTCAACCTTTTCGTCGATTGATTGTAATATTAGGTGGTCGACCTCTTGCCAATGCAAAAATGAGCAATCACATTCACAAAATCACAGCACTAACCAAAGGTTTTGAGGCATTTTAGAATGATATACGAGGTTATTAACAATTGTTATCACTTTTTCCCACTTAGCAATGACACCAACGTGGGACACCTGTTAATAAAATAGCATTGACAATGAAATCCATCATATTTTTTCTGGGGTCAAATGAAATCCATCAATTATGATGTGATAAACTTAAGTCTTCAGTACTTCTGGATTTATGGATCTAAATGTTGTCAGCAAAATAGGAATTACTGAACTAGGAAAACATGAGTTACAATGCCGTTAGTGCTGAATGATCAGAATTAACAGAATTCCGTGTAAAACCAGTAATTCAAATGATGAATAGTGTATCAGTTTCGAGTCTTGGCACCAATCATACAAAAAAATGTTCTCAAAAGTACTAATAAACATACGCATATTTGGAAAATACGTTGATTACTGTTTGTGTTTCAATTGAACCTATAATGCATGATTATGTTTATATCACCATCTTTTTTGAAAATATGCTCTAGCAAGAAAGAGGTTCACTAGAAATTTGGAAACTGGTTGTCGTAGACTCGTAGTGGAGTTAAAGAAATCAAATAATCAATCAAATCTAGCTTCTAGGGGGAGTTGCAAAAAACAAAACGTTATACATTCTTAAGATGTTTTATAGAGATTTCGATAACTCACTACTTTCTTCGTAGATGTGACACCTTATTAAGAAATATTTCGGATAGTACTATTTTTAAAATGTGTATATTCCCATACTTTTATGGCTATGTTCATAAGTTATCTATATAAAAAAAATATTTTAAAGGGAAGAAGACATAAGAAGAGTATGAAAAAGCTTATTTTCCTTGCTTTTAGGTTAAGGACAGTGATTCGTTGAAATAAAAAGTCCTAGGAAAAAAAAAATGAAGAGGGAAATCTTCTAGGCAAAGTTTTACTTTCCCCATGAAAGAAAACAAACTCTCTCCTCAGTTTTCTTCTTTGCTCTTACTGCCACTGCCCTTCACTGCCATTTCTGGCAAAGAAAAGATAACTGAGAAACTATTAGATAGAGAGAGATTACAAGGAACCCATCAAATCATATTTATATTGCCAAACTCGATATATGCATACACTAGAATCAGATGCCCGGAAAAAAAACATACACTAAAATTAAAATCTTAGCACGTACTCGTATTTATTTGTTTTAGAGTTATTTAAGATATGCTGGAGCCTGGATGTAGACAAAACAAATGTATTTTTATCTTCAGTGTCGGCGTCTGCACGTAATTCTTGAAAATCGAAGTAAATACTTTTTTTGTTTTCTGAGAAAGAGTAAGAAATAAATGGTCTCTATTTTTTTGAGAAAGAATACATACCTTAGTTACAAACCTAATAATGTGTTTGTCACAACATTTCCACTATATTAACAATATTTTGATTATGAGAAATTACAAAACTGGATTTTTCTTGGACATTTTGTACAGCATGCTTTTATCAACTTTAGATGTAACATTTACAAAATTATGATATAAATTAACTTTATCGTAGTGTATTTACGTTAAATACTTAGATTTTTTTGTTTTGTTAAAATTAGTTTAATAGTACGATTTTCATCATGATTGGTTACAATAATTTTTTAAAAGATAATAAGATATATTTTTCACAGTTTCATAGACAAGTGAAAATTGGTATCTAGTACTAAAATATTATCGTGTTTAAATTTTCTTTTAATGATCAAAACAGGCATAAATTCAGAGTGTTCTTTATGATATATGAAGAGTTAGGTAATTATATCATTAAACTTGTTTATATTAGTCAATCATGACTGACATCCTAAGAGAATAACTCCAAAATAAATTTTAGTGAGCATCACAATTTTCCAAAATTAATTATTTAACCACTTGACCAGAATTCGTTTACGGTATTAAGGTTATCTCTTTGTCATTTTAAATCACGCTACTTTTTTCCATTGTTAACAACCATTTATCACACCAGTATAATTTAGATAATCGTCTAAAACCATATTAACATAAGATTATTATTTGAATGTTACTTCTTAAATTATTGCGAGGGACTTATATACTATATATGATCTTTAATAATAGGACAAATAATCCGACAGCGGTAGAGATTGGAAGGAGAATGAAAAGACATCATTACTAAAAAGCCATTTTGGATGTATCACTAGGAAGGTGATACTAATATTCTAGAAAAAAAACTTACATGTGCTAAAATATAAAAACTTACAAGCATTTAGTACTAGGAAGGTGATACTAATATTTAAAATAAATATACTACAATTTTTAAATTAAAACATGAAGTGCTAAATAACACTTATACAGAGGTCAAAACTATCTAAGGATCACGTAATCACTTCAAACAAATTTGGATTTTATGTTAAACCAATCTAAAATAGCACTTTTCATTTTATCATTTATGTTATAATGCATGAATTGGAAGTATACGATAATATATGCATAGTTGTAAGCCGTGCATTTAAAACTATAAAAAGAGTTTTCATTCACCAAAAAATCAGTTTCATTTTAAATTAATTTATTCAACTAGCTCTATCAAGTTCTTCCAAATATATATCTTCATGTGAAAATCGATATCGGATAGTCCAACAAAGGAGGTAACTAATACATTTATATAGTATTCTAAAGAATCTATCGGTTATAGAGCAATCATTTATCAGTTCTACAAAAGAAAAGTTTAAAACAAAAGGACTTGAAACTGTTACTTGCAAGTTTTATTTAGTCCAAGTCAGGGCATATAATCTGCATTTATTAATAAAGTTGGTTCCTTGTTATAGATATTGTAATATGTGGTTAAAATTAAAAAAAAAACTAAAGTTATTTATAAATTTTACAGAAAAGCTCGAAAAGCAAGTGGGGACAGTCCGAATGTATTCTTTCTCTAAAACCCTAATGACCCTACTCTCTCCCTCTTAAACAGTAGGGCTAATCTCTATCTACACTCTACTCTTGTATAGCTATTAATATTTATATTTATAAAATGTTACTATAATTTTGGTGTATTTTTGTTTCTGTACCTTTGCTGTTTTTTTTCTTTCTATCCCACCGAGAAATGATTCTCTCGTATCTAGACGTCAATCCCATAAAATGAATGTATGTATTATCCATTTATCCCTAACGCCAAAACTAATTGCATTAAGGTTTCACGACGAGTTCTATACACATTTTTCTTAATAATCTTTGGTGAGCGGAGTAGCAATCAACTAGTGTAACTGACTTAAGCCATCAGATTAATTTGGGGACCGGACCCACACCAAGCTCGAGGGACGTAGTTCAAATTGGTTTGCCAAGAACAGACAGCATAACCAGCCGGCAGCACAGACAGTTTCAACCCTTTTCACAATTTTTTTCCTTCTTTGAAGAAAAAAGGTTTATGCAATTATGCTGAAATAAAACTTATTATTGGAATCTATAAAAACTTGGTTTTTGCCGTCCACAATGACTAACCTAATAATCTAAAATGTTTAGTTTTCAATCCAAGTTTTTGACAGCTCTCCACGTAGTTTAGTAGAGGAATAAATGTTTTACTGAGAGATGGTGTTAGCACGGGTATTTGTGCATTAAATCCGAAATAATAAGTTAATTATCTCATGGGTAATGCATGAAAGAACGTGATGCATTATGTCATGCTTACTTTTCTAGACTGATGTGAAAAGCTTTTTTAAAATTGATAATATGGCAGATTAGTTGTTGACCAAAAAAACAAATTATGCAGATCCTCCAATGTGGTCATTCTTTTTGGCACAGTTTATAGTTATCATTTCAAAACTAAATGAATTTTAAAAAATTATACTTGATCAAATATATAACTCAAAACTATTTAGTTGGTAATTCATAACTATGATAAGAATAGTTATGCTCAATAGTATATGTATAAAATTGCTAGATGTTAAATAATCTTACTACACTTTAAGTTGTGTAATTATGCGCATGTTTTTCAGGAAAAGTATGAATTTATAGTTTTTTTTTTTTTTTTTTTTTTTTTGTTCAAAAGTATGAATTTATAGTTTTATTAAGAAAGTGATACTCCATTTAAACATGTTTTCAGTCCAATGATAAATGTTAGTATATAATATTGTACTCCATAAATACACCATTTATTGATGAAAATGTCACTGAGTCAATTTAACAAATTTATCCCAAAATGATGTTACTCGTAAATAAAGCTTCTTACATATACCATTGATGTTCTTAACTTTTATAAGAGTAAACAAAAATTAACTAAATAAAAACGTTTTAAGACTCCATGCATAAACAAACAAATGTCGAGATTTATTGCATTTTTACTCCTTGCACATCTTCAAATAGATTCTCGTGAAGGTGATAGCCTGATAGGGCCCAATTCTTGAACTGCATACATATCTATTGAAACTAAAACGAATTAGAACCTTTTTTAATATACCTTTTAAGTAGAATATCTTTAAGAAAATTTGTTTTTTGATAAAGAAGAAAAATTGTTGAAGACAGCTAGGTTGTGTTATAATGAGATGCTCAAATAAGTGACAAAAAAAAGAAGGGGTTAGATACATGTCTCGGTGATTCTATATGCTTTGTAATAATTCCAAGTTACCATCGGTGTCCTGACCCTTTCTAAATATAAGTTTTATATATTGTTATCAAAATAAAAAAAGATTAAGGTGAGGAAAAGAAACTGCTAGTTTCTTAATTTGCTGAAATTTTGCTTTAGAGAGTCATGAAAAATCTAATTTTGCACTCATAGTTTAGAAACTTTTTTTAGAGAATCTTTAGACACTAGGAAACAAAACAAAAAACTTAATTAAGGGAAAAAACAACACTGTTTAACTCGTAGTGGAAGAAATATGATGTAAATTGTAAACTTCACGTCTGTAAGCTATTTTCATTTGAATTGGACAAGCTGGTCGACTAAGTGTACTGTTAATTGGAATTTTATGTACTTTAGAGCTATGTTCGTTTTCTATAAAAGTTTTTCTCTTATAACTATATGCTATATATGCTGCCATTTCAATTTTTCGTAAAGAAAAATAAAGTCGTACTCGAATTCCACAACTATAAGCTAGATTGCTAGAACATCAAATGTGTCATCACAACAATTATACTTTTACTCCATATTTATTTCGTGGACGTTGTCCAACCATTGATTTGACAGATAAACAATAACGGTGATGATGATACCATCTTCAACATGATGCTGATGATGACGATGGCGATGATATAGCGTGTATATATGTTTTCATATATCTATTATGGTAACCTTCAAATCATAGTAGGGTCATAGGGTTCCCCGTGAAAGATATTACCGTACCCACAAAAACCAATATCAGCATATTTTGGCGTAATTTGACTTTTAATTACACCTTATGTCCTTGTTGAATATTGGAAGTTTGGAACTACTAATTTTATCTTGTTTTGTCCAGAAAATGAAAATCTTTTGTTTTTTTTTTTCTTTCTTTTCGCTTTCGGTATCTACTAAAAATAGTAAACTCTGCTTGCATTTATTAGAAGGAAAGTAAATTAATATCTCCTGCAAGGAAAAGGTTGTTGTTATATGGACTGTATCTTTCGTAAATTAATCAAGAGATGTGATCATAGTTTCGAGGGGGCTACTCGTATACCATCACGTAATGACATTGGAAGCTTCAACATCTTTAATTAACTGGCAGATTTCTAGGGTTAGGGTTTTGCTCAGCACTATTAAATACACACATCCATAAGTTTACACACACAAACACGTAGTTACGTACGTAAGACGTAAGTATATGTGTATGTAGGAGAAATGTATATCCAGTCCATTAAGAAAAAATGGGTAGAGAGAATAAAGGAGAAAAGGTGAGGCTGTGAGACGTCACTGAAGAGGGAGACAAACTACAATCTCTCACTCTCTCTCTCCCCTTGCTTTACGTCACCTCTGTCACTGTTGAAAGATTTGTTATTTTGTTTTGCCTTTAAATATTATTATGTTGTTTATTAGTTGCCAATGAATCCAATCGATGACATAAAACCGTAAGCGAAAAATGTGATAGTGATAAGAGATGATACTAAAAAAAAAGAAAATTGGATACAGCTTCTACCGCTGCAATAAATGGTTACGAATCTAATAGATATACTTTACTGAGAATAAATAATTTTAACATTGTTTTATTGAATTCAATACTTATACTGTTATACAGTGCATTTTTATTCCTATTTTCTTAAACATAATATTTATTACAAATTCTAAGATAATTAAATTATAAATTTGTGTGTACATACGATTTCTAGTCTAGTTATATATAAAATAGGAACATAAAATGCTATAATATAATAAAAAATATTTGAGTTTTGTATCTCAACCGTGAAGAATATCTAAGCGAAGATAATCAAAACTAGTCGACGACCAAAACGAATTGACTAATAGTCATGTAAACATCTGATTTGCCAAAACAATCTAAAAAGGTCATGTAAACATCTGAAACTCTTAGGTTTGACCGGATCCAAAAGCAATTTGGTAAAAATAAAGTTGAATACTGATCTAATATAAGTATATAACTATATACCAAGTTAGGATATGATAGAAACGACATAAGAATAGATAAGAGATTGATTGGTAACTACAAACGTCAAATAGATATTCTCCTTGTTCCCCTCTTATGCCAAACATACAAACAATAATGGCTTCACATTTGGACCACCCAACCTTACCTTTCTTTCATTCTTATATGCTTTCAGTGCACACGTTGTTTTCGCTAATTATATACCTCTGATTGGGTAATACAATTAAGGATAAATAATAATAAAAAATCAGTCTAATCTTCAAAGCTTATATTTATAAGTTATAGTACAACACATGTGTTTAGTTAATTTGTCAAACACTCTCCATGCACTTTCATAACTATCACAGATTTTACGAAACATAATTTAATAACAAAAACAAAAAACATAGGTTTCCAAATCAAAGGAAAATGTCAAAAGACAATTAGAAAACAATGTCTTGCAACACCTTTGCTAGTGATATTACTTTCCAGTTGATATCGCATCGATACCTAACATCTTTGATCGTTCTAGACTAATCTTAAAAGTTTAACAACATGTGTATTCAAGAGAAACAAAAATTATCAAAACCATTATGTACATTCGGTTATCAACTCTGCATTATGCTAAATGAGAAAGAGTCTAAATAAAAAGACAACAAAGGGATAAATAGGTAGAAGGTGTTCAAGGTCTCAAGATCTACGAGTTTTTTTGTGTGCAAAATTAGTGAAGCTATTTACCTTGTCATATGTTTAAATTCTTAATTCATTTGATTTAGATAAACCTCCATACAAGAATTTGTAGATTTCACATAGTGTGATTTAGGATAGGGAGATAAATTGTTGCTTTCATCTTTAACTCATATTTCATGAGAAAAATTGTTGATTTCATCGGAGGTTTGTTTATGCATTTGTTCGAGGTTTCGCAGGAATCACCTCCGTTGCAGAAATCACATCTGAATCGGAGGACGCCATCTCTCTCTGATCAAAAATGGGTTTGGGTTTCTGAAAGGAATTAGCAATACAGAGAAAAAAGCGAACATGATATTATTACATGTCGTCTCTCGTTATAAGTAGACCAAACAAACATTTACCTGGTTCCGGTTGGGGGAACCAAGACAATGTTGGTTATTGCAATGATTTATCAATCTCCAACACCCCATTCTTGTAATAACCACCGAATTGTTCCAAGATCTAGGATCTCTTCATACCACTGATCCAAAATTCGTAGCCTCTTCTTTCGCAACTGAAATCGCAATACACATCCCAACAAACATACACAATTCCAATCGTCGTCAATAAAAACAGCAATATGAACAAATAAGGTCGATCAATTCCAGGCATGATCTAGTATATGTGTGGAATCACTCACCCAAGAAGACGATCGCAACCACAAGCATAACGCGTACCATCTCCAAAATTCTTTTATTTGGTTTTTTCTTTTCTCTTCAATCAAGAGTTCAAGAGCAATGAGTAATAAGGCCAAAAGGTATTTAGGAATGTCAAAGCAAAATGGACCGTTAGGTTTGTAGTTGCAGTTAAGGCCCAAACGTATATTATTGGCCCAAACGTTCTATGCTTTCATCCAATCATTGATTGATTAATCTATGAACTTTGATTTGCCACATGTATATATTTTAACATCTACCAAAATATTAAAATTGTAGTATACTAATCTGCCTCCGATCATTGATTAATATAAGAAGTTTCGTTTGAAGAAGCAACATTGACAATTGATGCTCCCTAACAGACAAATAATTTATACTAAGAACCAAATAAACCAACCAATTAAATAATTTATTTAACAAACAATAGAAGATCATGAAAATGAGATATACGTGCGATTCCCTATAAATACAAAATGTAAGTCAAATACGTTACTGATGAGTGGTTCCCACTAATCGTTATGTTCTGTTTTTTCTTCTCTTAATTTTGTCATTTTGTCAATTTCAATAACAGTGTATTATTAGAAAAATGAAATAAGTAATATTTATATCCAATTTTTTTGGTAACCAGAGTCTTTGCATTAGGCATTTATTGATCGGAGCCGTTAAAGCTTTTACATTTCTCGTGAATTTGAGCGGATTTCAAGAATAAAGATCCGAAACGGTTACTTATTTCTTGAAATATTTTGTGTTATTTTTCGGGATGAGTCAACTCGGCGATTTGCTCAGAGAATCGGCGGACGAAACCGGAAGTGGGAGGACGATGATGATGAGTTTGCTCGAGGAACAAGAACAAACCGACGGTGGAGATAGAGCGATGAGTAAATGGAGAACGTTGAAGCAACGGCTGAGATTTGATTGGGTCAGCTGTTGCGGTGTGCCCACGTTGCGTCTCAGAGAATCGGAAACGCCTATCGTCGCCGATGAAGAAAATGACGACGACGACGAAAACTCAGGTCAAAACCGGGTCGTTGACTTGTCAGATTCGGATCCGGGTCCGGGTTTGGTTGCGGAGCTGGATTGTTTGACACGTGGCACGAGGAACCTCGCGGAGGCTCTAGCGGAGGAGAGACTAGCGCGTGCTGAGCACGTGACGGAGGCTAAAGTTGCTATACCGTTGATGAGGTTGCTGGCGGAAACGGACGGTTGCGATACGACCACGTGGATGGGTAGCGATCAAGTGTGTTGCGTGTGTATGGGAAGAGAGAAAGGTGCGGCTTTTATTCCCTGTGGACATACGTATTGTAGAGTGTGTTCAAGAGAGATCTGGACGAGCCGTGGGAAGTGTCCTCTTTGTAACCGTTTGATCTATAACGTTCTTGATCTTTACTGAAAACAAACCAAATTCATGGAATTGTTATGATCGTTGGATTGATCTGATCGACGGTGATGATCTGTTTAGTTTCTATGTTCATATTTTATTGTAGTTACAAAAGAAATGGATGATTTAATATTGGTGATGAACCTTGTGGTAAAAATGAAATTTAAACGTTGTAAACAATAATTCAATTGAATATATAATTTCAGTACTTCAAGTCTTTAACTAGTACAGCTCTTGAGTGGTGTAAAAAAAAAAAAAACTAGTACAGCTCTTGAGTAAAGCATAGTTTCAAAACAAAAAAAAATGTATATTTGATGTGTTTTTCTTCACACACATTTATGTAAGTTAGAACTTTTATCTCATCAAATTTGGACTCCATGTGTTTATATTGTTTTAACTCTTAACGTAAAACATTTTTTTCAAAAGTTTATGTCAAAAAAGAAAAAAAAAATATATATATATATATATATATATATATATATATATTAGAAAATTGGACTAGGCCTGTTTTTGCCTATCGTCAATTATTGGGCCTAATCAGGATATATGTTAAGGTCCACAGGGCTTGTAAATTAGACATCAGTGTCTAAGTCAGTATTCAAACAAAACCATTGAAACTAAAGCCGCTCAATTAACTCAAAACAATTCACAACATTTTCTGTTTTTTTTTTTTTTTTTTTTTTTTTGGTAAAAAACAACAACATTTTCTGTTCCTAAAGCATTGGTTTGTCTCCAAGTCATACATGAGTTTGTGATGTTAACTTTACATGAAAATCACAAGCAAATATGTAGGAATCTAGGCATGTGTGTTATTAGTGGGTTGCTAGGCTTAAATCACATCATGAAGCATTATCAATTATCTGGTCAAGCTTCAAAAACACTCTCTTTTTCTTTTATTTATCGAAAACAACAAGCTTCAACAATATTCTAAAGTGCAGTTGCGTAAAATCATAGGACAATATATAATGATGGAAAGTTTAAGTATTGTCAACAATCGAATATAAACTAAGTAATGATATATCTCTATCGTACAAAACATTATATGTACAGTAACAAACATTCCATTCTCATTTTATTCCCTTCTTGGAAAAAACAACACAAAAGTGTGTATATATAAATTTGGTTAAAGAGCTTATTCTCCGTAATAGAGAAAAAAAACTAAGGGGAACATATGCCCTCGAGGACAAAACTGTTTGGTGTATTCAAAGTCATCAAATTCTGGAATTAGAGTCAACTTCAGACATTTTATGTGCGATATCATGAGGGAGAGCTACAGATATTATGTACCTTACGTTACCTTTTTGGATTCAAATTCAGTAAGTGGTTCAGATAAATTGACAAATCGTGTAAGAACAAGTAAGTGCAGCCTTTTCTCGAATGTCTTATAACTTGTAACTAGCTAGTCTTTTCTATTACACATGAAAGCAAGATTAAATCATCCCATGCATGCAATTCAACAGTTTACAATTATATAAAACAACAATTGTTTCGGTGTTTTCTGTTTGCTTTTGCGTTTACATGCATGTTACAGTATTTATTTATTTTGGTGGGTCAAAGGAAAGAACAATCTTTACTAACATTCTTAATACAAAACAGCATCGCATACTACAACAGTACGACCTTTAGTATTCAGAACATGTGTTTTTTTTAGTTGTAAAACGCAAACAGAAGGGAATAAAAAACTACTGTTTTAGTGTTTTGTCAAAAAAAAAAAAAAAAAAAGATTTAAGTAGATATATCATATATGTAAGTCTACAGATATGTCAAAAGTGGGTGCTGAATTATTTGTGGCTACTGAGAGGAGATGTGTCATAGATGTGTGACCCAGGTAAGATATATATGGATCATGTATTTATGTATGTATAGATGAGAACAACGCATGTGCATCAAGTTCCAAAATAAAGTTGAGACAATGTCGTCCATGTTCATGAACCCATCTCTCATTTATGGTTAACCAATTTGGCACAAACCTTAAATTTGGCCCCTCCCATGCACCAAACACATTTAACAAGACACACCTTTCCTAAGATGGCAAATCTCCACATCCTTATCTCACCATTTAACTTGTTAATTTCTACTTTCTCATGATTATACATTCATCAAGACGACCAAATGAAGTGTTGTTAGCACGTTGATATATTCTGTATGTTTTTTTCTGGATCAGAATTTCTGTTTTTATTTCTCTTAAAAGGTACTATCTGAACTATTTAAACAGTTGATCTCTGAATTATGTGAACCACGGGAGAGAAAAGTAGAAGACAAGCGAGCAAAAATTACAAAATTATGACTGCAATATAAGGTAAACCATTGACAAACTTTTTTAATAATAAAAAAGAGTTCCTTGGAAAGTATTTGATGTGCGTCACGATGATACGGTGAAGTCTAAGAAAAATGGTGAGTCGATTAAGTAGCCGAAAGGCTAAGTTGGTAGATCTAAGAGATGATTAGTGAGTAGAAAAGAGACCGCACAAGTTTTGCCATAAAGAGGGAAGACACGAAACCGAATTATAGAATTTAAGATTAATATCCATCTATAATTTAGTCCAAAAGCAAAAAAAAAAAATTAGTATATATATAAGGACTTACTATTTTTGAATCTCTGCAGTGCTTGAAATCATGTCAGGTATTACTAATGTTCCAATCATTTCTTTTTGTGTATCTGCAGATTGACCTAACTAATAAAAGTATAACTTTACAGATCAATATGACTATTAATGACAATACAATCCAATCTATTTCTTTATTGGCGAATTATATCAAAATTAGGTAGGTGTCTATAATTTAATTTATTTCCACCATATATTATTAAGAATTGTTTACATAATACGTATATACTATATACTGACATGGTTGTTTACTGCGAAAGACTCGTCTTATAGCAGTCGGGTATGCATTATATAACATGCATCAAAAGAAACCAAAATAATCTGACATGGTTATACTCTGCACTTATACTTAAACTAACTGCATATGCAGATTGATTATATGCATCTGATCCAATAAATAAATAAACCATAAAAATATAGTATACCATAAATTAAGATATCCACGTCAAAAGAAGAGAAGAAACAAAATTGCCTCAAGAAAGAAGACTGGGAAAAAACAACAGCTGAAAGGCGATTAGGGTTTCCTTCCTACCGTCGCCGGCAATGCAGCCTCACGCTCATAGTCGAGAATCTCCTCTCCTCTTCTCTTAGCAATGGCCGCGGGGATCTCCCCGCATCCGGATCCAGTGCCTCCGGACCTTCTCTTCCACTTCCCGTCGCCACCTACTCTCTATGCTTCGTCAGATCCACTCCCCGTTCCGTCCTCGCTCGTCTCTTCCCCTGGCAATTCTCAAACCACGACTTCTTTGGAGGGTCTTGTCCCCGTCTCTTCACCTGGAGATCGATCTCCGTTGGTAGTTTGTCCTGAAACCGCTGCTCTTGAAAAACCTGTTTCTTGGGTGGCTAAGTTCAAGCCTCAGTTCAAAAATCTGTCGAAGATTGGCTCCCCAACGATGTCGTCAGATGGAATTCCACAAATCCAAGCTCCGGATTCAATAGTCCTGAAACCAGTCACCACATGGAAGAACCATATTGTTGCTTACTTCCATGGAAATCCCCCTTCTTCAGCAAAGATCTTCTCAGACCTCAATCCGATTTGGGGCTCAAAAGGAAACATTTCAATCAAACATCACTCTTCAGGTGTTTTTCTTATTCTAATTCCGAATCTAGAAACAAGGAATTGGGTCTTGGATGTCGGGTTCTGGCACTCTGGGAATTGCTCTATCACAGTAACTCCCTGAGAATCTCATTTAGCTATCCGGAAAATGAAATTAGTCCATGCTCCCGTCTGGGTTCTCTTTCGTCGGGTCCCTCGTGAACTCTGGTCGGAGGTGGGATTCAGTACTATTGCTTCGGCGGTAGGAATTCCGGTACACACAGAGTTTCTGAATATCAAGCCTTACACCAATGGAGTTGTCAAACTCCGAGTAGTCATTGAGCTTGCCAAGAAAAGGGCTAATTCGGTCCGTATCACTGACAAGCTAGGGAACTCCGTTTTGGTGCTCACGGAAATTCAGAAACTCCCACCAAAATGTGGGAATTGCAAAGAGTTTGGTCATCTCGCTCTTCGCTGCCCCTCACCAATTGCTCCTATTGCAGTGGTTCGTCCAAGTGCTAATAAAGTAGTCGATAAGGTCTCTGTCGAGGAAGTGTTAGCCACTTCTACACAAAACTCTTCGTGTGAGGAGATTTTCCCCTCCTCTGATTGTGGAATCACCTCCGGTAATATTCAGATTCCGGGATCTCCCAGGAATCCTCCCTCGCCTTTGTCCAGCTCTACCTCCCCTCCTCATCAGAACAGACCTGAGGAAGATGAAGAGGATGCCTTTAAGGTCGTTCATAGGAGATCCACCCCTCCTCCTTGCTCCCAGTCAGCTCTGGAAAATGCCAAACAGTCATCTCCGGTGACTTCGGCTCAGTTCAGAGAAGAAGAGGATATTATCAAAAGCGCTCAGTTGGTGATTAGGAACCGTTTCGATGCCTTGCACGCCACAGACGCAGAATCCTTCCCGGCTTTACTCTCTCTTAAGCAAGAAAGGAGGATTATTCGTCAGCAATTTTTTGAGTCGCTTCCTCCGATGGTACCGAAGACTTACCTTCAGGCAGTGGAACAGGGAGACTCGGTAGCCTTCATCTATGCAAAGAACACTCGGGAAGAGAGAATTCCACTTTGGGAGCTTCTTAAAGAGTTAGCAGCTTCATCTCCAGTTTCTTCCTCTCCTTGGTTGGTAATGGGCGATTTTAATCAGATATTATCTCTATCTGAAGCCTACTCTCTCCTGCCTACGTCAATCTCCTTGAGAGGTATGGTGGATTTCCAGGAATGCCTAGACTCGTGTAGGCTTTTTGACTTATCCTCAAGAGGTTGTGTGTATACTTGGGATAATAAGTCCTTAACTAATCCGAAGGCCAGAAAATTGGATCGAGCTATCATCAACGAGCATTGGCAGGATTCCTTTCCGAATGCTAATGCTCTTTTTGATGCCCCCAGAAGTTCAGATCATTCTCCTTGCTTAGTTTCTCTCTCCAACGAGATCCGAAGAAGGAAGTCTAGATTCAATTTCTTCACGTTTTTCACGTTCCATCCAGAGTATAACAGGCTTATGGAGACTGCGTGGAACTCTGTGGCTATCTCTGGAGGGCCTATGTTTTCCTTGTACCAGCCTTTAAGAGCAGCTAAGCTTTGTTGTAAAGGTCTTAATCGCTCAAGCTTCAGTAATATTCAAGCTAGGTCAAAGGAGGCCTTCGATAAGTTGGAATTAGTTCAGAGGGACCTTCTCACGGACCCTTCCCCTGAACTCTTTCAACAAGAAGCCACAGCTAGGGAGTCTTGGCTTCTTATTTCATTAGCTGAAGAATCTTTCTTTAAGCAAAAATCAAGAGTGAGATGGCTTAAGGAAGGAGATTCTAATTCAGGGTTTTTTCATCGCTCGGTCAAATCAAACCTTTCTAGGAACGCTATTCATCATCTCCGAGACGCCAATGGTCAAAAAATCTCCAATCCTGAACTCATCAAATCAATGGCAGTCGCTTATTACAGTGATCTCTTGGGCTCCTCTAATGATGCAGTTCAGCCATATAGCAAGAGTGAGCTTCAAGAGCTCCACTCCTTCCGTTGTGATGCAGTTACGGCCTCGATGCTCTCTTATATTCCTTTAGATGAGGATATTACAAAGGCTATCTTCTCTCTGCCGAAAGATAAAGCCCCAGGTCCTGACGGGTTTACCATGGAGTTCTTCACTACTTCTTGGGGTTTGGTAGGGTCTTCCTTGATAGCAGCGGTGAAAGATTTCTTTACCTGTTCTTATCTGCTACGTCAGGTCAATTCCACTGTTATTTCCCTGATCCCAAAAGTTCCGCGAGCTGAAACTCTCCAGAATTTTCGGCCCATCTCTCTTTGTAACACGGTGTACAAGGTCATCTCTCGTCTGCTGTCCGCGAGGCTCAAGATTCTGGCCCCTCTAGTGGTTCAGAGGAACCAGGTTGGCTTCGTGAATGGGAGGCTCCTTTGTGAAAATATTCTGTTGGCGTCGGAGTTGGTAAGGGATTTTAATAAAGAAGGGAACATTACAAGGGGCTGTCTCCAAATTGATATTTCTAAGGCGTATGACAACGTTAGTTGGGATTTTGTCCGAAATTTGTTGGAAGCTTTTGAGTTACCGGACAATTTCAAGGAATGGATCAATCTTTGTATCTCATCTCCTCATTATTCAGTATCAGTTAACGGAGAGCTTGCTGGATTCTTTAAAGGAAAGAAAGGTTTACGTCAAGGAGACCCGATTTCGTCTTCTCTCTTTGTTATGGCAATGGACATTTTATCCAAGCTTCTGGATAACGCGGTTACTTCTGGTGGCTTTGTTCCACATCCGTTGTGCCTTGATCCTTTAATCACCCATCTCAGCTTCGCGGATGATGTGCTTGTCTTCTTTGATGGCTCGGAGGGTTCTCTTAGGGTGATTTTGGAGGTATTAAAGGAATTTGAGAGAGTATCGGGTTTGGCTTTAAGTTTGCGAAAATGTTGTCTTTTTCTTGATGGGAATAACATTGATACTACTTGTGAGATGGCTTCGAGATTTGGGTTAACTCACGGGTCCTTGCCTGTCAGATATTTGGGTCTCCCCCTTATGCCTCACAAGTTGAGACAGCAAGATTATCAGCCTTTGGTTGATAGAGTTCGTTCTAGGATTTGCTCGTGGGCAGCGAGACAACTCTCTTTTGCTGGGAGACTCTAGTTGATACAATTTGTCATCTTTGGCATCATCAACTTCTGGGCAGCCTCTTTTCCTCTTCCAAAATGTTGCTTCGATATCTTGGAGAAAATGTGTAATTCCTTTCTGTGGAATGGCAATTCTGAGTCGGCGAGAGGAGCAAGAGTCTCTTGGGAATCAGTGTGCACTTCCAAAAGTGTTGGAGGACTGGGTCTTCGAAGATTGGAGGATATGAACCAAATTTTCAGTCTAAAGTTAATTTGGATACTTTTTGCATCAAATGGGTCCCTGTGGGTTGCTTGGGCTCATAAGCATGTTTTAAAAGGAAGAGTCTTCTGGTGTCCAGCCTTTTAATTAACGGGCAGCTGGATTTGGAAGAGCCTACTTAAACTTCGTGCAGTAGCGAGGTCTCATCTCGTTTGTAAGGTTAACTCTGGATCAACAGCTCTTTTCTGGCATGATAATTGGACAGATTTGGGGCCTCTGATTGAGTTAACAGGGGCAAACGGGCCAAGAGTAACGGGTATCAATCGGATGGCAACGGTCAATCAGGCTTGTACTAATTCGATTTGGCTTATTTCAAGGGGAAGACATCCTATTCTAAGGCTTCTTCGGGATGTGCTTCCTCCCACTCTTCCGTCTTCTCTGAATTCTCTTCAAGATGACTTCCTCTGGAAAAGCTCTCCTTCTGCTGAGGTAGGAGCTTTCTCTTCTTCCAAAACATGGGATTCTCTTCACCCGGCAGGTCAATCTCTTACCTGGACGAAACCTGTCTGGTTTAAGGAAAGAATTCTGAGGCTCACTTTTATCTTGTGGATGGTTATGCGAGATCGTCTCGTCACCAGAGATAAACTAAGGTCTTGGGGCCTAAATGTTCCAGCATCTTGTCTCCTCTGTGACGACTATCCGGAATCCAAATCTCACCTTCTTACTGAATGCATCTACTCTCGAGAGATCTGGACCGCCTTCTTTTGGAGGTCGGGTTTATCTCCCCCGGATTCAATTGAAGAGATTGTCGTTTGGTCAGATTCGCCTTCCTCTCAGAGGAAAGTGAACACAATTTGCAAGATTTTAGTTCAGGCGATTGTCTATTGCTTTTGGAGAGAGAGGAATTCGCGCCTGTACACTACTCATTCTAAACCGCCCCATGTCTTGAGTAAGGAGATTTAGATTATCTTAAGAGCCAAGCTCTTTAGTCTAGATCGTTCAACGACTCCTTCCAACTCCTCCGGTCTTGAAGAGTCTTATCTCTTCACCTGGTTTTCCTTGTTCAATTTGTAATTTCCCTCTGTTTAGCTGCTGCTGCTTTTGTTGTTGCTTTCTGGTTCTTTTGCTCCTTGTTGGAGACTCCTTTGTATTTCCCGCTTTTGAGGTTCTTTAATGGAAATTTATGAAAAAAAAAAAAAAAAAAAAAAAAGGCCGCCATCGCAAAGCTAAAAGGTTGATCGACAGATTACAGTTTCACATTGTCTTTGTCGTCGACTCATCATTTATCTTAAGCATGCGTTGGTCCTTCATTTTAATTTTTATTCTTTTCTATTTTTTTCGATTTGTTAACGTTTTAGGACTATCATTATCATACAAGACGTTTGTAGTTTTACACAAATAATACATACAATTTTTTAAAAACCCATACATATTATAAAAACATTAATATCTTCATCTTAGATATCCGCGGATCTCACTTTTCTTTTGATTATGTATGTACAAACCAATATTAGAATCTCTAAGAAATAAAATCTTCATCTCTATATAACTTCCTAAACCTATTTTAACTCTTTCAATTTGGTTATCTAAACATTTACACCCAAAAAAAAAACTTCATGAACCAATAATCTTAACTTTATTGAAAAGAGACAATCTTGAAGGGCGGCAATAAGTATCTTTATTGCTGTGTTAGTTAATCGATTATTCCAAGTTCAAACCTTAGTTATGTACTTATGTAAGCACCTTAGTATAATAAAGAGTAATTGCAATATATACCCTCATAAGTCATTATTTAAATACTATAAAAGCGCAGACAGGGATTAGTCTAATCAAGTGCGACGTTATTAAGAATAAATTCTTCATCAGAACGGATACTTTAATCAACATATATTTTTATATATAAATAAATGTATAAACGAACGAATCATATGCAACTAAAGTAAAATAATATAGGTATTGTTCGCTAGGATAAAAATGCGAAATTATCTGCTAGATTCATTAACGGAAATGGGTTCTCATCAATTAGAAAACGTTAACAGTTGTAATGGCATCCAAAGCAACAATAATTTTCTTAAGAATTATACAATATATTAAAGTTTGTATTCAAAAATATTATTCACCTAATTCAGAATGACATATTTACGACTTTGCATCATATCTCTTTTAAGCAAACCGAATCTTTCGAAAAGAAAATTCCCATCATTCAATTGTCCTCGTGCTTTATAGATATATAGAAATACAAATTAAATTTTATAAATATGCTGAATCGTCACGTAAATGAATTAAAAAAAAAACGAACTACAAGTTCATGAACCTGATATATATATGTCCCCTAGTGATATAATCTATTTTGTATGATTTGATTTGTCGTACCACATGTGTTCAACCACTCATAGGTCATAACTAATTGACCAAAAGCTCCGATCTCCAAGGGAATAAAGACATTGTTAAGGATTATTTACTATCAGTGATGTGTAGTTAAAGACTATCTAAACGTTCACGAAAGAAAATTTTGATTTATGTGGACCGGATGTCTTATCAGTAACGTAAGTTGGCTTGTAACTAAAATTAAAAATAATAGGTGCTTGTTGGTTCCTGTAACCTTCTTGTCTTCTTGATCAGGTGGATGAAATTGTATACTTTGTTAATGTATTTTGTGGAATATTGTTGAGAGTAACAAAGATTCGATAAACAAAAAGTTAGTATATGCAATAATTTTTAAAACTATAAAATATTGTAAATTTCAAAAAAATCAGTTTAACCCAAAATAAATGTTTATTTCACTGTCCCAGTAGAAGAAATCTTTTACACGGTTTCACCAAATATTTGCAGTGTACGTACAATCGTATAAACACAACGTACACGGCACACTCAGGATTGACAACTGCAAGTTATATATTAATTCAAGAAATGAAAATTAAAGGCGTATATATAAACCAATAAGCCTTCATTTAATTTGTAGTGAATTGCAGCAACCAAAAATTAAAGGCTTCTACATAGGGTTTGAATGGAGACACAGATTAAATAATTTGTTTCTCCCAATATGTTTTTTCCTCGTCCACGTTGCAGTTTAAGCTTCAAAAATATCCCTTCTAGTAAATCTATAGTTCAAAGTCAACCAACATATCTCTACCAGCAGAGTGTAATGATCTTTCCTTTTACTACAGACAAACTGACAAAGTTATTATCCGACGAGATCAAATGCAAACTTTAACCTAGCTCAAATAGGTATTAGGTATTAGGTATTATTCATAATCATGAGTAATTGAGTACCAAAATTTAGAAAAGTGAAAGAAAACAAAAATATAACACGAACAAGAATGAAGTCTAGAATCGCCCAAGAGAAAAAGTAGGTAGCAGCCACGACCGGAGTCTTTGTTCGCACTTTGGTCAACGTTTTTAAGAAGATTGGGAGAGACTCAGCATTTTGCTATTCACCAATTAATTGTGTCCTATTGCCTATTTTTTGTTTTTGTTGCAAAAAACTATATATTGCCTAGTTGCAACTTGCAGCTAGAAATTAAAATACTAAACATTTTATATTATGAAAATAAAACATTTTATATTATATAACTTTACGATGGTTGTGATATTTTCTTGGGTGCATTATTGAGTTAGAAAATATGGTATAATATAGAGAAAATAGTGAAACTTATATGAAGATCGTCTCAAACTATTTGAAACAGCTTTTTGTATGAAACTTCTGCTGATGTGCTAGAAAATAGGGGAAATTTCAAAAACACATGTATTTATTCAAAATAAAATATTGCTTGTTAACTCATGTAAAGACGCCATTAGCATTATTCTTTTTGTATTTTTTTTTTTTTCAAATTGAGTGTGGGAATATTCGACAAATTCAACTTCGCATATAGTTATTTGATTCTATATAATTTAATCATGAAACATCTAATCAGAGTATAAGTTTATTCGTCCGAATTGCATGTGGAGGAAATTAAAGATAAATTGACTCATCAAAAAGCGGCGAAGCAAGAATATTATCAACCAACCCTGTAATTTTGGTAGTTTTTTTTTCTCTCCCATATGCAAATTCATATTTTAAATTTGTGAAATAACTCCCCAATATTTGACTGGGCTCTTTGATACAATTATCTTGCAAGAACTCTTTTCGGATCGTGATAAAGTAGCAAGATCATTCTGTAATATGTTTGACTTGCTGTTATTTGCGTTATACGCAAGATTACATTTGAGTAATTTTCAAGAACTCTTTTCGGATCACCTACAATAAATGATAGTTAAGCATAGTTAATCTAACACAATTTTAGGATTGTTAAATTACGAAAAGTACCCTATATAACTAATGTAAATTTGGAAAGTCTTTATATTTTGATCACTAAAATGATTTTTTTAAAAGCATTTAGGATATTAACGGAATGATAACCATCTGTCAAATAAAACGAGCCAGAATATAAGAAAATCGAAAAACAGGCGTTACACATTTTACAGGAATCTCAGAGTTCTACACTACTGGCTACTGCTGTTTTAAGAAAGATGGTGATATGTATGTTTTAACTAGCGATATAGATGATGGACTTTTCAACATCGGTATGTTGAAGATGACTACAAGTGATAGTAATGGTTTTTTTTTTTTTTCAACAACTATTCATTAGATGTGGTTATGATTCGAACAATGGACTCAAGCAGTGTAATAGACGTCATAGATTTTTCTTATTTGTTGACCAAAAACAAAATCTTATTTGTAAACCATTGTATTTGTAAGTATTTCCAATAAAAATATTTGAAAAAAGGAAAGAGAAAAGAAACCAACTGAAGTGCATAAACAGACACCCAAAAGGAAAATGCCAAATGAATCAATCTCATAAAAAAAAGATAAATAAAAGGGTAGGGGTCCATTTTAGATGTGATCACATACATGCTCCACGAACTTCTGTTTCTTTTACTTTATTTTATTTTATTTTATTTTTATCTATTTGAATGAATTATCTTATCTATGAGTCTATGACTATCACACATATATTTTCTTACATTTTTTTTAAAAAAATTATTAAATGTGAAATGTGAAATCCAATCTATTTCCCTCATTTGCGCCTATAAATAGCAACCTTCCCTCATTCTCTCAAGTACGCTCACATCAAAACAACCAACAACACACGCAACTTGCTACTTTAAACAAAGACTTTCAAAGAAGAGAGAGAGAGAGAGATGGAGAAGAACATTAAGTTTCCAGTTGTAGACTTGTCCAAGCTCAATGGTGAAGAGAGAGACCAAACCATGGCTTTAATCAACGATGCTTGTGAGAATTGGGGCTTCTTTGAGGTACAATTATACGTGTTTTTTTCTTTCAAATTAATATGATTATACCTAGCCTCTTAAGTTAATTTGTGTACTTAATGGTAATGCGGATCTCTTTGTCTTGGGTGAATTTATTTTTCAGTTAGTGAATCATGGTTTACCACATGACCTAATGGACAACGTCGAGAAGTTGACGAAGGAGCATTACAAGAAATCTATGGAACAAAAGTTCAACGACATGCTCAAGTCCAAAGGTTTGGATACTCTCGACACAGAAGTTGAGGATGTCGATTGGGAAAGCACTTTCTACCTTCGTCACCTTCCTAAATCCAATCTCTACGACGTTCCTGATATGTCTGATGAATACAGGTACATAGATCAAAAACAAAATCATTATGTCTGATGAATAATTATTTTCTTGTATGAAAATAGATCAATCCAAAATCCCCCTTTACCCCATAAAATATTTAGGTACATCAAGAACAATAATGCTAATTAATTTATAGTAGGGTCACGCAAAAAAAATTCTCAAAGATAACTAACCAAAATAATAATTTAATTATCCCATCTACCACTTTTACCTTAGTTAAAAAGTTTGTTTTGATATTTTATTATGTCCTCTAAAAGTGTTTTGATTTCTCAGGACGGCCATGAAAGACTTTGGTAAGAGATTGGAGAATCTTGCAGAGGATTTGTTGGATCTATTGTGTGAGAATCTTGGTTTAGAGAAAGGTTATTTGAAGAAAGCATTTCATGGAACAACAGGTCCAACCTTTGGGACAAAAGTGAGCAACTATCCATCTTGTCCTAAACCGGAGATGATCAAAGGTCTTAGGGCCCACACTGATGCAGGAGGCCTCATCTTGTTGTTTCAAGACGACAAGGTCAGTGGTCTCCAGCTTCTTAAAGACGGTGATTGGGTCGATGTTCCTCCACTCAACTACTCCATTGTCATTAATCTTGGTGACCAACTTGAGGTACGTTTATGTTCACACCACATTCCCAATATATCTTTTTGCTATTAGAAAAAAAACCATGTTTTAGTATTGAAATTGGGTTTTAGTTTGGTCATAGTTTAAAAAACTTTGTGATAACGGTTTGTAAATGTTCTTACCAATTCTAACCGGAAGAGTGACATTTGCAAGTTGGAAATGATTATGATATATCCGGTATAATTAAACCAAGATGAAAACTAAACCGATCTTAATTTCGTATAAAGTGAACCGGAACATCATTTACATTCTTAACCGGAACTATCTTCTTGATTGAGTGTAGGTGATAACCAACGGCAGGTACAAGAGTGTGATGCACCGTGTGGTGACTCAAAAAGAAGGAAACAGAATGTCGATTGCATCGTTCTACAATCCAGGAAGTGATGCTGAGATCTCTCCCGCTACATCGCTTGTCGGAAAAGAAAACGAGTACCCGAGTTTTGTCTTTGATGACTACATGAAGCTCTACGCTGGTGTCAAGTTTCAGGCTAAGGAGCCACGTTTTGAGGCAATGAAGAATGCTTCCGCGGCTACAGAATTGAAGCCAACAGCAGCCGTTGAGACTTTCTAAACCGGAGTTGAGATTCTAAGAAGAAGATGGTTTTGTGTTGTGTGCTTACGTTAATAAGTTTAAGACTGAGATTAGTGTTGATATAATTAAGAACCTGGCGATTAATTGTTGGGTCAATTGTGTGTTTAAAAGTGTGGGGGTGTTTATGTTTATGGAAAACAATAATAATAATAATCTGAGATTTCTAAGAGTTGTAATGTGTTAATCATCAAGTGTTTCAGAAAATCAGAACTTTAAGCTAATAATGAAGCTAAGAAGATTTTATCATTCAACAACAAAAAAAAACATAACAGATTAAACGATAGAGAAACAATAATATTGTTGTGGGCTGGTTTTTATAATAGGCTAATACTATAAATTTATCAGGCCCATTTGTTCTCGCTGTAGTCAACGAGTAACGGAACAAGCTTTAACTGCTTCCACGTGTTTCCGTTAACGGCTCGCCACGTGTAAGGATCCACTTGGCAAACATATTTTCAGCTGTAAATCTGTAATGATAATAATTTAGTACGAAAAGGCATCGAATTGCTTCACTCACGGATTGTTCACAATAGTTTGTCGCTAATAAGTACTGTAATATTTCGCCTTTTGAAAAGAACAAAACAGTTTCTATTAACATTGCCAAACATGGTATTTTTTCATGGGAACAAATGGGATAAACTCAATTCACACACTTTTATCCCATATTTTGATCAATCAATTACAGCTCTCTGAAAAATTGCCAAATAAATTTTGATTTGGTAAACAAAAAATGTTGAAGACTAATGACTTTTGCGAGGTTGAATTTGATTTGGTTACAAAATCTCAAGGTATATTTACATTTTAATTTTTAAAAACATTTGGATTATTTTGAAGTCTATCTTCATCTAGAATTTGTATCTTTTTAGGATAAGACTTGGTTATAGAGAAATATTTGTATAAGATACACGTTTCGTTTACTGATTTTATCGAAAATATTAAATCCATTTTAACCAGTAAAATATAACATTAGCTTTTGTTTATCATCATCGATCCAATGATATGCAACCATTCAAGTCGGCATTAAGCCATTAACTTTCTCCGAAAATACACTCTCCTTACACGAACCAAACAAGTTTTGATTTGTTCTCAAGAGAAAAAATAAATCTATAAATAATTTTTTTTATATATATAGTATAACTCTTTCTCTCTGAAAAGGCTAACTTTTGAACGAAGCAATCACGAGAAACCTTTGAAAATCTCTCACTTTGGATCCGTTCCTTATTCACTTGGTTTCTTCTTTAACTTCCAAACCTCAACTTGTATCCAAAACTTTCTGGTGCTTTTCCGTCTTCTCGTGTCCTTTTTTCCCCCGGAAAATCTCTTCCTCTTCTTTGTTAATTTTCCCGGAAAATTAGTTTCATTGTTCTACCAGAAGAAAAGAAAGATGAAACCCATTTGTTTCCTTCTCTGTTTCTGTTTCCTTCCGGTAAAAGTCTCTTCCTTTTGACATAAACCCTTCTTGGTTTTGACTACAAAAATCCTCTGTTTCAGAATTTTATTTGGGTCTTTTTCTTTTCCTTGATTCTGTAATTGTTTTCCCGAGAAACTTAATGAAACCGCGGCTATATTCTCCGGAGATCCTATCGAACCCATGTTTTTGAATCAGTTCATGCACTTCCTGAAATCAATTCACACTTTCAGAAGGAAAAACACAGCTTAACACACACTTAACCAAACACAAACCCTAGATCCTCTGTTTTTTCAAAACCTACCTTGTAACCCAAGCAAAAACTCTTCTCTGATTCACCATGTCTGGTTCATGTTTCAATCCGTTTCGTCTCCGGCGTTCTCTGAAATCCAAGTTTCCTCCAGAGCCTTCTTACCCGGCCTTATCCGCTCTCCCGTCTTCCTCCAAAACCAATCGGTACGCAGAAAGTGAGACCATGGAGAAGAAGAGATTCGACAGTATGGAATCTTGGTCGATGATCTTAGAGTCCGAGAACGTGGAGACTTGGGAAGCTTCTAAGGGAGAAAGAGAGGAATGGACCGCAGATCTTTCGCAGCTCTTCATCGGAAACAAATTCGCTTCCGGAGCTCACAGCCGTATTTACCGAGGGATCTACAAACAGAGAGCCGTCGCCGTGAAGATGGTGAGGATCCCAACACACAAGGAAGAGACCAGAGCTAAGCTCGAACAACAGTTTAAGTCTGAGGTTGCTCTGCTTTCTCGTCTCTTCCACCCTAACATCGTCCAGGTCAGAAACTTTTCTATCTTCTTACCAAAGTCTAAACCTTTTCTATTCATTATCAAGAACAAGAATTATCTTGGTGGGAGAAAAAAAACAGAACAAAGATCTTGTCTTTACGAGGTTTAAATTGTTATCTCTTAGCTAATTGTATCTTTGATTTTGGTATATAGTTTATTGCGGCGTGCAAGAAACCGCCGGTGTACTGCATAATAACGGAGTACATGTCGCAAGGTAATCTCCGAATGTACCTGAACAAGAAAGAGCCATATTCGCTCTCGATCGAGACAGTACTAAGGCTGGCTCTAGACATCTCAAGAGGAATGGAGTATCTTCACTCGCAGGGTGTGATCCACAGAGACTTGAAGTCTAACAATTTGCTGTTGAATGATGAGATGAGAGTCAAAGTTGCAGACTTTGGGACTTCTTGTCTTGAGACGCAATGCAGAGAGGCCAAAGGTAATATGGGAACTTATCGATGGATGGCTCCAGAGATGATCAAGGAGAAGCCTTACACTAGAAAAGTCGATGTTTATAGCTTCGGCATCGTTCTTTGGGAACTCACCACTGCGTTGCTTCCGTTCCAAGGCATGACTCCTGTGCAAGCCGCGTTTGCCGTCGCTGAAAAGGTGAAGTAGCGTTTGTGCTATGGTTTCTTGTTGTACAAGTTACCTGGGACGCAAGTCATTAAATATTTGATTCTAATAATGTGCAGAACGAGAGGCCGCCATTGCCGGCTAGCTGTCAGCCAGCTCTAGCTCACCTTATCAAGAGGTGTTGGTCGGAGAACCCTTCGAAGCGGCCGGACTTCTCAAACATTGTGGCGGTGTTAGAGAAGTACGACGAGTGTGTTAAAGAAGGACTGCCTTTGACGTCACACGCAAGCCTCACGAAGACAAAGAACGCGATTCTGGATCGACTTAAAGGCTGTGTCTCATCCATCAGCTCACCATCTTCTTCTTCCTCATCTGTTCCTGTAAATGCATAGTACTGTAGTTTAAAGTTGTTTAAGTACCATAAGTCCATAACCCACTCTCTCATTTAAAGGTTACTATTCTTTTTATTTTTCTTACATAAGTTACATAATTATATTTTGCATCTACGCGATGTTATTATTTGATGATATACACGTATTTAGGCTAATTGATTTGTATGGTATATAGAAATATGAAATGTGTGTTGGTGGCTAATGATAAGGCGCTTTTGTTGGAAGTTATGTGAAGTACAGTGAAGATCAAACCATCTCCAATGCATAACTCTATTTCTTCCTTTATAATAAAGGATTTGAATAAATAGATGGATCAAGCTTCACTACGTACATAAACACAAACTGTATATCATCAAAACGGCTCAACGATTTGTATTTCAGACGTTTAGAGAAGTTGTCAAATCATCTTCATTTGGTTTCACGACTGAGATATATGATTCTGAATATCATTGGTTTGCGCTCCAACCGCTGGGTTTCCAATCCCCAAGTGGTATTCTTCTACCTTTGAAAACAATTTTTTCTTGAAAAAATACAATGAAAACATCATTATTACTGCCTAAGCTTTATGACTTGTGAGTTGCTAATGTTAGACTTGTTTCTGGCTCTTTACACTTACTTTCTGTTTTCCGTGAGCAAGAGATGTAAAAAATTACCCTGCTAATTATAGGAATGAGAAAATTAATTACTGATTTCTTTGTTTATTGCAGACAAAGCCCGACTGTTAATTGAAGCTCATGAAGACCATAACGTTCACATAAATTTCGATAACGTTTAAGACTAATTCATCATCAATCTATTAAGACTAGGCAGATTTTATGGCATTTTTTGTTGTTTGGGAATAACATAAATACTATAGAGTTAGTTTATGTTGATCACATCTGTATTAAATTAGGGAAAGGCCATTATTTGTTGTGAACATATCACATCAAACATAGAGGAAGAGAACTTAAGAGGGAGGATCCGTATACCTCAAAATACAGATTCATAAAACTGGCGTTTTCAATCTTTAATACCATATAATACTATTAGTTATTACTGTGCTTTCATGATCCATAAAGCAAAAACAAACATAAACAAAAACAACTAAATTTATCGATCCAAGAAAACTATTTGGTTATTACAGTGCTTTCATGATTTATAATCTGAATTTCACAAAATTGGCGTTTTCAATCTTTAATACCATAATAATAACAGTTATAATTTCATGATCCAAAAAACGAACAAACAAAAATAACAAAAGTAAAGACAAGTCTTACCTCAACACCGTGATAGGATCTGAAGTGTTTAATCTTATCTTATCGCTCTCAATTAACTTAGTCATATCTATTAAAATATTTTAAAAAAGCACAGAGAAAATATGATTATTGGGGTGTGCATATTTTGTACCGTTCCAAAATATTTTGACTTTTAAGTGAAAACAAGAAGTATGAAAACAAATTTGAAATGGTCAAATTGGTTGGAAATGCATGAAATATTTGTTTTTTTATTGATGAATCGATTGGTGAACTTTTAGTGAAAACTAGAAGTGATATCAAATCTTACCGCTTTGTAATTTCTTAACAAAATAACAAGTAAAAAATATGCTTGGTTTTTTTCATTTCTAACATAATTCATTTACTAAACTAAGATTTGAGAGCAAATATGAATTTTATCCTTTTCAGCAATTGGTACTACAATCTAAAGTGGTGAAGTACATTGGAGAAGAACATATAACAAATTAGGCACAAAGACTTGTTGAGATAATCTAGCTCATTTGTTAGAATAAATCCAACCTTATTCATTTTAAGCTTTCGACATAAATAAAATAAAAATTACTGTCGTATATAACTACGTATAATTCTGGCCATTATCTATGTTTAAGACTATATATGACAACAAGCTGTTGACCGAAAACAAAATATGACAACAACTCAACAAGCTCTATTTTGTTTTCCCAAGAATTATAAGAGATTCAACGATTTCCTGGTCTAGTTCACAATAACTGAAGATGATGGATAGAAACAAACAACAAATTGATGTGTTCCACTAATCTTTAACAGAAATTTCCCTAGAGAAAAGTATAAACTGTCAAGATGCTTCATAACTCTCAAGATGACAAAAAAAGAAAGGACGGAGTCAAAGACAACGCATTGACTTTTGTTGGACGTATTAGAAACAAAGAAAGCCTTTTAAACACGTCGCAAAAGTGTTACCACACTAAGTAGGGGTGAGAAAAAAAAAACCAAACCTACATTCGGTTTGATTTTGGTTAAACTTTTTATTAATCAATATCCCAGTTTATGATTCTGTATCGTTAATTTTATGATTTATTCGAGAAATAACTTTTGAAATGTTTCCTTTTTTCCTTTTTTTTGTAACCTTTGAGACTGTAAAATATCAAGTAAGAAATTATTGATCTCGAATAGGTCGAATTTTAATGAATATTCGGTGGTCAACCTTAACCCCACTGTTTAACATGAGAATGCTACTAATAAGCTTGAACATTAGTAGAAATAGAAGAAAACATGTGATTGACAAGCATTTGAACTTTAGATTAAAATTCATCATCAGTCAGGATCGGATAGTAAACATGTAGACATGACGATTGCTGCAATATATCATTAGTTTCGGTTTCTCTGCCAGCTAGGAAAAACCGTTTTGTCCTATATACATCACTAAACGATTTCGAGAAAAAAAAAACGCTTTCTCTACTTCATCGGTGGTTCATACCAATTTGATTTCCTTTACAAAACTAGTCATGTTATTGACCAGAAATCGATTGTAATTGAAATGTAATTTTCACATACTATATACAATAAATCATCTTTATGTCGAGATATGTGATTGTGAGGTAAAGTGTTACATCGATACAAGAGATAGAGCCATATTGTCTCTTCTTTATGTATTTTATTTGTCAAGCCCAATGTTGGAATATGCCCATTTCTAGGATTAAAGTACCACCAATTCACCATATTATATATATTTGTAAAGCATTAGACCCCACAAATAATTTAGATCATTAAGCTATTTGAAACAAAATTAAGCTAAAGAAAGTACAAACATTTGGGGGATTTCAACAATAGTTTGCCTCGAATAATTTAAATCTTAAAAGTTTAAACACTTAATATCCTATATAAACTTGGTGAATAAGCTGCGAAATAGTAACACTTACTATAAGAGATTAGTCGGACATTGATCCATAATACTTATATATTTGATCTTATAAAAAAAAAAACTATAAACTCAAATATCCGATATAAATTCCAAATATTCAGGAGACTGAGTTATTTAACGTAAATTGTACCATTTCATGTTCATGGGGAAGCATACAAATGCTTGTTGGTGGTGGTGGGTGGCACACCAGATATTTTGGATGTGCGTTAACTATTGTTGTTTGTATTATATAATGTAGCTCCATAATTCATATGCTTTATATTATTTAATATTTTTTGGTTGATAAGTACTTCCTATGAATTTCATATAATTTTCTTCTACATTTCTCAATTTACCGTTCAAAATTTCAAAATTGGGAAGATTAACATACTTCAAAAGTATCGTTGCATTCTTCATCTGATCCCATGTCTCTATTCTCGAAGGTATTTGTACAAGTAACTTTACTACTATAATTGTGTGAGCAAACACACATGGTACTCCCTCCATTTTTTTAAGATGAATTTTCTAGATATTAGTTGTTGTTTCATAAAGATAAATTTTCTACCTTTTTGATATATTTTTTCAGTTTTCAAGAAACAATAATTGTATATGTTAGATTTTTATTGATTAAAAATTATAGAAAATTGTTTTATTGCAAAAATCAATACATTAATGATTAAAAATCTGTGTTTCCTTAATATGTGTGAAAATCCTAGAAAATTTATAAAAAAAAATGGAGGGAATAACTCATAAAATGATAAAATGGGAAAAGTATCTTATATATAATTAGGGAGTTGCTCTCTCCATTTGAGAGTGTCCACATCAGCACAAAAACATTAAATTGTATTTAAAATATTTAATAAATATATGACTATTCATATTTCTTTACATTTATTCATATTTAATAAAAATATACAAATAAATTAAATTAATTAATAGAAAGTATGTGATAATTTGATGTTCAAAGTTATCAAAAAGTTGGAATATAAAATAGAGATGGAGTAAAGAAATATTCAACTTCAAATAGTATATATTTACTTTATTATTCAAAGGTTTATCCTATTTAAAAATGTTAGAATGTGTTTACAAGTTAAAAAGTTGAATATAAATTAATTAAGACAATAGAAAGCTAATGAAACATTAGAGTTAGAGTTTGTTTTTCTAAACAAATAGAAATAGAGTTTTATATGTAAATTTAATTGTAGTGAAAAACAAGAATATGTTTACAAATTTTAACCTTCAGTCAAATGCATATACATATTTATAAATTTTAACCTTCAATCAAATACATATACATGTTTACCGTCTAATAGAAGTAAACATAATACTTATAACATGATAAAATTTTAGAAATAGAAAACTCAAGATAAAGCAGAGTGTTAATATCCTAATAAATTAAAATAAAAACAAATTATTCATATTTTTTAGTGTTAGTGGTTTAGTTAACTCAAAACATAACAAAAACATGAAAGTTAACACAAAACCATCATATTTCAAATCACGAGTATAAATAAAATTAAACAGAAAAACTATCGTAAACAACCCCGCGCTTGCGCGGGGCTTCAAACCTAGTTCCGTGAATTTGGAAGTTCCATGTTACCGATCACCAAAGTGCACAAATTTTCCATCTATTCTTTTCTGTTTTATGATTCTATAAATATCAATTTCCATAATAGTACCGATCATAGCCAATCAAAAAGTGTGTGTAAAGTACTTTAAAGACAGAGAGACTACTTTTTCTCGTTCTTTTTAAAATCATCAACGCATTATTAGGTGTTATCATACAGTGACTTATACAGTAGTATTCGAAAATTACAGGATAGTTAAACATATATTACAAAAAGTTAAACCCTTTTAAAGGAAAAAAAAAGGAAATGAAAAAGAGAAACTAGAAAATAAAATTTCTGAAAAAAACATGAGCCAGATATAAAATGTTACAAAAATAAACTATAGTTTTATTATGTTTTGTCCTTGTAAATTTCCTATCCATTTTTTCCATGAAAATGTTTGGAAATTTCTTAGCCCCAAACTCCAGAAATTTTCTGACCAATAAAACTCACAAATTTTCCAACAGATCCTTTCTCCTTCTCCGTTTCTTCGCCACCACAACGTACCGAGTCACCACCAACCAACTCGCTCGAACTCGAACCCAACTCACTGAGTCGACTCGGTCCAACCGAGTTAACTCGAACAGAACCTTTTCCCGATCGTTTCCTCCGATCTTTTTTCTTCTTCTTCATCTCCAAACTATCTTCGAAAGCGTCGATGATCTCATGAATGAGTTTACGATTCGGTGACGAGTCCCATCTGACCCAATAACTCGTGTAGCAGCTGAAGCAATCGCAGAGGAAAAGAGGAGAGTGATGATCACGATCATCTTCGTTGTTGGCTTTGTTCTTCTTGAAGCCGACTCCGGAATTCGAGATGAGGTAAGCAAGAACTTCACGGTCCTCCGCCGAGAGCGCAGCGACGAGAGAGAGGATCGCGACAGGGAGGAGAGAGAGGAAATGGTCGTCTGGCTTTGACGCCGGCGATGGATGGACTGTTCCTTTCCGACAGAGTTTCTTCATAGCTTAAGAATCACGACGGTAGAGAGAGAGAGAGAGAGTCTTCTTCTTGAAGAATGAGTCTGATGAGACTTTGAATTTTGAAAGGTTTTTTCTTTTCTTTTGACGCCGAATTTTGAACGGTCTAAGACGTTCATAATTTTTTTTGTTTATATTTTAATATTTGATATTTTCTAATTTATTCAAAGCATTTAAAGAAATATAACTGGATAATGGATAAAATTAGATTATCTTGTGATTTGTCAGGTACATCTACTTACAAAACTCTACATGTAAATCACAAGCTTTATTTTATTATTTAACAGATTTTGTTGTCATTGCAGTATGATAACACGTAGTTACTCTCACGAATACTAGGAGTAGGAGAATGACCCACAATGTTTGTATCAGTAGATAGACACTTAATAAAAAATAGTCTTGGAAGGAAAGAAGAATATTAGGAGTTTGAGGTAAAATTATATAACAAATGTTTTATCTTAATGGTTATTTTTTTTAATTAGTTCTTTTTGATCAATTTGCTTGGAATTATGGAAACTTCCCAATGTTTTTAAAGATGCTTCAAAAGCAATATTATTGGATCATCTTTCATTTTCTTTCTATGCACAAAATGAAAGTTTCACAAGTGATGATTTTAAGAGAAATTGCAGTATTGTAGTTTAAGTGTTTGGTTTACTTTCTCCGTTTTTACCAAACAATTTATTTATTTTTATTTAAAGAGAGAGAAATATGGAATATCGTGGTATATATATGGAGCATAGGAGCATGCCTCTAAGTTTGGTAGAAGAAAAACAAACACTAAAGTCTTGACTTAAAACTAGCATCATGCATGTTGTTTGATTTTTAGTACCTTTATCCAGTGTTTTATCTTTTGAAGTACATGTATGATGTATCCAATGTTCAAAAGAGAGAAAAAAAAAATCATATCGTTTGCTTTCGAAGTGAAATGATTAAAGTTTTTGGAGGCCCATTAATATACCAACTTTGGTCCAGAAATATCTGAAAGACACTAATCTTCTTTTTTTTTGCACTGGCATTCGTATCTAAAACATGAAAAAAAAAAACAAGCCTCGAAGGACTAAGGCTATGAAAGACACTAATCTTCTTCAACTCCCAAGAGGATTAGAGCTGGTTAGCTGGATTTAATTAGCTACTTAGCTGATTTGAAGCCCGAATAATGTTTGATATGTCATGATTAAAGGACGTATCTAGTAGACTAATACTTCCTCTGTCCCATATTATAAGCTGTTTTGGTATAATGTATCTGCAATTTTCTGGATGTATCTGGATCTAAAACCATTCAGATACATCCAGAAAATTGTAGATACATTATGCCAAAACAACTTATAATATGGGATAAAGGGAATACTAGTTATTGATATCCAATAAACCTAGCCAGATTGTTTCTATTAGCACACTGGCTGCGGCTGGTACATATTATATTGAAGGGTTCAAAATAGCAGATTAAACCCATGATAGTGCTCTTAACCTAGATTAGAGCACATACCCATAAATACATTTTGACTTATTTTATAATGTTTTCAAGATATATAATGAAACAACAACATTTTTTTTTTTTTAATAAATATTAATCAATTCTAGCGAAGGTCTTAAAAATAAATTAAATAAATAAAATATCAATAACAAATAAATCAGCTCAGCGGAAGCAAATAATAATTAAACAAGTCTAGCAAAATAATGCAAAACAATAAAACAGTAAACATCCTATCATCCCCCTCTTCAGCCTTGATTCCGCGATCACACAAATCTTTTACCTGCAACACATTGGAATGGAGTTGCGTAAGTATTTAATAAATACTTAGTGAGGCAATCACTCTGCCTACGAGCCATTTACGCAATTTACTAGATATTTAATAATATTTATAAACTTCAATAATTATTAAATACCATTTTCCAATTATTAAATAATTTTTAATAATTAAAACTCAATTTCTCAATTATTAAATAATTCTCATAATTAAATAATAATTTTCCATATTTTAAAATAATTAAAATAATTATAAACCAATTAATTAAATAAATATTATTTAATTAATTAAATCCGAATTAAATCTATTTAATTCCATTAAACCAATTTCAATTAAACAATTAAACCAATTAAATTCAATTGAACCAATATAAACCAATTAAATTCAATTGAACCAAGATAAAAGAATCAAATCAATTAAATTCAATTAAACCAATAAACCAGATTAAACCACACAAACACACAATTCATCACATGAACAACCAAAATATCATAAAAATAACAATTAAAACATAAACTCATCAAGAACAACCACAAACCAAATCTAATCTAGCAAATCACGGACCCACAGTCATGCACTCACCTTGACAATGATTGAAACTGAAGGAAAGACAATGAACAGTGCCGAATCGCGATGAACAGTAACCCGATGAACAGTACCCGATGAACAGTAACCCGATGAACAGTACCCGATGAACAGTAAAATTCGAAAATCTCTCCAAAAACTCAACTTTTCTCCTCTACCATCTGAACTCGAAAATTCTCCAAAGAGAAGACGGCTGCACTCTTTAAACTTGATTTTAGGGCTTTCTCCACTAAACCGACCCAAACCAATTCACTTAAATTGAACCGACAAAATTCCCAATTTTTATTTTTGGTTTATGGATGTTACAACTCTCCCCACTAAACTGGATTCGTCCTCGAATCCCAACGCAAACGTCACAAAGACCACAAAACCCAACCTCGCAAGGCCGCAACACCGGAGATCCTCACTTGATCCCCGAGACAAACGTCATATCTTATGTCATAAACACGTTCCAAGAAAATTTCACTCCTAACTCATCATCCAAACACACCAAACAACTTGTACTGAGGCCCACTTGCACCCAGACAAGTCCACACCGGTCCGCACTGAGGCCCACTTGCACCCAGACGAACCCGAAAACGTCCATACTGAGGCCCACTTGCACCCAGATGAACTAAACTGCTTATACTGAGGCCTACTTGCACCCATATAAGCTACACTCAACTGAGGCCTACTTGCACCCAGAGAGTCTGCCAGAGAACGAAGTCTCCAAAAACATGATGAGTTATTCAGGATCGCAATCCTTAGAGTAAAAATTCCGGAAAATGTCTATAACCATAAGATTAGACCGTCTCACAACCAAAAACTGGTCAAACATGTGTAACATCCGAATACCTTTTCACAACACAAGGCAAAATGAGGAAAAACTGCATCTCATTAAAACTCCAAAATGTATATCGTTACAACGAAAACGAAAATACAATAACACCAAAGCCAAAAATAACAACTGAGGCTACAAAGATGAAATAAGCTCACTCCTCGACCTGCTTGTCGAACCACTTCCTGAACTTCAACTTCATCTTTGCCTCTGGCTCCCAAGTCTCCTCTGTAGAACCACTGCAATCCCACAAAATCCTCAGTAAGGGAATCCTCTTGTTCCTCAGAACCTTTTCCCTCCTCTCTAAAATCCTCACAGGCACTGCCGGCACTGTCAAATCTGGCTGAAGATCCTCTGGAATCCTAGCCACTAACTCCTCTGTAGGTGAAGACACTTCCTCAGCATCGACACATGAAAAACCTTGTGAAAGGCTTTCATAATCTCAGGCAACTCCAGCCTGTAAGCCAATGGCCCAACTCGCTCCACTACTGGAAACGGACCCATAAATCGCGGACTCAGCTTGTTCTCTGCTATGGATCTGTTAGGACCCCTCAACATAGCCATCTTGAGATAAACTCTATCTCCAACCTGAAACTCAAGCTCTCGTCTGCGTCTATCTGCATAACTCTTCTGCCTATCCTGAGCCTCCTTCATGTTCAGCCTCACAACACGAACCTTCTCTGTCGTCTCCTGAACATAAGTAGCTCCATACATGCTGCGCTCCCCCACTTGGGTCCAGCATAGGGGTGTCCTACATGGCCTCCCATACAAAGCCTCAAATGGAGCCATGCCAATACTCGCCTGAAAGCTGTTGTTGTATGCAAACTCAACTAAGCTCAGGTGATCTGCCCAATGGCCACCCCAATCCAACACACACATCCTCAGCAAATCCTCCAAAGTCTGAATAGTCCTCTCTGACTGACCATCTGTCTGCGGATGATAAGCTGTACTCAGATGCACCTTAGTGCCCATCTCTGCCTGAAACGCCCTCCAAAACTCTGAAGTGAATCTGGGATCACGGTCTGACACAATACTAGCTGGCACTCCATGCAGCCTCACAATCTCTCGCACAAACTTCCTAGCCAAGACAGCAGCTCCATCTGTCTTCTTGATGGCCAAGAAATGTGCAGACTTAGTCAACCGATCCACAATCACCCAGATAGCATCGAAAGTCCTCGAAACAGGTAGTCCAACCACGAAATCCATCGTAATCCTGTCCCACTTCCACTCGGAATGGGTAAACTCTGCAAAAGACCACCCGGAACCTGATGCTCTGCCTTCACCAAGGCACAAGTGTTGCACTTCGCAACCCAGTCTGCTACATCCCTCTTCATCCCGACCCAATGATAGTACCTCTTGAGGTCATGGTACATCTTGGTCGCTCCCGGATGAATGGAAAACTTGCTCGCGTGAGCCTCTCCCAAAATCTGATGTCTCAACTCCACATCCTTAGGCACACAAACTCGCCCACGAACCAAGATAGTCCCATTCGCAGAGACCTCATACTCAGAACCAGTCACTCTCGTCGCATCTAGCAAACTCTGATCACTCTGCTGAGCAACTCTGATCCTGCTAAGTAGATCCGCCTGATCCACTGCCTCTAAACCCAAAGGCTCCTGCGAAATGGCACACAAACGCAAGGTACTGATCTCGCCAACTAGAGACTCCACATCTCGCTCAACTGCGGAATCATACCTCCGTCTACTCAACGCGTCCGCCACTAGGTTAGCCTTGCCCGGATGGTAGTTAATGCTCACCTGATAATCCGCCAAGAACTCAACCCAGCGCGTCTGTCTCGCGTTCATCATCGGCTGAGTGAAGATATGCTGCAAACTCTTGTGATCCGTGAAGACCTGTACTGTCTCACCTAGCAAGTAAGACCTCCAAATCTTCAACGCGAAGATCACTGCTCCCAACTCTAAGTCATGTGTAGGACGGTTACGCTCACTGCCCTGCCACTGTCTCGAAGCATATGCTATCACTCTGCCCTCCTGCATCAGCACACAACCAAGACCAATGCCTGAAGCATCTGTATACACCATGTAAGGCTTCCCTGGCTCGGGTAACGCCAACACTGGTGTAGTAGTCAACATCTCCTTGAGCTGACTAAAGCTCTCCTCACACTCAGCTGACCAAACAAAGGGACATCCTTCCCGGTCAACTTCGTCATCGGCTGCGCCATGGTAGCAAACCCCTTGACGAACCTCCTGTAGTATCCTGCCAAACCCAGAAAACTCCTGATCTCGGTGGCACTACTAGGTCTAGGCCAATCTCTGATAGCCTCAATCTTAGCCGGATCCACAGAAACTCCCTCTGCAGAAACAATGTGGCCAAGAAATCCCATCTCTCGCTGCCAGAAACTGCACTTGCTCAACTTAGCAAAAAGCTTCTGCTCCCGAAGCTTCTCCAGAACCAACCTCAAGTGAGTCGCATGCTCCTCCTGACTCCTCGAGTATACCAGAATATCATCAATGAAAATGATGACAAACACGTCCAAATACTCCCTGAACACGTCGTTCATCAATCTCATGAAGGCTGCCGGCGCGTTAGTCAAACCGAAAGGCATAACCACAAACTCAAAATGCCCATAACGCGTCCTGAAAGCAGTCTTCCTGACATCTGCCTCATCTATCGGGATCTGATGATACCCCGATGCCAAGTCAATCTTGGAGAACCAAGTAGCACCCCTCAACTGATCCAACAACTCATCAATCCTCGGGAGTGGGTACCTGTTCTTCACAGTGACTCGGTTAAGACCTCTGTAATCGATACAAAGTCTGAAACTGCCATCCTTCTTCTTCACAAACAACACCGGTGCTCCCCACGGTGAAACACTGGTCGAATGAACCCCTTAGACAAAAGGTCCTCTATCTGCTTCTTCAGCTCTGCCAACTCAGCTGGCGCCATCCTGTAAGGCGTCTTCGATATCGGTGCTGTCCCCGGCTCTAACTCAATCGTGAAAGGATCAGACCGAGATGGTGGTAATCCCTTCAGTGACTGAAAGACATCCTCAAAATCCTGGACAACCTCAATATCTCCCATAACAACTCCAGCTCCTGACTCAGACATAGAAATCGTCGCCAGATACGCCTCACAGCCCCGCTCTAACAACTGCTCGGCCTGAATAGCAGATATCACAATACTCCCGGAAGTCGGTCTCACTCCCTGATAAACCAACCTCCCTGCATCTCGCTCGAAGACCACTCTACCTCTGTAGCAATCCAGATGAACTCTGTAGTGTGACAACCAGTCCATCCCGAGAATAACGTCATACAGCTCCACCGGACTGATGACTAAGTCTGCTGGCATTGACTGCCCCGCAATCTCGATCTCGACTCCTCTAGCACGGCCCAAAGTAGACAAGAATCCACCTCCCGCCACCTTGACCATGCCCGCGCTCTCGCCCGCGCTACTCCGGATGCCACTCTTCTCGGCACGCTCCGGTGTAATGAAGCAATTCGATGCTCCAGAGTCGAATAAAACGTGGGACTCAAAACCGCCCACTAACAAGGTCCCTACACATTCAATTGCGTTGAGAACCTCCAAAACTATCACAGATAAATGAACAACACACAGCAACAACAACATTATGCCCTCGATGGCCGCCACCACAAATGTGCATCTCCACTCAGATAGTGGACTGCCAACTCAACCTGGTACTAAACCAGAATCTGATAGACTGGAAATTCCGCTCCAATCTCTGACACACTGCCGCCTCGGCTAACTCCGCCCTCAAAGTACGGCGTACCAATCCTCTGCATGTGCCCCATCATATCCAAATAGGCGGCACCATCAAACCCACAGCCTGCGGCTGAACAAACCCGCAGCCCTCTGCTGCACCTCTGCCACTGGAGGTACTCCCGGAGCCCCTGTGGAACCACTGGCGGAAAACGAGCCAATAACTGCGTCAGCAAACCCACCACTAAGTCATCAAGACCCTGAGCCGGAGCACCACCCCAACCCGGAGCAGCCCCCGCTCCCAAACCAACACTCGCATCCACACTGGCCTCACTCGCCACGGATACCGACTGGGTCACCGACGCAGTCGCCACACTAGGCACCACACTCTCTCCCGAATCCGCCGAAGTCCACAATCTCGGCCCCGGCCTCTAGCTCTGCCACCACGGCCTCGAGCACCGCGCCCTCTCGCGCCACAACCTCTAGCTACTCGTCCATCTCACTCATGGAACCGAAAAGAGCACACTAGAACACAACCAAAACTCAAAACAAACATAAACTCACCGCGGAATCTCTTGTAGCTGAAGGGGATGATACTAAAGCCTAGCAATTCTAACAGTCCTAAAACCGTCTAGGCTCTGATACCAAAATGAAACAACCAACATTTTTTTTTTTTAATAAATATTAATCAATTCTAGCGAAGGTCTTTAAAAATAAATTAAATAAATAAAATATCAATAACAAATAAATCAGCTCAGCGGAAGCAAATAATAATTAAACAAGTCTAGCAAAATAATGCAAAACAATAAAACAGTAAACATCCTATCATCCCCCTCTTCAGCCTTGATTCCGCGATCACACAAATCTTTTACCTGCAACACATTGGAATGGAGTTGCGTAAGTATTTAATAAATACTTAGTGAGGCAATCACTCTGCCTACGAGCCATTTACGCAATTTACTAGATATTTAATAATATTTATAAACTCCAATAATTATTAAATACCATTTTCCAATTATTAAATAATTTTTAATAATTAAAACTCAATTTCTCAATTATTAAATAATTCTCATAATTAAATAATAATTTTCCATATTTTAAAATAATTAAAATAATTATTTTAAACCAATTAATTAAATAAATATTATTTAATTAATTAAATCCGAATTAAATCTATTTAATTCCATTAAACCAATTAAATTCAATTAAACCAATATAAACCAATTAAATTCAATTGAACCAAATAAACCAATTAAATTCAATTGAATCAAATCAATTAAATTCAATTAACCAGAATCAAATCAATTAAATTCAATAAACCAGATTAAACCACACAAACACACAATTCATCACATAAACAACCAAAATATCATAAAAATAACAATTAAAACATAAACTCATCAAGAACAACCACAAACCAAATCTAATCTAGCAAATCACGGACCCACAGTCATGCACTCACCTTGACAATGACTGAAACTGAAGGAAAGACAATGAACAGTGCGAATCGACGATGAACAGTACCCCGATGAACAGTACCCGATGAACAGTACCGATGAACAGTACCGATGAACAGTACCCGATGAACAGTAAAATTCGAAAATCTCTCCAAAAACTCACTTTTCTCCTCTACCATCTGAACTCGAAAATTCTCCAAAGAGAAGACGGCTGCACTCTTTAAACTTGATTTTAGGGCTTTCTCCACTAAACCGACCCAAACCAATTCACTTAAATTGAACCGACAAAATTCCCAATTTTTATTTTTGGTTTATGGATGTTACATATAATACTACGACACCAGTGTTCCCATACTTTTCTTGATCATTTGTTCATATTGTGCATGTTTGTTTGTCCTCTCGTATAGTCATATTCAAATCTAGAACGTTTTGATATTGCCAACTAACACACACTGGCCTTAAGTTGTATCCGAACAAAATATAGCTACATCACGCTTCTTTAAATTACTACCGCCACAAACAAAATACAAATTGATTTGCTTGACTAGTCCCAAAAATTGATCATCATTAACAAACAAAACCGAAACTATATTACATTAGCTCAAAAAAAAAGAAGAAACAAAAAAAAGGTTTCATTCTTATTTACGAATTATCACACTTCAACCTCATTAGCGTTGAAAGCAACCGTAAGCTGACTAACCATAGCCTCAGGATCTCTCACTTTCCAGTACTCTTCCTTGCAACCCTTAAACGTAGTCGTATCAGCGCCACTATCACTAGTCGTCGAAGTTCGTTTATAGAAACCGAACCACTTGGCTTGCATGTAGCCGTTTCTCCTCCACGGTGGCACGTGGATTCCCACGTCCTTCATCGACCGTCTCATTTCGCGACACATGATCTTTACCAGCTGTTTCAGCTCATGGGGAGTTCCCACGAAGACACGTGGCACTTGGTTTAGTATTGAGAGGTACCTTTTCGTTGGTCGGGCTATCTCAAACTCCCCTGCGAGGTTTGTCTCTACGATGTAACGATTATGATCTCCGCTGTCGTATCGAACGTCGACGTACTCGTATTTTCCGGCTGTGTTCTTGCTGAATCTCTCCCACCGTGACTTGCAAAGACCTATATTTATACGTTGAAGACTATTATTACTTCTATAACATAGAGCAATTTATTTGAAGTACCACGATTTATTACCGAATGAAATAAAGTGAATTGAATATTCATTTCTTATATTTTATATTCCGTTGAGCAAGTGCACGAATCATATAGTTTAACTAGTGCGTGTACTAATTTTTTTTAAATGCTAAATACCAATAACTGTATTTAAGAAAATAAATCAAATATTATGAAATTAAGAATCAGCTGAGCTCTTGCATCTGCAAAAATTATGGATCTAACACTCAGTAAATTTGGTCCTAAGAAAAAGAGAGGATAAATAGGACAGAATCACTAAACAAACAAAAAATGAGTTAAGTAACAAATTTGTGGAATCGTGGATGAACAATAAGAAGAAAAAAAAAACATAGAAAACAAAATTTTGATTGATTTTAGTCACTACTATCACGATATCGTTAAACAGAAAGCAGAATTCTATAGGAGACGGTTGTGAACTATGTAACATTTTTTCTTTTTTTTGGGTTTAAAAAAAAAGTGAACTATGTAACGTTGTTATATAGATTTTTGTTAATTATCAAACCTTAGATTTGTCACAAACTAGTAAAATCCTATAATAATCCAACTTCCATTACAAGACAATTAAATTTCAATATTGTATTGTATATTTACCTGCATCAAAACCCTTGTTACGTAGAAAAGCCATCAATTGGCGCTTAGGAGAAGTGCCATCTCGAACAATATCTCCGACGAATGTTGCAGCAACCTCCGTCGCGGCCATAATTCTCATCCGCTCTTCTCCGCCGGATAAACCTTCTAGAAGCTTACGTAACCTCTCCTTCACATCTTCGGAACCGTTATCGGAAGACGGATCCATTTCTTCCTCCGGTAACATCTCTCCCTCTCTCTCGATGAATGAAGCGACCAAATCCGAAAGATCCTCCGTGTCCTCCGGCGAGTGATCGCTCCCGCTGCTGTTGTCACACGGCGGACGTGAACGAGCCGCCGCCATGCTGAAAGCCGACTCAAAACTCTTGAATCTTCTTTGAATCTCCACCATTTTTTAAAATCTTTTTTATCGTTTTTTCTTTTTCTTTCTCTGATAAGTTTGTTTGACGAGATACTATGATTCTGAGAATATAAAACGTATATTTATATACCAAAGCGATTTAATAGATAGAGCTAAACGGAGTAAACGACAAAATCACAAAATGTTAAAAAGATGACGACAGAGTGGTGAAATTATGTTGACAAATCTTGAAAAGTATACTTCATTTTAACTCAATTAGGTGAGAAGACTTAACGCCGTTTATGTCATGTTTTTATTTTATTCCAACTTCTGTTTAAAAGAATTTGTGAACACGAATGGTTAATTTGTTGTAATCAATTATCTCACTATAGCGTCTTGATTCATTTTGCATCATAATTTTTACTCATTATTCTGAATAAAATCTTATACGCGTCAAGATGCATTATTGCTGAGTTTATTTATTTTTAGATTCATTTCTATATAAGTATAAAATAAATTGTATTTTGTCACTTAATTTTTTGTTGATTTAGTACAAATAAACTAAAGTAACTGGAGTTTCCTTTCCCATTTTTATTTTTATGTAGACACGACAAAAAAGTTTTACTTAGATATATACGACAAAAGTGAAGTTTATATTTGGAATTTGATCATTTATTTTGGTTTTACGAATGTCCACGTCATGTTACTTATCGGCTATCAACTGATGACGTGGGCTAAAGATTGGCGTGCTTCGTCTAAGCCTAAATACGACGTAGACTCGAAGGTGCCGGCGCGTGAAGACACGTGCTAAAGTACAAGTGAGTCAAGGTTGGCTTGTGATTGTCACGTGACAAAGTGTGAGTTATCCTTTCCTCCTTGAGAAGATTTCGGTTAGATTTTTTAGCCTCTTCCTTGTTTTTTAATCGACCGACGCGGAAATTAGAAGCAGTCTTAACCCAAATAACGTCGTGGTTCAATGTGCGTTAAGATAAGTAAGTTCAACGTATCTCATATTTCGATAGCTCATTGTCTTTACTCTCCTTTTTTAGCTTCTATATGTTTCCCTATTAAGCTGGTCACAAAAAAAGTTGTTGATAATCGTAGCATCACTTTTTTGAACACGTAAATTACATGATATTTTGTTTTTTTCTTCTTATAGTTAATTTTTCAAAACATTATATAGGTCCCAAATTAACACACTACTACCTAAAACTTTTTATACTCCCTCTTTTTCAAATTAGTTGTCGTTTTGAAAAAATGTATATGCAATTATTTGGATATATATGGATGTGTTTTGAGTTTAATACATCTAAATAATTGCAGATACATTTTCCTAGAACGATAAGTAATTTGAAACCGAAGGAGTATAAAATTTGATGTATAATAAAATTAAAAAGCGTAAAGCAGGTCCATTACCATATAAAAAACCTAGATATACGTTATGTGGGCCTATTTGCAAATTAACAATATGGGCCTAACTTCAACACTAGAGTCCAAGACCTCCTCGCTAATACGTCATCGTTTTGAATGCAACAAATCGAGTCATGGTAGAAGAAGACTAAGAAGAAGAAAAAAACCAAACTTCGTTTAAATTTTAAACATTTACAAATACAAATAAACCACCAAAGCTACTAAGATAAGTAGAGAGTAGAGATACAACTGACTTCAAACCTATCGTAACAAATGGGAAAATACTTGAAAAAAACAACTTCTAATTTTTTTTGACAAACCTTCAAGAGGATTTACAAATGGCAGAACAATAAATTTCTTATCCTGATTCAAATTATTTTGGATATTGATAAAAATCTTCATTCGGAGTTTTAAGAACCTGTCCTTGGAGAAATCTTGAATCTGAAGAACAAACTTTGGCAGTGGAAAACAAACTTATGAGTAACCCATCATTGCCTTATCCTTCAGCATATTCCCTAGTCTCATGAACAAAGCTTGTTGTTCCTCAAATGTAAGGTTCGTCAATATCTACAATGTAACATCACATAAAGTCGATCAATTTTCCGCAAAGTCACGAGCTTTTATTGTACAGCAATCAAAGTTGATTTACCTGGTCGAGGATTTTGTCGACCGAAACGCTTTGGGAGACTATAAATGACTGAAGATATATGTAAGCAAATACTGCCATAACCATCTGTGACAATGAAAATAGAAAATGGCAAGAGTTTAAGGACTCTATAAACAAAACTTACTACTAAAAGACCTAATCATAAACTTATAAAGAGATAATAGTGTTACCTGGCAGTCCATTCGATCTGTGATTCCACCATGTCCTGGAATACTATCACCAAAGTCCTGCGATTTACGGTTTTTATCAAGCAGAGGTTTCGTTAGGAAGATAGATGTCAATGGAAAGTGAAGCTTTAGCTCAGATTTGGTGGTGTTGAGTACGGACCTTGATTTTGAAAGCTCTTTTAAACCCGCTAGCGAAAAACCCTCCGAAAGGTGCTATGATTGATGCGAACAAACCGAGGCATAAAGCATGCCACTGAACAGGGAGGACCTCCATTTCCTTCCAAGGAAACTGCACACAACGAAGTAGAAAGTTGAGAAACCTTTCATAAGAACAGAGAATGTAATACTACTAGTTCTTTTGTTAGCTAACACAAAAGCTTACCCATTCAGGAATCCATGCAGGTAAAGTAAAAGGTTCAGCTTTGAACAATGGATCAGCGTCACACTGTAGCCAGCCAGTGGACAAATCCTGCAGAATGATTGAGAGATTTACAATAAGCTCTCTCTCAAAGATTGTGTTCAAAATCAGTGTTACTCTCTTTTCGCAATGACTAACCTGTCTCGGGCATGTCAACCATGGGAAACGACCCATTATATTTGCGAGCTGAAACATTATACATACGAAATATTTTAAGGCAGGGATTGGTGACGATACAAGGAAATGATTGATGGCAGAGGTATAGCAAATACTCACAACAAATGCAGAGATGATAGTTGTCACAGAGGCTCCGATGAATCCCTCCCATGTTTTCTTTGGAGATAGCTTTATCAAGGGCGTTCTTCCGAAGAAGAAACCGAAAATATAAGCAAAGATGTCGTTGATTATAATCAAAGATGCTGGAAGAAGAAACCTGCATTTCAAACCATCAAAATAAGATAATAACATTTCAGCCTCATCCTATTGGTGACAAATAGAACATGATAGGACTCAGTTCTTAGCAAGCTTAACAGATGGAAAAGCATAAAACTTCGTATGCTGAAAATATTAAAAAATGTACCAGAAGATCCCTTCAAATATGTTGGCAACAGTGAATGAGGACTGAGTAAACACGACTATCAAAATCATGTGGGTCCATGCATACTGGCCAAACTGGTACTTGTACATCTTCTTCTTTAACGTCAAAATGAACCACATGAAACCTGCAATTCGTTACATTCAAGCATAACTCCATAAGCATCAAATAAGGTGAATCACATAATCCAAGCATCCAAGCATATAGACCAACATCAAAATCCGTAAAGATGATAAAATGGTGAAAGCAAAGACTGACCTATAATATACAAGAAGTAACAGATAGCCATATGGTATTTGATTAGGCCGCTGACTAGCCGATATAAGAACTGGTCAGCAGTCACGGTATTGGCTAACCGTTGACTAAGGATCCGGCCATATACGAAAAGCATGGCAGTGAAAAAGAAGTGCCTGCAGAGAAACGATACACACAAAAAAAAAACACCTTAAGAACATTATAAGTCGCTTGAGAGCCAATAGTCACATAAAAGTTCTGACTTTTACCAATTCAGTTGTTTGATCCCGGGGAGACATTTATCCTCAGGTGCTTTCCTCAGCAGATTAAACAGCTCTTTAGCCATAAATATTTGGATCACAACCACCATGGCTGTGATATAGAGATGTCCCATGTAGACAATCAACACAAAACCACCAATCATCCATAACGTAGAGTAAGTCCTGACCATGAAAGATTTGTACTTGTTCCGATCATTCACCAGCAAAGGACTCGCATTCACTCTGTCCCCATCCGCAAAAACCTAACGAAAAACCACAATCAAAACAATGAAACTAAGCAAACTTGCTTCACTCTTTCGATGAAGCTGTAAGTCAAAAGAACAAACCTCAGTACTAGAGCGTTTTCGATGCCTAAGCCTTTGAACAGGCGTTGAAGGTGTACTGGTAACATTCTCATCTTCCATGGCTTTTTGAAATTTCTGATTTGCTCAATACAATTACGAGGAGAGCATCTGTGTCCTACAGCTTGATAACCAAAGCAACATATGTAATCAGATTCTACCACAAACTTGAAACTGAGATATTTTCTGCAGAAGAATTAAGAAATTAAGCTACTATAAACTTGAAACTGAGTGATTTTCTACAGGAGAATTAGGAGTTTGAGCTAAACCCTAACAATGGACGTCAACATCTCAGATTCCCAATCACTTCCAGAAATCAACAACGATTAGTTCTATAAAGTAATCGAACAATTTAATGCCTCGCGAGTGGAGAGATTTGTCTCCCACTGAGAGAGACTCGATAAGAAGATGAGAAATTTTCAGAAATCGGAAGAGTAGCTTCTACGAGACAGGATTCAGTATAGAAAACTAAAACTCAGATTCTGTTTAAGAAAAAAGGGATTCAATCGGATTTCTCATCAACAGAGGACGAGAAACAAGATGCGGAAGATACTTAACACTATTCAGAAATTTCGTTCTAACAGTGTGGAGTACGAACTGTGAAGTGACGAATTTCGAATTTGAAGTTTCAGGAAATGACAAATTCTGAGAACATACCTCTTCGCGAAGTTGAGATTTGGAATAGCTTCGTTTGGACGCGAAGATCGGTGGAGGACAGCGACGAGAACGAGGAGATTCGCAGAGACCGAAGAAAAGCGAGAAAAGGAATAATATTGTGGAGAGAAAAGCAAAGCAAAGCAAAGAGACGAAGCGAAGCAGAAAATATCAGGAAGGGAATTTTTTTTTGTTTTTCCCTTTCTCTGGAAGAGAGAGCAAGCACGAGGCTTAATAAAATAATTCTTTTTTTTTTTTTCTTTTTTGAGGTGAGAAAAACAAAAAATCAATTATTTTCTTCAACTGGAATTTTTTTTTTGTTTGTTTTGGTCACACATATGAAAGTTCTATTTGTGTTGTTAGGATTTTGGATTTTTCTAAAACTATTCCATGGAAATGATTTCTGATTTCTTCTTTTCATAGTCCTAGCCTCCTCCTAGGTAAGTCCTATACACTTTTTTAGATTTTTACATGTAATTGTGTTCCATTCCATGCAAGGAAATGTAGTTGTATGTGTACATGGCAAAGTTACAAGTAAGAGCATGATAAAAATACAATTTGATTCTTTAACAAGACTAAATAAACACAGATTGTTTACATAATTTCCATATCATATACTGAAAATAAATAAATCTAAATATAATCTTTAGAAAAAAATGTATTCATTACAATATTATTTGTTCCCTTTGGACCTTGAACCAAACTATAGACTATGAGTACTAAATCATAAACTTCTTCACCTCCTTTATTCAACTTATTATCAGTTCCAACTTAAGAATAAGACAATAATTAATCAATAAAACCGAAGAATATTCAGCTCATTCAAGGCTTGACCATTAACAAAACCTTCAAGGAAGAGAGTATTATACGATAAAAATTTGATCACTGGTTAGCTCCAAAAAAGCATGACACTAATGAATCCAAAAATCGAAATTGAAGACCGAGTCTAAGCACTTTTGAAAGCAGAAACATAAGTTAAAAAGGCATTCAAAATTATAATATTTAAATTTTCTTTGGAATCTATGGCGACCAAATCAAGGTTAAACAATAAAAGTACGATATTATGTGGAAAATAATGTTCATAGTGTGGATCAGAAGAGGAATCAATAAATCAAAGTGTCGATTATTCAAACAAAAATTATTTATTTTGAAAACAACCAGATCAGTTGGTTACTTGGTTGTATAGGTTTGGAAGAAAGTCCAAACAAACCATCTCTCTTATACCATCAATGGATGTTCCTTCGTCAGGGACTAGAACTAGAGTGAAATGTTAAATGGATGGTTAAGAAAGGCCACATATCTTTCATCGGGCATGAGATGGATTTGCTTATAATTTTCAATCATATGACAAAATGGTAATGTTGGAGAAAAATGTAAGCTGCTCAGAAACATATATAACTTTATGTAAAGATTTAATATGTTAATTATAAATTTTTGTTTACACTATTTCAGTATGTTTTTAGTTTGTGTGATTTTCTGAGAAATGGAACGAGTATCCAAGATTTGGATATCCCAAAATATAAAGGGAAGGAGCCAAATGATCACAGAATTGCTACGCACATGGGAAGCCGCATGGCCTTACCTGTCTCGGCCTGTTTAATGTTAAACTGTCTCCCAAATATTATAATCTTACGTACCATTTTAATAAGAAATAGTTCATTTTAATTAAATGATCTGACTTGGCAACAAAATTCAAAAAGCTGACACAGTATGTATACTATATCTTGTTTTTCTACAAATGATTTTTTTTTTTTTTTTATCATAAACCAATTCCATTTATAATAATTCTGACTAGTATACGTTTTTAAGGGGTACAATATGATAATCACATGGAACTTTTACAAAATTTACCACACTCTTATTTAATATGATATCATATAGTAATAATACTATACTTTTGGCCGTTTGGGTAATCGTTTGAACTGAAACCTTGATCACTCTAATGTTTTTATTGTCTCAGTTGACCGTTAACTTATGCTTTGGAAAAGTGAAATTTATCGAACTATATACCCTTCCGTGGGAACTTGTTTATTTGATTTCTCAACTATTTGCAACCAGCATTTTTATCCTCCAACAATTGCGAATTCATTTTTATTCTTGGAAATTATTGTCTTTTTGGTATGATATTTCCTTGAGGTTTTCAGTTTGTTGTGAACATATAAGCTTAGTTTTGAGCTTGAAGTAGTGTAAGGATCTTACTGAAACAGTGACATGTGCATTGAATCTTTTATACTGTGATTCGTTATCATCCAATGCTGCTTAAGATATTAGATTATTGGTTGTTAATCGCTAAAGATGTTAAAGCTTGGATCTTTCAGTGAAATAATTTCGCTTTTAAATTGTTGGTTGTTAATAGCCAAAGATATTAAAGCTTGGATCTTTTCAATGAAACAGTTTCTTTTTCAAATTGTAGTTTGCTGTTGTTGTTTTTAACTTTTTTAATCCATATCTTTTGGAGTTAAAGAAGCTTTTTAGTTTCAGTTTTGTAGTCAAAACGTTTCTTGAATCTTCACTTTACATTGCACAAAGATTATATGAGATGCAACAACTATTTTAGCTAAAAACAGAGGAATGCTTATCAACAGTAATGTTCGTTTGATCAAAGTATGACGATAACTCATATTTGAAGATATGTTTATATATTGATTGTGACAGACATGCATCCAAGTTATAGTTTTACAGATGTGCTTTCATGTCTTTTTTAGTTTATTAAAAACAATTTATTTTTCCAAACAATAGATAAACGCGTTTCATTATTTTTTGCACATAAGAGAATCTTTAGGGACATGTATCCAAGTTTATATAGATTAAAGTCGGTGACGGTGGCTCCAATCTATGGACTATAGCCGCGTAATTAACGGTCTCAGTCTTTTGTTTCCTCGACGTGCCAAATTGTCATTAATCAAAACAAAAACAATTCATAAACAAAAGAAAGAGATACGACTTCTGAGTTTTTTTCTGACTGTTTGTTTATAAAGATGCACATGGAGATCTTATTAGATGTCACAATTAGTGAGGTGGGTCTCTTGTCCCATGTGTTATTTATTTCTCTCCCTCTCAAAAATTTCAACTTTCATGTTTTCAAACTTAGAAAAAACAAAGAAAAATGTTTTTTCGTCTCTTCTTCTTCCTTTTCCTCTTGTTCTCTATTTCTTTCTTGCATGTTAGAGCTGCTGCTGATGATGAAGATGGCAATATAAAAGTCGACCCGAGTCTTAACTTCGAAAACCTGAGTCTTCGTCAAGCTTACATTGCTCTACAATCATGGAAACAAGCTATCTTCTCTGACCCTTTTAACTTCACAGCTAATTGGAATGGCTCAAATGTTTGCTCTTACAAAGGTATCTTCTGTGCTGCTTCTCCTTCTTCTCCAAGAACTCGAGTTGTTGCGGGGATCGATCTTAACCATGCTGACATGGCTGGTTACTTACCTTCCGAGCTCGGTCTCCTCACTGATCTTGCTCTCTTCCATCTCAACTCAAACCGTTTCTGTGGATCAGTACCAATCACTTTCAAAAACATGAAGCTTCTCTACGAGCTTGACTTGAGTAACAACCGTTTCGTTGGCAAGTTCCCTCTCGTTGTCTTGTCTTTGCCTTCTCTCAAGTTCTTGGATCTCCGTTACAACGAGTTCGAAGGTGGAATCCCTTCAAAGCTCTTCGATAAAGAGCTTGACGCCATCTTCTTGAACCATAACCGGTTTCGGTTCGGTATACCGGAGAATTTGGGAAACTCTCCGGTTTCCGTTCTTGTTCTTGCGGATAACGATCTTGGTGGTTGCATACCGGGAAGTATCGGTAGAATGGGGATGACTCTTAACGAGATCATCCTCTCTACCGATAACTTAACCGGTTGCTTACCACCGCAGATTGGTAATCTCAAGAACGTGACGGTTTTCGACGTCGGTTTTAACCGGTTAAGCGGTTCGTTACCGTGGAGCGTTGGAAACATGAAGAGCTTGGAGCAGCTGAATGTTGGTCACAATAGGTTCACTGGAGTGATCCCAAGCAGCATTTGCCAGCTCTCTAACCTTGAGAACTTCACTTACTCTTTCAACTTCTTCACCGGTGATGCACCGAGATGCGCGGCGCTTTCTGGAGGCAATGTGGCGGTTAATGGATCGATGAATTGTGTTGCCGGTAAAGAACGTCAAAGATCGTCTAGAGAGTGTTCTTCTCCAGCTTCACGCCCTGTTGATTGTAGTAGATTTGGATGTAACAATATTTTCTCTCTTCCTCCACCGCCGTCTTTTAAGATGGCTCCCACCGTCCGAGTACTTCCTCCACCGCCACCGCCTCCGTCTTCCAAAATGTCGCCTACTTTTAGAACAAATCCGCCGCCGCCTCCGTCTTCCAAGATGTCGCCTACTTTTAGAGCGAATCCACCACCGCCTCCATCTTCTTCCGTTAAGACGTCTCCTCCGCCACCGCCATCTTCTAAGATGTCCCCTTCCGTCAAGGCGTATCCTCCTCCGCCACCGCCACTTTATGAGTCATCTCCTCCTCCTCCTTCTTCCGGAATGTCACCTTCCGATAGAGCATACCTTCCACCACCGCCACCATCTCCTCCTCCGCCATACATCTACTCATCTCCACCTCCGCCTCCACCCACAACGCAAAGTCCACCACCACCGGAATATCAGCAAACTCTTTCACCACCTTACTACCAATACACGTCTTCTCCGCCACCACCTACATACTACGCCGTTCGATCTCCACCGCCACCACCACCGGTTACAACAAGTTGTCCGCCTCCATCACCAGTCTACTATACACCCGTAACACAAAGCCCTCCACCTCCACCACCAGTGTACTATCCGCCAGTAACACAAAGTCCACCACCACCACCTCCGGTATACTATCCACCCGTTACACAAAGTTCTCCACCTCCACCACCGGTGTACTATCCGCCAGTAACACAAAGTCCACCACCACCACCTCCGGTGTACTATGCGCCGGTAACACAAAGTCCTCCACCTCCACCACCGGTTTACTATCCACCCGTAACACAAAGCCCTTCTCCACCTCCATCACCGGTGTACTATCCGCCAGTAACACAAAGTCCTCCACCTCCACCACCAGTGTACTATCCACCCGTAGCACAAAGTCCTCCACCGCCACCACCGGTTGAGTACCATCCACCGGCAACCCCAAACCACTCTCCACCACCAGAGAAGGGATGTAACGACAGTCCAAGTAACGGCCATCACTACCAAACACCAACACCACCTTCTCCACCGCCTCCATTCTACGAGGACACACCTCTTCCGCCGATCCACGGTGTCTCTTATGCGTCTCCTCCTCCACCATCAATCCCATACTACTAAATTCAAAACCATGCATTTGCTAGTGGTTGACGTGGACGCTAGTCACAATGATCAAAATTCTTTTGGCTTCGTACCTATTTTGAGTTTTTTTTTCCGACGAATATTTTGTTCTTTTATTTCTTGATTAAACAGAGAATTGAGTATATAGTTTCAGTTATTTATTATTGGCTACCTCATCTTATATGTATTTTCTTCGATAAATGTTCATTATAAATGTATAAATATACATTCCTCTTCTCTCTTTTGAAGTGTTATATTACTGTCAAAAGAATAATCTACTCAACAAAAACTTTAAAGACCCAACCTATATTTCAAAAGAAAAGTTTTCATAAAACATTACAACATAGAAATCATGAGAGTAGTAAAGAGAGAAAAAAATCCATAAATACTCGCTTTTATTCATGCTCATTTAATGAGAAAGCTAAATAAGTTTTCTAGTCTGAAAAATCGAATGTAAGATAACAAAGGATTTAGCAAAAGAGCTTTGGTCTATGTAGGTTTAGACTTGAGAGAATGTTCTGTAGATCATTGCCAACTCTTGCGGATGTCGAAGGTGTAGTTGATCTCCAAGTAGCACTTATTATCGTCATCAACAAACTGAAAATATACAATAAAAATAAGTAATTTGAACAAAGAAAATTGTAGTTGCATATTTGCATTTGAAGAAACCCTCAAACTATCATCAAGAAGAGTACAAATAATTGTAATAAATTTGATTATTTGTTTTATACATGCATATGAAACGAAATACCTTAGTTCTTGCGGAATATGATCCTCTAGCAAACATACCAGATGGTGTTGTTTCTTCAGGCATCACATGCTGGTATGGCTCAGATTGAGGACTAAATGTTCCAAGCATTGCTTTTGTACTATCCACTGGTCAAAAAAGAAAAGAAAAAATGTACCAAACATCAAAAGAGAACAATGGAGAACATTTTGAACAACGATGAAGAAACAAGTATAGGAAAAAAAAACACAAAATACCCTTAACAGCGGTTTTCCAAACGGTATTGTTATAGCGAAGGCCCGAAACGATATTGTTTGTGACACGAAAGTTGAAGACAAGTGTGTACTTAGAACCTTCTTTTATGGTGAACCAAGGTCCCTTCGGGTTCGGTAACCCATCTTCAGGTATCGTCAATACCATTTCCTCTCTGTCCGGTGACCTAATTGTCAAGTCTAGTATCTTTACTACCGGATCCGGTGTCTCTGCATTTCAATTTTTTCATTAGTTCTGTGTTGTTATAACAATTTAAGTGTTTTCCTGATATATAAAACATTATAGAGTACTCCAATAAGATAATCATTAAGACTAGGGTATGTCAAAATATCATTTGGTTTATAACTTAACTAACATGCGTGAATCGTACCTCCCGTGCATAACACTTTACTTGAATAGAGCTAGTTAGATCGAAATGATCTCTTTCTAAGCTAATCACACTTGAGTGGTATATAATCGATATTCCAAAAAGTTTTGAACCATATTTATTTAGCTTCAAAACATAAAATCTAGCTAAACCGGATATTGGATTTGGTTTACCTCCGACATCTTCCAAATCAACGACGCCAATAAGCTGTTCCTTCCATCTCCTCAAGCTTTCATCATCCTGTCAACATATCGTCGAAAAATATGAAATATCTATAAACACAAAAAAAAAAAACTCGATTTATAAAAAGCCTATTCTACCTGGGACAATAAAATCAGATTGTAATTCTTGACGTCTAACAACTATTAAAATAAGTAATCGTACCAAATTCATACATTCATATCGCAAGAAAAAATTACTGACATTTTGTGATAATCCATAATCCCATATTATCTATAACGTTATTGTATAGTTTTAAGTAATCTCATATTTAATAATTAACAAAGAAAAAGACCTTGTCTTTCTCCAGCTGTTCTCTGAGAGCGATCATGGGACCGAGTTCTGGCTTCCTGTCGTCGCGATCGTCTTCATCATCATCTTCTGTCGGAGACAAAGAGCTTACACTATTCTTTCTGCTTAACCCAGTTTCTTTCTCTGATGTCTCTCCCGAAGCTTCTCCTTTCTTCATATCATCATCTTCCAAACCCATTATTGTTTCCTCCAAACCAAAACAAAACAAAACAAACAAGAAAAAAAAAAAATCTCCTTGTTGATGTAATAAGATCTTAGATACTATCAACCGTTGGATTTGAGTAAAATGCAAAGATGGGTATAGAGGAGAGAGAGAGAGAGAAAGAGAGTTTTGGTGATTTTTGTTGAGGAATGTTTATATTTGGAGCTTGACGAAATGGTCATGTGGTGATCCTATTATCTTGTAATTCTCACTCTCTAAATCAAAATTTTCTAAATATATACAAATTCTACAATGCACGTATAATTTTGTTTGGTTACACATCTAAGGGGACGGTGGACGGTCTAATGCATTTTGGCTTGCAAGTGGAGAATTAATTTACGATTTTGTTTTTTAATTGGACTAAATTCAACATTACAAGCTAATATGCTCAAATTGCAATGATACTCAATTTATTGAATGAATTAACTCTAAACGCAACCTTGTTATGTAAACGGCAAAGTTTACAACTTTAATTCCGAAAATTCATTAAATCTCTAGTGATAGTTCTTTGAGAAATTACAACTTTGCTTAAGTCCATAATTCATTTAAAATCACAAGATATTTCTTTCTCAAAGAACTATACAACAAAAACTTCCTTTTCATCTTAATTTAATCTTTATTGCAAGATAATATTAATTATGTCCATAGTGATTTTGTGTTAGGTAAGAATTGTTTTTTACTGATATTTTTCTAAATTACAGTATTCTAAAGTACTAATTATCATTTTATAGTTTGTTTTATAAAGGAAATATTTGTTTTCTCCTATAAATTAGCCATCTCCTCGACCAAAACTCATCACTCATCAAAGCATCACACAAACAAAACACAAACTTTCTCTTGTCTTCTTTGATCTTTTCGTCTTTTCTACACATTCAAATGTCTACTCTCGACGGCGTCGTGGTATGCATATGCATAGTTTAAGATTTTATTTAATCCATGTTTTCGTTATAGTCCAAACAAAAGTTTGGTTAAAGATCCGATTCTCTATCTAAAAGCGATAAATCAAACACCCGTTTAAACCACGTATATATACCCTAACGTTTACACATGTATTATATAATTACCCTTGTTACCAAAAAAAAGTCTGATCTATATAATTACAAATTATCATTTATCATGTAATAGTTAGCAAACAGAAAGAACAGACTACTTGTCGTTTATACCAAACAAAAACTTTATGTGGTTTTGAATTGATCTACGTGACAATGGTTTTGCAGGTTGAACAAGTGACTCCAGCAGCAGCTGAGAACGTCGAGATGCCACCACCAAAGACAGTGGAGCCGAAGGAAACCGCAGCCGTCGAGTCTGACGCTCCAGCTCCCGTCGAAGTAACGTGTGTAAACGTGGACATTGTAGAAACAGAGAAACCAACTGCTTTCACAGAGGAAATGTGATATTAGGATACAAGAAGAGCAAATCGACTGGCACGTAAGCCAAACAATAAATATCTCTCGTGAAGAAGTCAATGATCTGTTTTGTTAATAAGAAGAAATTGGTCATCCTTTGCTTATAGGAACCATTTCTTCACTTTTCTCAATTCATGTTTTGTAGGAGTGATGACTCCACCTTCCATTTCTTTGCTTCGTTGTCCTTTTGCTATTTAAATGAAATAAAAACAAAAGAAAAGGCAGTCTTAAGTCTTAACTACTAAAAATCTCTTGAGTTCTAAGTTACAATTCTCTTTGCTTTGAAGGAGAGTTGTGTCTACGGCACCATATTTATAAACTGAATTAAAGGCTTTGTATTGATATAGACTAGCTACATCGACAAACATTTTGTTAGAATTACATACATGAATTCATTTTCTGTACTCTTGTTTGTAAGAAAAAGATTAGACTCTTATTTGTAAAAAAAAAAAGTTTCACAATTACTCTAAATTGTCGCTACAAAATCAAAACAATTTTTTTTTGAAAATTCATATACATTATTTTTTGTGTATAAAAAAATCGGCTGTTTCGATAATTATGATTTTATTAATATGATACGAATTTTTTATATATAAATTAAATTAAAAGTGTGTATCAAGTTTTTATTTCAACAAAATGATTTTGTAGCCGCCTCCGGCCTCTAAAACATTAGGAACGGCTCTAGTTTGAAGAGGGACCAAAACTAACAAAAGCAAAACTGAGAATATGAGATCAAGAAAGAGGAAGAAGCTCTCTAGGATCATCTATAAGATTCCACTGTGATTGTGATGAGCGAAGAACCAACTTCAAACCCAAACCCGATCATGTACGAAGTGACCAGCCAAACCAGCACTGAGTTTAAAATATTTGTGTTTTTCCGGTGATGACGCTCATCTCCGGCAGCAAACATGACAAGTTTTACGTATGTTATTCAAACATGAATGTCTCAGGTGCAACATTTGGTAGGAGTAATTACTTTTAAATGATGTTTTGTCATTAGCAATACTTTAATTGCTAGTATACAGTGGTTATCCTAGTAATTAGGTTTAAATGTCTATCAGCAATACTTTTAATTGAAGTTATATATGTTATCATCATTAAACAGTATATAAATTTAATGTTTTTTTTCTGGTAAAAATATAAATTTAATGTTTACTTGCATTATATGTCCTTCACTTGAGCTTGCATTATGTATGCTCTCCATATCAAATGTTGAACCGACTTTTATATAGACCGATTGGTTTAACAAATGTTCAAATGAAACAAACCAAACTATCCGGGCAACTCTCAGATCCGAGTAAAACTCTCTTTTCACTCTTTTGAGTTGTAAGTTCAAATTCTCTTTTCTCTGAAGGAGGATTGTGTCCACCTGAGACCACCTCTATTAAAAAGGAAACACTCGCCTACAAAAACTTATGAAAGAGAATCCAACAATCACATTAAGAGAATCATTGAGATCCACCACAATTACAACTTTTTGGAGATGAATCATGCATGGCTTTTCAGCTAAAGAAATAAAACCAATTATGGTACACATCTTGACATGTGGCCGACCAAAAATACCTTACAGGTGGCAGATCTGTCACCGCTAATCTAAAATGGTGCGTAAGTATTGAACGGCAAAGAATAACACAGCTATTTTAGGGGACAATACTTAATTAAGATTCTCCGACTTAGGATTACACATGTTCAAGGCATGCACGCATGGGGTCGCTAACATAATTCCGATGCCAAAAGTGAATTATTTGGAACTTTCTTTTTTAGATCTGAATTGATAAAAAATTATAAAATGTAAAGTTAAAGTGAAAGAATAAGAGTAAAAGCTACCTTTTTATGAATATTAATAAAAATAAATGTGTAGTGTGTGCATATATAAGTGAAATTTTTATCATGATGTAGGTTTATTTTCTAAGCAAAAATCATAGACAAAGGTATTATGACTAACTAACTATATAATTTGGGTACATGCATGCTAATTTTTTTCAATCGCTGTAGCGACCAAAGAATGCATGAATTCAGCTAATTCAGTAAAGGATCTAATGTTAATTAACAAAAAGAGGTCTAACAGTTACAATTTAGTTTATCTGTATGTAATTTGTGATAAACATAATAACCACCTTAAAATATAGATTAAATACTTCTTACTTTTTCACAATTAACAATCAATAATACTTCTTATATGAATATTGAAGGTCCGACAAACTACACAAAATATGTTTTATTTTTCTTATATAAACGGCAAGTCATTTTCTCCTGTTAGTTATTAAGTATTCTGAATCTCTAATGATTTTCTTTGATAGATTGTTGATGTTTTACACCATTTATAGGAAAATATATAGCAGGACCCACAGTTATGGGGCCATCTTAGCCGTCCAACCTTTTTCTTTAGTCATCTTTTCTGCTGGCCTACCTTTACAGATGGTGATTACGTGTCCATACCTATCTATTGATATAAAATAAGTTAACATTTTGGTTACAAATTTCAAAGCGATACAAGTAGTTTGATAAATTGACAGTCCAATTTCCAATGGCGCAGACAATATGCTCCGTCCTTTTTAATCTAGTAGTCGTTTTCAACTTTTGAACATATTAAGAAAGCTAGAATCAATCTTGTACTTAAGTATTAGTTTGAGTAAGTTTTAACTAGTTTTTTAATTAGCAAATTCAAATTTTACATTTAACAAGATAGTTTTCTGATCATTTCACATTTTGGTAAAAAAGGTGACGATTCTAGAAAATGTTGAAAAGCTGATTAATTAAAGACTAGAGAAGATGAAGAACTGAAGATCCACACGAAAGCTGAAGAAAACACAGCACAATCCTACAAACCTGATTAGCTGAGTGATGATTTAATCTGACGTGGCAAGTGTATGGGCCCACTGTCAAGTTGAATCCTACCTGGCATACACTCACGTGTCAGCGATCAGACACAGCACAATGTAACTTGTCGCCACATCATTATCAGTCAAGATATGGGGCCCATTTTCTGGCATTTTTGGGTCCCATCCACCGGCCTATACTAGTCGTCAACAATCCACGTAGATCAACAGAGAAACATTGAAAAAAATAGTAAGAAACAGAAGCAATAAGCCAATAACGTAAAAATAAACGTTGGGTAATAAAATAGCAACCGAGAAGAACAAAAGAAGAATAAAAAGTTTAGTAAAATAGTTGGAAAAGAAATGATTTTAAAATTCAGTGCAAACAGATTCAAGTTGCATATACCCACTAGAATGTCATTTTCAACCTAAATTTAGATTTCAGGAACTGATTCTATATATTTCCCTTATTAAGAAAATAACCATATGTCTTTAGAGTTAATTTCACTGCATTTTGTCTCAAATTTCTTTATGAATATGTGTTGATGTCAATTCGTACGTATTCATAGGACATAAAAGTATATACAGTAGGTACTATTCGACACTTGTGATTTTGCATTCCATGTGATATCTTATCTGAATCAGTAAATAATTTGCTTTGTATAATGTTAAGCAAACGCAAAACTCCAAATACTAGAGTTTACAATGAGGATCCCCTTATGATATCGCCTAATTTTCGTTATTTGTTATTATTCTTTAATCTATATTTTTATGGGAGAAAAAAAGGTTAATTAGCTGAATATACATATTGGGAAAAGAATTAAGAATATAGCCATAACAATAGTTTGGCTAGAGTACATAAATACATTCATTAGGTTTTACCTATATTAACCTTCACCAAATTCTATACCATATTAAAAAGTATAGTACAGTTTGTTCTATTTAAATCCAAAATACAAACCATAAATCTTTAACACACAAATCTAAACCCTAAACTGGAAATCTAAACCCTAAACCCAAAAACTAAACCCTAAATCCAAAAAACTAAACTTTAAACTCAAAAACTAAACCCTTAACTCACAAAACTAAACCCTAATTTAGAAAAAAGAACCCTAACCCCAAAATCTAAACCCTAAACCCCATAAACTAAATTCTAATTTATGAAAAAGACCCTAAATCCAAAATCTCAATTCGAAACCCAAAAAACAAAACCCTGATTTTGGAAAATTAGCCATATCCCTAAACCCTAAACCTAATATATAAATCTTAAACTCAAACTCCAAAATTCTAAACCCAAAAATATAAACTCAAACCTAATATATAAATACTAAACACAAAATCTAAACTCTAAACTCTAAATCTAAAAAACTAAACCCTAAACCATAAATGAGAAAAAAGAACAAGTTATTCTATTCCATACACAAACAAAAAATAGTACGGAATTGAATTTTATACATATTAGAAAAAGGGCAAAACTGGTATTATTGTAGAAAATATACTTTGTATCCTAGCCAAGACTTTGATATGGTTAATTTGTTAATTTTGACTTTCCAATATGATTATTCATTACAATTTCCCAAAAAAAAATAAAAACTACACTTTAGATCACTCATATTTTACCTTAATTCAAGCAAGAAAAAACTGAATTCTAAATTTAAGATTAAATTACCAGTTGCATCAACATTTTAACAACAATACGAACTTTATAAATGATCACCTAATCTTCTACGAATAATAAAAAACTACATAATAATAACAACAATACGAACTTTATCAAAAAATCTTCTATGAATAATAAAAATTTCCGACCACCTCTTTCACCAATTTGTTTTTAGAGGGATCAACTTTTCTAAAGGACAAATTTGATTATACACAATTATAGTAAGAAAAACAATAAATGGGGGCTCTCTTGAACATTTAAAAAGCCACAACAAAAAAATCTATAGAAAAAAGAAGTTTAATTGCTAAACATTAAATCAAGCCATGTATGACTTTAGTGGCTTTATAAATTTTGTTGCACATTTAGTTTGTTTAGGATGTCTTAGTGCTTTGGCATTAGCTTACAATCACTTTGAAAGCTTTAGAGCATTAGTCATTCTGTTAAAGAGGTTTAAACTTTGTTCAACAATTAATGTTATCACTTATCAATGGCATGGTCGTCTCACTGAGTGACTATATGTTTCCCGTATCTAACTATGTCATTATATTGATTCATAATACATGTTTTTCATGTCCAACACCACTAAATAATGATCAGTTTCTAATCAAACACCTAGGATTACGATTTTCTATACTTTTTCTAGTTTTAAATTCCAGATTTATGGTATAAAAAATAGTAATGCATACAAAATATATCTTAATTATATTGATTTTCAAGTTATGAAGATTCGATTAAATGATAATTCAGTTTCCTAATATACAAAAAAAGATTTAAATCATAAATATGTACAACTAGACGTTCACTGGAGTATACATCAGAAGCTTTTTTCATCTCATTAATTATTACCGCAAGAGAATTTTAATTATGGTCATAGTGTTTGTTTTTATGACAGATATTTGGTTTTGCCGACTAACAGTTTGATTCATATCACATCAGTATACAAAAAATCAAAATCAAATTTCATTCATTTGTGCCAGATATTATTTTAAGTCATCCTGTAGTACTAATTATTATTTTATTTTAATTTTGATAAAGGAGGAGTATTTTTTTTTTTTGTTTGTTAAAGTGCCGAAGGAGTATTGTTTCCCCTATAAATTAGCCATCTCCTCGACCAAAACTCATCACACGTCAAAGCATCACACACAAAACACACACTTTCTCTTCTCTTCTGTTCTTTGATCTCTTCCTCTTCTCTACACATTCAAATGGCTACCGTCGAGGTAAGCATAAAAATCATATTTTAAGATTTTATAATCTATGTTTTCGTTAATCTATAGCTTGATTAGCAATCCGGTTATCTTTATGTTTTCACTTGTATTACATAATGATCTATACAATTACAAAATATCGTTTATTTTGTAATTGTTAGCAAACAAAAAGAAGAGACTACTTGCCGTTTGTAGCAAACTAAAACGTCGTGTAGTTTTTATTGATTTATGTGACAATGGTTTTGCAGGTTGAACAAGTGACTCCAGTAGTAGCTGAGAACGTCGTCGAGATGCCACCACCAAAGACAGTGGAACCGGAGGAAACCACAGCCGTCGTCGCCGCCGTGGCCGAGTCTGCTCCAGCTCCAGTGACAGAACCTGAAGCTCCCGTCGAAGTAACGACTAAAGACGTGGTCGTGGAAGAAACAGAGAAACCAACTGAAGAAGTGACAGAATCTGAAGCTCCCGTCGAAGTAACGACTAAAGACTTGGTCGTGGAAGAAACAGAGAAACCAACTGAAGAAACAGAGGAAACCAAAACAGAGGAAATCAATACAGAGAAACCAACTGCAGAAACAGAAGAAAGCAAAACAGAGACTGAGGAGATCAAGAAAGAGGAAGAAGCTCCAGTTGAAACTCCGGCGGTCGTGGAGAAAGAGATCAAAACAGAGGAGGTTGTAGAGACTAAGAAAGAGGAAGAGGAAGAAGAAAAGAAAACAGAGGAAACTCCGGCGGTTGTGGTGGAAGAGAAGAAACCAGAAGCAGAAGAGGAGAAACCCACAGAAGTAGCCAGCGTGGAAGCTGTGGCCGCAGCTCCGGCGGAAGTTGCGGTGGAGAAGGCTGCTGAGTAAGAAAATTCGAAGTAAAGTTTGCTACTTTAAGTACGTTGCGTCCTTATTTTTGCTGTTTTGAGTCTATGACTCTTGCTTTTGCATCATCATCACTCTGTTTTGTGTCTTCTTTTGTTTTATATTTTGAAGTCCTTTTAATGGTTAAGCTATAATGAATCCTCTTCTAATAAGATATAAATTGTTATATTAAATTGTTAGAATGAAACTTGAAACAGAGCTACTAGTAAAAGGCAATGCACACAAGAAACAGATACAATTTTCATTTTCATAAGCCTAATCCAGTGAGAATAGACATCAACTCAGCCACAAGCTCCTTGTCACCGAGCTTCCTCACATACCTTCTTAAGAAAACTTCATCGGTACATATCAAGACAGACGACATCTTGACACTTCCCTTTCTGAGCAATCCTTTTGACATGAGAGCTTTGATTACGTTACACCTTGGCACAATCCTCTTCTCCATGCTGTATCCAAGTACCTGTGGCTGCGAAGCAGAACCTTTAGTGGCCAATTCATCTGCTTCACCAGAACTCAGTCTTCTTCTTCACGACTCTGCAGTAATCCAATGCACTGAGGAAAGCGCTTGACCATCATAACAAACTCATCTCCGCTGAATCCTAGTCCTAGAAATGTCTCCATGGAGCTCAATATCTTCTTCTCCGAGACATCAGAAAGGTTGGACTTTCTTGAAAATCGCCCATACATCTCCCACAGCAAAGCCTAACCTTTTTATACACATTGACCTTTTCTTGTATTGTTTTGTCACTCATTTGGTAAACAGCATGTAGAGCTTCGATAAACCTTGAGGTTTTGGATCAAAACCCATCTCAACAACCTTCTTGAGGGATTCTTCAAATCTTTCTTTGCCACAGCAGAGATTACGATGATCAGAGATGAGCAAGGGAATAACAGCCTCTGAGGCACGCCCAATTCTCTCAAAACCAATACATTTCTGATCTTATTCTCCTGTGGACTTCCCTGTGGCAGAGAAGAATGACATAAAGTTTCAAACTTTGAGCTCTTATCAGCTTCTATAATCTCTTTGACGAAATCATAGTATACGCTGATAGTTTTGTCCTTTTTGATTCCCAAGATTTTTGGAACTTTTGAGACAATCTCAGTGAGCTCAGAGCTTGAAGCTCCTCTTGACTGCAAAACTGAAGCTTGGGAGCAAGAGATTTCTCAGCATCTTCTATAAGCAACAGTGGATAATCCGTAATGATGTCTGAGATCTGAGAATCAGTGAATCCATGGCTTCTAAGAAGACTCAGAACAGAATCCGGATTACCCTTATTCTCGAAGCTGATTCTCTTCGAGATCGATTGTGCGAGTTTCGTAGTCAAACCCAATGAATCAACGAGGTAAGAGACTGTAAAGTTCTTACCTTTTCGACCATCTCTAAGGCTAATTTCAGCAGCAGCACTTGCAGAGGAGAGCGAATTGGAGAAAGCAGACGCATTTTGCAAAAGGTTCACCGAAGAAACTCTCAGATTACGACATTTCTGCTGCTGGACCAACCTTCTTCCATGGAGAATCAGTGAATTCATGGCAGAACGGAGAAAAAAAAAACCGAATGTGGCTCTTTCGTTTAACATGACCAGAGACTTATCTGGGCCTTGTTTTTACACACACACAAGTTAGGCCCAACTCGTTTATGGTAAAGAATACAGATTAAATAAGCCCAAACATAATAACCATGAAGAACAAGGTAAAAAGAAAACAGAGATCAAGAAAGACAAAAGATAGAGGATTTTGTGGTTAATCTAAAGCTGTAAATCTTGGTTGAGCTATAGTTGTGGTTTGTACCATAGTATGATAGAGGATATGATCAAACCAAGATGTGCATATTTTGATCATTCTCAATATATGTTGACCTTTGAATAATAACAAGAAGTATCATATGCCGAATGTGATTAAATATTTTGTAAGACAACATATGTTTGTTAAAATATTTTGGACCTTGCAATGGCAGAGACCAATTCGACGGTTTTGGAAGGTTTGAGTGAGGTTTCAGCCACAACGTCAATTACTATGAGTTCTATGACAGCCGAGGAGATGCAGTAGGTGACAGGGGTTTCTTCAAAGTTATTTCAGACCTTGCATATCATTTCATAACGGTTAATATTGAGGTGATTGTTGTTTTACTTAATGGTCACCTTTTTAATTTTTGAAAACTAACATTTGCTTTAAATTTTTTGAAAAATAATTTTTTTAATAAGTGAAAAGACAATAAAACCATTATCAGTTTTCAGAATTAATAATGAGGAAAAACAATTTCTTTTTTAATTAAAATATAGAGAAGGTATATTTTAAATTTATATTAAATAATAGTATAAATTTTAAATATATAAGAAAAAGAGATTTTCGAAAGAAAAGAAAAAAAAAATCAATCAGTATTTATACTTAGCTATACACATATTATTTTCAAAATATACATGTAAATTGTACCATTTCATGTTCATGGGAAACATACAAATGCTTGTTGGTGGTGCCGTGGTGGTGGGTGGCACACCAGATATTTTGGACTTGCGTTACCTATTGTTGTTTGTATTAGATTGCTCTGGTATTCTCGGCAGCATATCTTTGCTGCTTCTACTTGAATTTGCATCATGACGAGAGTCATTAGGAGACATGAGCATACTTCAGATCACATTTTTGCTTTCCATTTTTTGCTTGATATTCTTTGAAACCAAAACAGGGTATTTGGGCAAGGAGAAGAATCAGATTTATGTATCTTTCAACGCTTCTTTAAATTCTAGAGCTTTTCTATGAGTTGTTTTAAAAAAAAAAATTATTTTATGCTGTTATAATGGTGACAGATTCATGAATTCTAAATTTTGAGTAAGACCTCCACAAGTCCACATTCGGTGATACCAATTCGCAATGATTGATGACATAACACTACCATACAATTCTTGAATACAATGCCTTTACATGTATAGTAGGATAACGAAGAGAGAAGAAATACAATCTAAAAAAATACAATGTCAATGGTCAAAGCATTTAGTGAGAGGTCTACCGAGACATTTCAGCGACCAGCTTCAATGTCCATTATTGCTACATTCTTGATGCTGTCATAACCAGTGCTACTGGTTTCTCCTTGCGCTGATAAAATTTCAAGACCGATCAAATGTTCAGCCTCCTTTAGCTCAAGATACTGATCCGACCACTGATGTTTGGTTTTTGTGGCTCTCAAACCCTCAAGCTCTGCAGCTATTTCCTTCATCTTTGGCCTTTCCTCTCCCGTCACTCTTGTACACTCAACCGCAACTCTAGCAGCTTCGTGGATCTCCCTTTGATTATTCTCGTTCATAACTCCACCATCAATAACCTCATGCAGTCTATTCTCTTTCAAGGCAGAGGCAAAGTAACTCACCAAATGTTTCGAGTTTTGTGGCCTTTCAAAGCACAATGCCTTTTGACCTGAGAGCAACTCCATGAGGACTACGCCAAAGCTATAAACATCACTCTTTTCGTTCAGCAACCCTGTGTTGTAGTATTCTGGGTCTAAGTAGCCTAGAGTTCCTTGCACCATTGTTGTGAGCTGCTCTTTGTCCATAGGTATCAGCCTTGAAGCCCCGAAGTCAGCTACTTTTGCAGTCAAGTTTTCATCCAGGAGAATATTCGCAGTCTTGACATCGCGGTGGATGATTGGAATAGAGGCAGAAGAATGAAGATAAGCAAGAGTTCCTGCGACCTCTATCGCTATCCTTAGTCGGTGTTCCCATGTAAAGGAAGAATCAAGTAAGGAACCATGCAAGTGATCGAAAAGGGTACCACTGGTAATGAACTCATAGACCAACAAGGGAACTTCAGTCTCTAGACAGCAGCCCAAGAGCTTGACCACGTTCCTATGGTTGATTTGTGAAAGCACAAGCACTTCGTTGATGAACTGCTCTACTTGGCTGTTGTCTCCAAGCCGAGCCTTTTTTATAGCAACTATGGAGTTGTCCGGCAATATCCCTTTGTAGACTGTTCCTTGCCCTCCCTGACCCAAGATTCTACTCTCATCATAACCATTAGTTGCTTCTTTCATGCCTTCTTCAGTAAAGATCTTGACATCAACATTTGATGGCCCTGCTCCTGAGAGTCTTTGTATCAACATTCCACCGCCGTTCTGCTCAAAGAACTGTTGTCGGAGCTTGGTGTCCTTCTGGTGCTTCATCCTCTGTTGTATACAGCTAAAAACAAGCAGGATGGCCAAGAAGCCGATGGTTGTTCCTGATCATATCATAGAAAAAAAAGGATTAGAGCATAGCTGTCTCAAGAAACATAGAATCCATAATGAGTGAGTGGAGAGAGAGAGCTTACCAAGAACTATCTGAGTCCATCCAATGTATTTAGGCCTGTCTTTAGGCATGCATACATTACTAGTTGTATTTAAGTGGTAACCAGATGTGCACATACAAAGAAAGTTTCCAGGCGTGTTTTTACAAGTGCTGAGATCCGAACAATTATGTTTGTTGATATCTGTTCTCACACACTCATTGATATCTGGCAACGTAAAACGCAACAAGAGATGTTTTGAGTAAAACAACAATTAACACTTCAGAACAAGAAAGAAAGAAAAGAAAAACTGAAGTACCTTTGCAACCGTCTCGAAGGTAAGGATTCCCCTCAAAACCTTGTCTACATTTACAGTTATACCCGGCTCCACGATTAGAATCGAAACATTCGCTGTTCTTACCGCATATGTGTCCGCTAGTGCCAACAACTTGCTGGCATGTCTGATTTCCAATAGACCAATCCAGTACCACCGGGAAATCCTTGACATTCCGAAGATTCCAAAGATCCTCTGTAGAACTGAAGTTAAACTGACCATCTTCAACAAGAAAAGCGTAGGTGCAACGATTAAACTCATACACAGAAGGAGTCGTGTTAGCAAAGCGAAGTGACCTAGTTCTGAATTTTAACTTATCCAGAGGCATAGAGACGTCTGTCGTGCAGCAACCTTGACCGTTACAATTTGTGTTTTGTGCAGGGCGAGAGTTGCATAAGGACATGCATCCACTAGAGTAACCCTGGCTCCCAAAAGTGGTTATAAGTGCGTAAGCGTTGCAGCCTACTAAAGTAAACCTGTTGTTGCTGGAGAGAGATAAGTTACCCAGCGAATAGTTGTAGTAACTGTCACCACTCAGATTTCCTTGGCTGTCGTAGCAAGTGTATGATCTATTAAACTTGACACGCAGCTCGCCTTTGTGAGACATGTCGATGATTTCGGCGTTGTTGCGAAAGAACAGCTTCCCTTCTTTGCTGCAGGTAACGTTGAAACTACGGTCTTGGGCGTAAAAACAATCTGGAGAAGTGCCAAAAGGGTACTGGATTGTGACGTTACCACAACTAGTTTGGCAACGGGGCAAGGATTGGCCCTTGACCAGCTGCAAAAAAGCTAGAGAGAAGACAGCCAGCAAGAACAGACCATGCAACCTCATCTCCAACCTCTGTTTCTTTCTCTAACTTTGTTATTCGTTTGAGTTTTCTCTGTTTCTCTAATGAGTCTTTTTCTTGTATAAAATAAACGTCAAGTCTTGAGATATCATGTTCACTCTTTTTTTTTTTCCACAAATCCAGCTACACAAACAAGACTTGTCAATGTAGCGCAAGGAAGACGTACAAGTAGGCTCCATATTATACAACAACGTCTCTGTTTGCTTCGGTTTGACAGTGACTCTTCTTTTTGTAGTATTCAATTATTACGAGCGTTGGTAGTTGCAAGGAATCTTCTAATGTGAAGAAATGTTAAATATTCAGACATATATTAAGCCTTTGTTCAAAAAAATATTCAGACATATATGTTTAAAATATTGGAAAGAAAACCATTTTGAACAATTATAAACAAAAGTAGTGGACTTTGGTCAACCATACTCGTCTTCGTCAATCTTCAATTTTTTATTTTATTTTTCTTTTTTCCAATCTTCAAATTTCAAAAGAGAAGAAATGTTAGATATTCATACATGGATGTTTAAGATATTGGGAAAGAAAATCATTTTGAACATTATAATAAAGTAGTGGACTTTGGTCAACCATTTTTACTGCGTCTTCGTCAATCTTCAATTTTTTATTTTCAATCTTCAAATTTCACTGTCCTTTCTTATGACCAGGCAAATTAACTCGGTTTCTTAACAGTTATTTCCTCCTCGGAATATTTTATTACTTTACTATGCAGTTTGTCTTAAGGCTCATGATCCCAACATTCTATGTTTTCTTCTCATTGTGACATTACATGATGTATACTTTATTGCGGCCATTAAGGAGAGTAGCATAACACTTGTGTGATCATACGAAAGACCAATCTATCCGGTCAGTGCCGTCTTAAGTGGGAGGATGGGCAGTGCGACCAGTCCGGGCCGACAGGTCTGTTTTCTTTTTTAATTAGTTAGTTTTTTTTTTTAAATACATAGCAAGATAAAGAATATGTGTAGTGTTATAATGATATATACAAACATTATTCAGATTCATGAATTCAGAACTTTAAACAAGAACACTAAATTTCCAATTACCAAATCCAATACGGAAGTGTACAATACCAATCAAGGAGAGTTTATAAACAAAATTATTGATGATCTGCTTGATCAAGAATCTCTCAAATACAAAGGGTATTTTAACAACATCTTTAATTATATTGTTAAATGTTTAGGATGAGAAGGAAAAGAGAACAAATCTAAGCAGATGGAACGAAATGTGGACAACGGTCTAAATCATTTGATGAGAGGTCTACTAAAAATTTCAGCGTCCAGCTTCAATGTCCATTATTACTACATTCTTGATGCTGTCATAGCCAATGCTACTGGTTTCTCCTTGTGCTGATAAAATTTCAAGACCGAGCAAATGTTCAGCCTCCTTTGGCGGCTGGAGATATTGATCCGACCACTGATGTTTGGTTTTCGTGGCTCTCAAACCCTCAAGCTCTGCAGCTACTTCCTTCATCTTTGGCCTTTCCTCCCCCGTCACTCTTGTGCACTCAACCGAAACTCTGGCCGCTTCGTGGATCTCCCTTTGATTCTTCTCGTTCATCACTTGACCGTCAATAACCTCATGCAGTCTATTCTCTTTCAAGGCAGAAGCAAAGTAACTCACCAAATGTTTCGAGTTTTGTGGCCTTTCAAAGCACAATGCCTTTTGACCTGAGAGCAACTCCATGAGGACTACGCCAAAGCTATAAACATCGCTCTTTTCGTTCAGCAACCCTGTGTTGTAGTATTCAGGGTCCAAGTAGCCTAGAGTTCCTTGCACCATTGTTGTGAGCTGCTCTTTGTCCATCGGTATCAGCCTTGAAGCACCGAAGTCAGCTACTTTTGCAGTTAAGTTTTCATCTAGGAGAATATTCGCAGTCTTGACATCGCGGTGGATGATTGGAATAGAGGCAGAGGAATGAAGATATGCAAGAGTTCCTGCGACTTCTATGGCTATCCTTAGTCGGTCTTCCCATGTAAAAGAAGAATCAAACAAGGAACCATGCAAGTGATCAAAAAGGGTGCCACTGGTGATGAACTCATAGACCAACAAGGGAACTTCAGTCTCTAGACAGCAGCCCAAGAGCTTGACCACGTTCCTATGGTTGATTTGTGAAAGCACAAGCACTTCGTTGATGAACTGCTCTACTTGGCTGTTGTCTCCAAGCCGAGCCTTTTTTATAGCAACTACGGAGTTGTCCGGCAATATCCCTTTGTAGACTGTTCCTTGCCCTCCCTGACCCAAGATTCTACTCTCATCATAACCATTAGTTGCTGTCTTCATGCCTTCCTCAGTAAAGATTTTGACGTCAACATTGGATGGCCCTGCTCCTGAGAGTCTTTGTATCAACATGTCGCCACCGTTCTGCTCGAAGAATTTTTGTCGGATCTCAATGTTCTTCCGGCGTTTGATTCTCTGTTTTATACAGATAACACAAAGCAGGATGGTCAAGAAGCCGATGGTTGTTCCTGTTCACATCCCAAAGATGATTAGAGCGAGTTGTTTTAAAAATGAAAGAATCAAGAACCAGTAAGGCTTGCTTACCAAGAAAAATACGAGTCCATCCAGGGTAGGTAGGGCTCTCTTTAAGCGTGCAGCTATTAGTGGAATTATTGCGATACCCAGATTTGCAATTACAAAGGAAGCCTCCGTCTTTGTTTTCGCAGGTGCTATTCGGATCCGTACAGTTATGTCGATGGATAGTATTAGTACATTCATCGATGTCTGAGTTCCAAAGGAAAAAATGATGGCAAAGAGGCAACATCAAATGTATGAGTAAAACAATTAGCAAACAAAAGAAAAGAAAGAAAGAAAGAAAGAAAAAGAAGTACCATGGCAACTGTATGGAAGGTATGGATTCCCTTCAAAGCCATGGAAACATTCGCAGTTATAGCCGGTTCCACGAGGGGAATCGAAACATGTGCTGTTCGCGCCGCATACGGGTCTGCCTTCAACCTGACCGCATGTCTTTTTTCCAATAGACCAATCTAATACCATAGGGAACGCCTTGACGTTCCGCAGATTCCAAAGATCATCCAAAGCATGGAATTCAAACTTATCATTTTCAACGAGAAAGGCGTAGCTGCAAGGATTAAAGCTATGCACACTAGTATGGTTGTCAAAGCTATATGGTTTGAATTGGACATAAGAGCTCCCTCTAGGGACAGGGATCTGGCAGCAACCTTCACCAGAGCATGTTTTGTTTCCGTTTGATGGGCGAGAGTTACATATTGATAAGCATCCACTTGAGTATTTCTCAACACCAGATGTGTTGAGAAATCCATAACTGTTGCAACCTACTATAGTAAATTTGTTGCGTTGAGAGAGAGTATAAGGACCCAGCATATACGTGTACGAATTCCCCCCCGTAGTTTTTCCTTGGCTGTCATAGCACATACGGGATCCTTCAGCCATGACACGTATCTCGCCGCCGTGAGATATGCTGACCACTTCAAAGCTGCCGGTGAATAGCGTATTATTCGGATAACAAGTGAGGAGAAAATTAGCATCTCCCGGAAGGTGACAACCTGTAGAAGTGCCAAAAGGGAACTCTATTTTGACGTTGCCACACCTACTTTGGCAATCTGGATAGGTTTGCCCCTTGATCAGCTCGGTATGAGAAAGGTAGAAAATAGCTAGCAAGAACTGCACTACCTTCATCTTTTTTATTTCTCTCTCTCTCTCTATCTCCAAACTTGTTCCTCTTTTTTTTTTTTTCCCTCTCTGAGGATTTTCTATAGGAATTAAGACAAACCTCAGGTTTAAAATCTTCCTGTTTTTTTGTTATTTTTTTTTTTTGCTTTCGCTGAACGGTTCCAAGAAATCCACAATACTATAATCTATGTCCCTATCCTGCAAGTGTAAAATTTATTATTTTTTCATTTGAATAGTATCCCCTTGCTGTTAGAACGTCTCTCTTTGATTCTGTCTAACAGTTGGTTTATTTTATTTTTATGAAGAAGAATTCAGAGAACATAATGGCTGGGTCGTTGGTTGATATGACGAAGTTCTCTAAATATTATAGAAAAAAACCCATATGACACTATAAAAATTATGAAAATCCTAACAAGGTCTTTGTAATACAATACAATTCTAATCGGGCAAGATTAACGCCCACAATTAATTACACTTGTGAGTTACGACACTATTCTTTGTATTTTATTTTCTCGGTATATCTATCTCCTTTTTTGTTATTGAAAAACATTGTCTTTATTTCTGAAGTTGTCACGTAAAAAGATTAGAAATTTGCTTCTAAGATCATCACTTACAACTGATACCTGAAATTCCGGTTTTTAATTGAAAACTTGACAGAAAATCTACAGTTTTTCTCTCTTTTCAACAATAGAAACCACAAGGGTCAATTAATAACATCAGTCGAATAGAAAGCATTTGTTCCAAACCGTTACAGAAAGCCAAAGACTTTAAATACACTACGAACTTTCTACCTTTTTCAGAAGCTTTAGAGCATGTTTATTGGTAAAACTCAAAATGTCTCTTAACTATTATAATATCAATAAATTTATTTTATGAGACATTATTAAGAGACATTTGTTTTTGTATCATTTATTGGTAGAGTTTCTTAGGGAATCTTAACTTTTGTTTTTTCTCCTTCAAGTGATAGTATAGCAGATTGGAGAAATCGTGTGTGTGTGTTGTGCTTAAATCCGTATGTGATTTTTGATGCTGTTTCAGGGATGGAAAGAGAGGCCGGTGTTTGTTTGGGAAGATACGATACATGAACTACGCAGGTTGCGAAAGAAAATTCAACGTGGATAGTTATATCACTTACGTCAAGAGTTTGGTCTCAGTAACAAAGAAGAAGAGGACAGCTCACCCGAGAGACTCTACGGATCCAAAGCTAATATAGTTTTTGAACTAAACACATATTCGTTTCCAATTAAAATTACCTCACACAAGCAAGCCACATCACAATTTACGCATACAAAAGAGCCCAACGGCAACAAGCAATACATCTTCGTGTTCCATGATCGTCATCTTCTCCTCTGTTGCAGTATCATCAACCATTGTGTTTGCTACAGCCGTCTCTGCTTCCACCATAAAGCCAATCATATTACAAATAATACTAACGGAGGAATACGTAACTAGATGTGGTATCTCAACGCCAAAAGAAAAACTAACCTTCTCCACTAAAGCCTGAGTCGAATACAAGACCTGTAAGATGCTGCTTCAAGAAAACCTGCAACAAAAGCAATGATGAATATATTAGTCTACTTCTCAGAGAAAAAAACATCAAGTCTCCATGTCGAAGAGCATACCGCAGATATGAAGCAAAGCGAGTGGGTGATCGAGCCAGCCGAGTGGAACTAAACTAATGTTGCTTTCTTCTTCTTGAAGCAATCTCTGACACCCAATCTTTGCCTATATCGGTCTGGAACTTCCTGGATCAAACAACAACAATATTTAAGCCTTTAAACCATATACTGATAACATCTTTGCATTGTGATGCAACACAAAAGTGGATTTGATTATAATCTATCAAATTGCTTGAAAGCACCATCCAGTTTCTTTGCCACACAGAATAGTGTGCTCTACGAGGATATAGCTCATAGCAAGTAGAGTTCAAGAAAAGGTTCACCTTTAATGTTATAAAAGTCCCTTGAACTGAGAGAATCTAAGAGAAAAATCTTATCTTGTCAATTGAAAAGACTGATCTTGAGATCAAACGATCAAGTAAGTGAAGAAGTCCAATCATGGAAGTACACAAGCAACTAAACTACTAAAGTACCTATGCATATGGGACACTGCACGTCTTTACGGAATTCACTGAGATCAATGTCCATTCATTTGCATGATAAAATCCAGTGGTAATTAAACAACAAAGATAAAGAATCTGTCTCAGAAAACAAAGTAAATCTAAAAATCAAGAGGGATTTAAGACACTCATGAACAAGAAAGAGATTCAATTAAATGAAAGCTAAATCATTCTCAAGACCAACCTCCAGAAATGGCATATTCATGGCTGCTATGAACCAAGCTAGAAAATTTGAAATTGATTAAAACGCAATAGCTGAAATAGTTCAGGGAAATTTTGAGCAGGAAGACGACATCTATACGCAACGATGCATCATCAGATTGCTAAATAAAGCAGAGAAAATTAAGACATCAAACCAATCAAAAAAGTATTTAAAGCGAGAAACTGAACAAGTTTACGGCAAAAAACAGATCGAGAGAGAAACGAGAATCGTACTCTGATTGGTCTCCTGGTGTCGAAGATGGACTTCTTTCCTTAGATTCTGAGAAACAAATAAACCAATCGAGAAACAAAATCGATCACATGAACAACCAAAATCGATCAGATTTTCATCTCAAATCCAAATCGCCGTCGGAGGAAAGAAAGAAAAGAGAGAGATGAGAAAATCAGGAAAAACGCGTGTTTTTTTTTTTTCCTTTTGACACGTGGCACTTAAAGACGTTTTCTTGTTTATATTTTCTTTTTGATTTAAAAACTTAGGCAATAAAGCTAAGAGACACGCCTGTGTTACACCGATAAACATGCTCTTATAATTGTTCAACTTCCCTTATATAAGAGACGTTTTCTTGTTTTTATTTTCTTTTTGATTTAAAAACTTAGCCAATAAAACTAAGAGACACACCTGTGTTACACCGATAAACATGCTCGTAATTGTTGATTTCTTTCTTTCTCTTTTCTATTGAAAATAGACATCAACTCAGCCACAAGCTTCTGTCATTGTGTTTCATCACATACCTGTTTAAGAATGTCTGATCAGTACACGCCAAAACAGACGACAATGGAGCAAGAGATTCTTAAATGGAAGACTCATTTCAACATACAATATGGAAGGAATTTGTAGAGGTCCTTTCTACCTTCACAGCTTATTATTTTTTTTTTTTTTAGATACTCGGAACCGAATCGGACCTGACCCGGAAATAAAAAATACCTCAATCTATATAATTGAAAGGGCTTGTGACACTCTCCAGCTGATGACACGTCAGCACCCCAGAGAGTGCTACGTCACCTTAATTTTTTTTTCCCACGCCTAAAACCTACACGACGTCATTTTCGGACCGTCCCTACTGGCATCAAAACGACGTCGTTTTGAGTTTAGGATTGATATAATTCAATTCTCACTCAATTCCTTCCTCTACACCTCTACGCCGAGATCCTTGATTCCGGCTAGACTGTTGGCATTCCATCACCTGCCGTTTCTGCTTTAAATGGCCTCCAATAAAACAGGCTGTTACATGCCATTGCCCACTGCCTCTATAAAATCCTTCATCCATCTCCTCTCAAACTTTTCCGGCGAACTATTTCCCCGCTTCTAGGCTGCTCACCGTCACCTTCTTCCCTTTGAAAACGTCCACAGAATTTCACGGCGAAGAAGATGCAATCGCCACTTGAGACTCAGCAGCCGGAGAGATGTTGTCGGCCGACGACCTCGATTGTAATTGCGGAGCACGGGTTGTGTGATAAGACGTATATCCATTTCAAGTGGGTTTAGGGATTATAAGAGTGAAAGTTAGAATTGCTAATTTCAAGATTAAAGTGGTTTTGAGGCTTCACAAGCTATCAAAATTAGTTGAAACCCAAAACAATTCCTTTGTAGTTGTTTACATCTGTTGATGATTTTGTGAGGGAAAAAGTTGTACTTTCATGTCTTTGTATTTCCTCTTGAGTTTCGGATTATAAAGCTTCAAGTTTCATGTAGATCATTTCTACATTAGAGTCTCATTGATTTTGGTTTTGATAAATACCATTGAAAACTTTCTGAGTTTTGTGGCCAAGAAAATGAGACTTTTATGTGTTTGGATTCCTCTTTATATAGCTCATAGTTTCAGAGAGATCTTTGCTTCATAATCGTATTTAGTGACTTACTGCTACATATTGAAAGCTATGCTTTGGCTATGTTCTCAGCATAAGAAAATAAATAAAGTTTTAAGCTTTCTTCTGTTTTTGGCTGTGTTCTCAGTTCGAAACTCGTGTGCAAGCTTACAGGAGATATTGTGAACAAGAATGAGGAACATATCTGGAAACACGTGAATGGGAGAAGATTTTTTCACAATTAGGTCAATAAACGTTTTCCACTTAAGATCAGACTCACTACATCTTGTACTGAATCTGAAAGTCTCACGCTTGTAATGTTTTGGTTTGATAGAGCAAGTGGAAAAAGAACTGGATCAAGCGGAAAGACCAAGAAAACAAGAGGCGGTAAGGAAGATACTGATTCCGATGAAGCAGATTTTTGGATGCTTAAGTCAAGTTCTGGTTCAGAGTCAGAGCACGAGGGTGATGAAGAAAATTGCAAAGGTTGCTCATTTTTTCTGTTTGTTCTGTTTGTTGGTTCCACTTTCATCTCGTTTTGAAATACTAGATTTGCATCTGATTCTAATACAGGTTCTCATTGTGATGCCAAAGTATCCGACGAGCTCTCAGAGAGGTATATACATTTGCTCTTCTTATCGATTTATACAACTTTGGTTTGGTTTATCTGATTTTGATATTCACTTCTAATTGTTTACTGTTGTGTCTCTTCTACAGAACAAAGAGAATGTCAATAGAGATTCGGACCAAGTAGCTTTGCTTCAAGGAAGAAAAAGATTAGGAACGATGAGTCTTGTTAGGAGATTGTTCACTCCGGAAGTAAGATTGAAAGATCCAGTGGTTGGAAAAGCCGCCGCGTCTATGTTGCCTTCTTTTAGTCTCGTCGTTTCTCCTCTGGTGAATACAACTGGTACGTGTATTGTATATGTATACATTTAATCCCCTAATATTATGTGTATCATCTTATCTTAATGAATATTGTTCTTAAAACTTTCAGGAGATTGATTATATACCCTAAAGGGAACTATAAGGACAAAGGGAGTGGGTTTTTTTAACGGATCCTCAGATTACTCTATACCATGAGTCCATGAGACGCAATGTACAGTATATGATCCTCTTGGAATTAGATCAAAGTGTACATTGTTAGGAGTTTGAGTTTTTCTTTTTATCATTCGTCCTTCTTTCTCTCCACTCTAAAAAACCTTTATAGATATGTCTTTAACAAATGAAAATTGCTACTTGCTGAAATTCATTTGATAACTAAATAAAAAAAATTAGTTTATGGGTACTCTCCTAATAAATATTAATAGTTTTACTAACATAAGAAGCATAATTAATGACATCAAATAAATTAACAAATATACATTGAAATTGTAAACTCTTTAGTTAAAAAATTTCTGTAAAATAATAATAAAAACCCGCGCATTGCGCGGGTGCTCTCCTAGTAGTTCTAAAACTTCAAAGACCCGAAAACCAAAAGGAACATGAACCCGAACCAAAAAACCGAATGCCTAGACCTAGTGTAAAACATCAATAATTCATTAATAGAATCATTAGAGGTTCAGAATACTTTTACTACGTAACATGAGAAAAAGACATCCGATTTAAATGAAAAACCCTCAACCGAAAACAGAGGAAACTCCGACAGTCACGTACTAACTTGTCCTTTTTCTAAAGAAAGCCTTAATTAGAATCTAGGTCAATTCTTGTTGTCCCGTTCTTGTTAATCGACATATCTCCTCCACCGATCCTCTTATTTCTTCTTCTTCTTCTTCGGATATGATCTAGTATCACAAGTCTTGGCCCTACTGGAATGCTCACTTCTTTTAGCGCCCTAGATTGGATTCATATACTCTGAATTTTAGTTTACTAGATGAAATAAATTTGAAAGGAGACACACACACACACACACACATACCTATCAGTGAGCAATGGCAAAGTGGCATCTGTTAGACGTCCATGCTTGAAGTTCTTGCCGTATTCCTCAAGACCTAGCTTCAACAGAATGGCTCTTGATTGCGTGTAAAAGGAGTCGTCGTCTTGGGCGGTGCTTTGTTTAATTGTTTCTCCCAACTGAGGTAAACACTTAATTGTTGCGGTGCTTTGTTTAATTGTTTCTCTCAACTGAGGTCTCACCAAACAGTTCAATGTTTTTCCCAACTGAGCGAAAATTAAACCAGGTTAATTAAGAAATATATAACAAGACATGCATATATATATATATGTATCAATATCACCTGGTGACCTAATGCTGAGGAAACAGCATACTTAGCAGCGGAGAAGAGTGCGTCGTCGCCGGTTCCTCCTCGTCTCCAAACGTCTGCGAGTCCAGATCCTGCTCCTGCGACCATGCTGCACAAAGATGTAACTTGAATGAAAATGATGTCATTACAAGCTAGTCACGTTTTTTGGAAAATTGGATCTTACGTACTTAGACAAAAGATCAGGTTTTTTGCCTCTCTTCTTTTCCATTATGTCACCAATCGCACCTTTTACACCTAAAATAAATGAAAGATCGCTGGCACCCCAAGTAGCTGCCTACACAGTACACACACCAAAATAATTCAGTTACAACAAAGATCAAAAGAAACCATATATATTTTCAGGGTTTAGATCAAAAGAAACCATATATTTTTAGGGTTTTACGTAAACCTGAGCTAGAGTCATCCTCCTCTTGGCTACTAGGGTTTCAGGGGTAAGCGGCATTCCCGGGGAAATTAGCATTCCCATGACACTTCCGATGACAACTCCCTCTATAGCGCCCGTGATGTAACCGACCATGGCTACAACCGGCAGCGACTGCTTCATCGACCACTCCTTGATACCACTATCCACTTCTTTATATGAACGGAGAAGCTGCTGAATTGGGTTAGACGTAGACCACGAACTAGCCATCGCCATCGTTTGCTGAATTGGGTTAGACGTAGACAACGAACTAGCCATCGCCATCTCTTTTGTTTCTTCTGCGTTCTTAGGTTTCTTCTGTCACAAGCAATAACAATCCAAATCTGTGCATTAGATTTAGACGAAAACAAAAGAATCACAGCAAAAAACATGGTTTTGTAATGAGAATATAAGCAACCAAGACTAAATCAACGATAAACATAAACAGCATCGAGAATCATAAGAAGATGAATGAAGACGATAAACCTAAAGAGAAAATTTTTCACACCTGCAAGTAAGATAATTTGAGAGGCTACGAAAAGGGGTAAATAAGAACCAACCCTAAAACTGACACAAATCGGGGTGTTTTGTGGCTGTGAGTGCCTAGGGTTTTCTCATTTTCTTAATCATAATATTTGTACTAATCTACTTTCCATTTTTGAATTTTAAAATATTTCTGTTTTTATGCGAACAAAATTTCGGGTATCAAATGCATTTGCATTGTTTCATTTTTCTTCTTTGTTTTGGTAAATTTTTCAACTTTTCTTCTGAATTGATAGTAACCTTTTCCTCTAAATGATCATTATATTGTTTTGTAGATGATTGAGCAAGTGCAAAGAGACCGGTAATATGATTAAATCTCGACAGAAAAAAACAGCTAATGACATGGTTGTTGAAAAAACAGAGAACCCAATTAAAGAAACAGAGGAAAAAACAAAACAGAGTCAGCCAAAACTTTACCAAAAGTCAAGACTTTGATATAGACTACGAACCCTCTTCATTATACCGAATCTTTCTCTGTTTCTTTCTCGTCTTTCCCGTGAAAATCGCCATCAACTCAGCCACAAGCTCTTTGCCATCATGATTCCTCACATACTTCTCTAAGAAAGCTTCATCAGTAATCGCCAACACAGGAGACAACGGAGGAAGTTCGCTTCCAAGCAATCCTTTCCCCATGAGAGCTTGAATTACGTTACACCTCGGAACAGTCCTCTTCTCCAAGCTGTATCCAAGCACCGCAGGAGTTGAAACCACAGCCTTTAACGGCCAATTCATCTCCTTCACAAGAAACTCAGTCTTCTTCTTCATCGACTCTGCAGACAACCCAATGCACTGAGGATAACGCTTGAACATCAACATTAACTCATCTCTACTAAATCCTAACCCTAGTAGTGTCCCAATGGAGTTCTCAATCGTCATCTCTGAATAGCTAATACACTGCGGAAACTTCTTGAACACCGAGAGGATCTCGTCTTCATATAGTCCAGACTTCTTCAACGTTTCAAATGCTTGACTTATCTTCTTCTCCGAGTGTGTTAGAGTGACTGGCCACTTCTTGAACATCCCCCATACATCTCCCACAGAAAAGCCTAACTTTTTATAGACTTCCACTTTCTCTTCTATCGATCTGTTGCTTAGTCTCTGAACAACGCGTAGAGCTTGGATAAACCTTGAAGTGGTTGGATCAAAGCCCATCTCAACAACCTTCTTGAGTGATTCTTTGAATTTCTCTTCTCCACAGACAAGTGAATGATCAGAGATGAGCAATGGGAGTAACAGCTTCTGAGGCACACCCAATTCTCTCAAAGCTGATACGTTTCTGATTATGTTCTCCTGTGGACTACCTTCTGGCAGAGAAGAATGGCATAAAGTTTCAAACTTTGAGCTCTTATCAGCTTCTATAATCTCTTTGACGAAATCATAGTATACGCTTAAAGCTTTCTTCTTCTCGATCGCCAAGATTTTGGGAACTTTTGACAGAATCTCAGTGTGCTCAGAGCTTGAAGCTCCTCTCGACTGCAGAAACTGAAGCTTGGGAGCAAGAGATTTCTCAGCATCTGCTATAAGCAGTCCTGGGTAAATCGAAATGATGCTGGAGATCTGAGAATCTGTGAATCCGTAACTCTTGAAAAGATTCAAAACAGAATCTGGATTTCGTTTATCCTCGAAACTGACTTTCCTTGAGATTGATTCCGCGAGCTTTGTGGTTAAACCCAGTGATTCAACGAGGTAAGAGACTGTAAAAGTCTTACCTTTTCGACCATCTCTATGGCTACTATCATCAGCAGCGGCAGCAGAAGCAGAGTAGTACGAATTTGATAAAGCAAACACATTTTGCAAAAGTTTCACTAGATTACTCGAATTATGCAATTTCTGCAACTCGATGACAGAGCTTCTTCCATGGAGTAACAGAGAAAACATTACCGAATGAAGCAGAAGCGAAGAGACGATTGAGACTGACCACAGTGCAGAAGAAACTGAAACTGAAATGAAATTGGGATTTACAGGAATGAGCAGAAGAGGAATCAAAACACCGAGCCAGCGAATTCCACAGTGTACAAGCGATTCAACTGTACTATCGCGAGAAAATCATTCGTAGTTCAGTGATCCCATTTGGGGAGAAAAAATCAGACATTTTGGGGTTTTTGATAGTTAAGAACCCTAATTTCGTCGTGATTCTATGATTATGGGCCTTATTGGGCCCAAGAGTGATCGTATTGAAGCATATTTGCCCTTGAGTTAGTTCCCTCAAGTTTAGTTTTACATTTACCCACTGAAGAAAACAGAGGAAAACAGAGGAAAACAAAACAGAGACTAAGTAAGAGAGATTTCAGATATCAACAAGAACAAAAACGTAACGCTTTTCAACAAGAGAAATCAAACGTGACTATCAATGACCAATCGCATAGAATAATGAATTTCATTAATTCAGGTTAAAGCCAAAACCTTTACAGAAAAGTAAAGACTTTTGAGACTACTACGAACTCTGTTTCTTGCTCGTCTTTGCGGTGAAAATTCCCATCAGATCAGCCACAAGCTCCTTGTCAACGTGCTTCCTCACATACTTATCTAAGAAAGCTTCATTCTTTATCGCCAACACAAACGACATTGGAGGGAGTTTGCTTCCGAGCAATCCTTTCGCCATGAGAGCTTGAATTACGTTACACCTCGGGACAGTCCTCTTCTCCAAGCTGTAACCAAGCACTGCAGGTGTTGAAACCACAGCCTTTAACGGCCAATTCATCTCCTTCACAAGAAACTCAGTCTTCTTCTTCACCATCTCCGAAGAATATCCAATGCACTGAGGCTGGCTCTTGACCATCATCGTGAACTCGTCTCTGCTGAATCCTAACCCTAGAAATGTCTCCATGGAGCTGGATATGTTCTTCTCCGAGAGTGCCAGAGAGAGTGGCCATTTCTTGAACATCGCCCACACATCATCCACACCAAAGCCTAACCTTTCATAGACTTGGACTTTCTCTTCTATTGCCTTCTTGCTCACTCTTTGAACGACGCGTAGGGCTTCGACGAACCTTGAAGAACTCGGATCAAAACCCATCTCAACAACCTTCTTGAGTGATTCTTCAAATCTCTCTTTCCCACAGACTGGTTGGTCCCTGGAGATGAGCAAAGGGAGAAACAGCTTCTGAGGAACACCTAACTCTCTCAAAGCCAATACATTTCTGATTATGTTCTCTTGTGGACTACCTTGTGTCAAAGAAGGATGACATAAAGTTTCGAACTTTGAGCTCTTATCAGCTTTGATTATCTCTTTGACGAAATCGTAGTATACGCTTGTAGCTTTGTCCTTTTTCATTGCCAAGATTTTTGGAACTTTTGTAAGAACCTCAGTGAGCTCAGACCTTAAAGTTCCTCTTGACTGCAAAAACTTAAGCTTGGGAGCAAGTGATTTCTCAGCATCTACTATAAGCAATCCAGGGTAACTCGTAATGATGGTGGAGATCTGAGGATCTGTGAATCCATGGCTTCTAAGAAGTCTCAGAACAGAATCAGGATTCACTTTCTCTTGAAAACTGACTTTCCTGGAGATCGATTCTGCGAGCTTTGTGGTTAAACCCAATGAATCAACGAGGTAAGAGACTGTGAAAGTCTTCTCTTTTCGACCATCTCTAAGACTAATTTCAGCAGCAGCAGTAGCAGAAACAGAGGAGAACGAATTGGATAAAGCAAACACATTTTGAAAAGGGTTCACTAAAGCTCTCAGATTACGACATTTCTGCAAATCGACTAACCTTCTTCCATGGATTATCAGAGAATACATGACGGAACCAGCAAATGCCACACAGCGTAGAGTCGATTCGAGTAGCAATCTCAAATTCTTAAAAAAATCTCATAACTTTAAGTTTCGATCTGAGAAGAGCGAGGAGATCATTCATCGATCAGTCACTAATAGATAAACATTTACGAGTTTAGCATAAAAAACCCCAAAATCACAAAGATGAAAGACCAGTTATTTGGGGATGAAACGAATTTGGGAATTTTAGCTGTTTAAACCCTAATTTCGTCATGATTTTGAGTTTCTGACATGACACAAATAAGAGTATTGGGCCTTTTCAAAGAAGAAAGCCCAAAAGTAATATAGATCCGTTAATTACACTTATGCCACTATTTCCTTTGTATTTGCATATTTGGATTTTGCGATGTGCATAGTAGAACCTCTATAAAACAATACTCGATAAAACAATAAACACTATAAGATAATAAATTTCTCCGGTCCCAACTCGGGCCAATGTAAAAAATAGCATAATGCGATAAGATGATAAGACAATAATATTTTTGAAACTCCTATGTAAAAATATAGTCCCAACAATAGGCTAAGATAATAATTATAAAACTAAGGCATATATATCTAAGGCAATTTAGTAAAATATGACTCCAATGTAGTTTGTCTTTTATGAAAGTTGGATTCTCGTTGGAGCTCATCTCGAATTTTTCTTATTGCATCAACAATTTCTGGGGCCAAAAGTTGTGAAGAGTTTTCGAAGCCACAATTGATTCCTTACGTGTACCTACTTACATATATTTCTATAAAGTTTCTTGTTTTTTATAGAATATTTTTATAAAATAATAATTATCGATAAAACAATAACTCGATAAGATAATAAATTTTCAAAGTCCCAACATTATTGTTTTATAGAGGTTTTACTGTATTTTTATCTCATTATACACTCACCATAATTTTTTTTTTACCATGATTTTCATTAGAGAGAAGATCTTTTTCTTCTACAAATCACTTTTTGATCTCACTGTAATAAGACTCAAATGTAGCCTCCTATTTAAGGATAGTTACACACTTACAAACACCTAAAAGTAAACAAATGTTACTGGAAAAAATGATAAATCTGAATAATATGCATATACAAAAAGAAAAGGTTTTAAAAACCTACGTGGAATCATCCATGGTGGTTCATGGTTGGTGATTATCTAGTTAGTTTCCTCAAATTGATTATTCATTATTTAACACTTTGAGGTAGTTAAACAGAAAATGGACAATCCCAAATCCACAAAACTCATATATGATCAAAAGCCAAAATACAAAAAATGAAATGTTTATTTATAACATTAAAGTTGTACTAAACTGTCTAAACTGTCTCAGCCGCCTAAACTGTCTAAAGACAAAATGTAAAACCAAATATCATACTTACTGTTATTTTTGACAATGTTTTTTTTTTAATAGTTTGAAATACTTTGTAATGTAAAAGTATATTAAGTTTCACCAATGGATTGTGTTTCGTGACCAATAATCTTCTGAGTAGACCGATAGTATAGAGCTTACACCAGTGTTTGGACTAGTTCAAATAGTGAATACATCTCTCGTACTCGGCCTGTACCTAACTCAACATTCTTAACTTTTTTATATACTAAAGTTACCATTTGGCGGTTGTCAATAGTTTTGTCACTGAAAAATAATATAACACATATACTAACATTTTTTAGGCAAATCAATAAAAAGGTCAGTAAAGAAGCAAAACAGTCCATGTGATATATTAGTTCTGTAAATTTTGTATCTCGAGTTTAATTTCATTACTAATTTTATTTGTATTATACATGTTGACAAAAAAAGAGCAAAATATATGGAAAATATAAGCAAAAAATAAGCAAATCAGCATCTTCCATGATTTGCTCACTTTCATATATTGAATCAACCTTACTATTTGTCTTTAAAAAGCAAAAGAGGTTATTGCCTCTTAGTTATTTGGCATCCTTCTCCTATACTGATTGTATTATTTCTCTTAATAATTTGTGAGATTGTCCTTAAGATTAAAGTTAATACATATGATTATGCAGTATGACGTCCATGGTTTATTACTTTATTTCTCAAGATAATGGTTGAGATAGCTTTTTTTTTCTCAAAACCTCACAATTTTCCGATGAATGTAGTGCATTTGTTGAGTCTGCGATTGTCTTTTGAAGAAAAGAAGATTAGATTTAAAGAAGAAAACGAGATTACATTACATCAACCATCTTGAGAGCTAGTGTTAGCTAGTAATTAGTAGAATTCGAATCATGAATCATCATTTCCTACAAGAATCATAAATAAAAAAATATGAAACTTTTAGTGTCTTTTTAGGATCTTATTGATTCTGTATCATCACTAAAACGAATGGCAAACGTACAACAAATATGGACTACCAAAACCCTCTGCCTCACTCAGAAGTTTCCTCTTTCTTCTTCTTCTTCTTCTTCTTCTTCTCAGATAAAATAGCTATCAACTCAGCCACAAGCTCCTTGTCATCGAGCTTCCTCACAAACCTTTTCAAGAAAACCTCATCGACACATATCACAGAAGACGAGATTGGAGGGAGTTCACTTAGCAATCCTCTGGACAAGAGAGCTTTGATTACGTTACACCTTGGCACAATCCTCTTCTCCATGCTGTTTCCAAGCACCGCAGGGTTTGTAACCACAGCCTTTAACGGCCAATCCATCTTCTTGACAAGAAACTCAACCTTCTTCTTCATCTTCTCTGCAGACAATCCAATGCACTGAGGAAAGCTCTTGGCAATCATCGCAACCTCATCTCTGCTGAATCCTAAACCTAGAAATGTCTCAATGGTGTTCAATATGTTCTTCTCCGAGAGCGCCAGAACAATTGGCCAGCTCTTGAACACCGAGCGAACCTCGTCCTCGACTAGTCCACACTTCTTCAAAATTTCAAACTTTTGAGTTATCTTCTTCTCCGAGAACGCCAAAGTGTTTGGCCACTTCTTGAACATTGACCATACATCGCTTACAGTCAAACCCAAACTTTCATACACACTGATCTTTTCTTCAACTGTTTCCTCCTTCAATCCGTAAACAACTTGTAGAGCTTCCACAAACTTGAATGTGGTTGGATCAAAACCCAACTCAACAACCTTCTTGAGTGATTCTCTAAACTTTTCTTTCCCACAGACAGGTTGGAACTTGGAGATGAGCAAAGGGAGTAACAGCTTCTGAGGAACACCTAACTCTCTCAAAACCAATACGTTTCTGATTATGTTCTCCTGTGCACGACCCTGTGGCAAAGAAGAATGGCATAAAGTTTCAAACTTTGAGCTCTTATCAGCTTTGACAATCTCTTTGACGTAATCATAGTATCTGCTTAAAGCTTTTTCCTTTTTGATTCCCAAGATTTTGGGAACTTTAGAAACAATCTCTGTGAGCTCAGAGCTTGAAGCTCCTCTTGACTGCAAAAACTGAAGCTTGGGAGCAAGAGATTTCTCAGAATCTGCTATTAGCAATCTTGGATACGTCGTAATGATGGTGGAGATCTGAGAATCTGTGAACCCATGGCTTCTAAGAAGACTCAGAACAGAATCAGCATTTCCTTTCTCCTCGAAGCTGACTTTCTTTGAGATCGATTCTGCGAGTTTTCTAGCTAAACCCAATGATTCAACGAGGTAAGAGACTGTAAAAGTCTTCTCTTTTCGACCATCTCTAAGGCTAATTTCAGCAGAAGCCGTAGCGGAAGCAGAGGAGAAGGAATTTGAAAAAGCAAACACATTTTGAAAAGGGTTCACGAAAGCTCTCAGATTTCGACATTTCTGCAACTCTACTAACCTTCTTCCATGAATTATCAGAGAATACATGACGGAAGTCACGGAACCAGAGAATACAGCGTAGAGTCGATTCGAGGAGAAATCTCAAAATTTTAAAATCTCAGAACTTGATGTTTCGATCTGAGAAGAACGAGAAAGTCACTAATCGATCAGTGACTCATGGATATACATTTACGAGTTTAGCATCAAAAACCCCAAAATCGCAAAACCATTTGGGGAAGAAACGAATTTGGATGTTAAACCCTAATTTCGTCATAATTCTGAGTTTCAGACATGACTCGAATAAGAGTTTTGGGCCTGATTTGGGCCTATAAGAGGATCGTTCCAGATTAAAGCCCAGATATCATCTATATCCCTTAATTACAGTTATGCCACTCTTTCCTTTGTAGTGTATCTGCATATTTGACTTCGTCCTTAACATGTACGGACGACAAAACCTCAGAAGTTTTTTTTTCACTGTGTTTGGTCTCTTCTTCTCAAATATTCAACAAATGTCCTCTGCAAAATATATTACAGAAAATTCAAAAAAATCCAATTCATAAGAGAACAAACAATTTCACGGACTCTTTAGTTCGGAGACAGTGATCACATAAACTTTAGTCACGGGCTTGACCTTGAAGTTTGCATCGGACCAACAACGATCCAAAAAAATAAAAACATTTAGAGTTTTCTTCTGCACAATTTCTTAGTTGTAACGCAATAAAAATGATCGATAATGTTCTCGGAGTTTGGAACATTTTTTTTCCCTTCACTTTCATGTCTTACACATGTTCGTACGTACCATAACAAATAATCAAATCTACTATACACTCGTTACATAGTGGTTTCCACTACTCTACATGAGTCACGGGTTAACATTTAAGTTTCACCTATATATATTTACATGTTATTTGCCAATTGACAAACAATGCAGTAAAAGTTTGTTTCTTGAAATTTCAAGAAACATAACTAAATAACAATGATAGGTTCTAGGGTTTCAGCTTCCTTCTTCATTTTCTTGATATTCACGGTTATCACATTGCCACCTACGATCCAAGCTTGCACTCCTTGCACTCACCCTCACCCTCCTGTTCCGAAACCTCCAGGCCACGGTGGTGGTGGTGGCGGTGGCGGAGGAGGTGGAGGTGGTGGAGGAGGAGGAGGTGGTGGTGGTGGTGGAGGAGGAGGAGGCGGCGGTGGAGGTAAAGGAGGAGGTGGGGGTAGAGGAGGAAGCGGCAAGGCACCACCACATCATGGAGGAAAAGGTGGTGGTAAACCGCCACACCATGGTGGAAAAGGAGGTGGACCGCCGCATCACGGTGGAGGAGGAGGGAAATCACCACCGTTTGTTAGACCACCTCCGGTGGTTTATCCACCACCAATTGTGAGGCCACCGCCAATCACAAGACCTCCTGGAATTCTCCCTCCGATCATTGGCCCTCCAATTGAACCGCCGCCGATTACAACTCCTCCGGGACTCCTTCCACCGATCACAACTCCTCCCGGACTTCTCCCTCCGGTTACAACACCTCCAGGACTTCTCCCTCCAATCATTAACCCACCTCCGGTCTTAACTCCACCACCATCTTCCGGTTATCCACCGTACCAAGGTGGTCCACCTTCTGAAGGAGGTGGAGGTGGAGGTGGAGGAGGCGGTGGTGCACAGCCGTCGTGTCCGATCAACACAGTAAAGCTTGGCGCTTGTGTTGACGTTTTGGGAGGATTGATCCATATAGGACTTGGAAATCCAGTGGAGAATGTTTGTTGTCCAGTGTTACAAGGATTACTTGAGATACAAGCAGCCGTTTGTCTTTGCACAACCATAAGACTTAAGCTTCTCAACATAAACATCTTCATCCCTCTTGCACTTCAAGCTCTCGTCACTTGTGGAATGAATCCTCCACCTGGTTTTGTCTGCCCTCCTCTCACTTGATTTAACAAGCAACTTACGTACGATGTATCAAGCTAGCGGTTTCGAGGGTTTTGTTATAATCTATAATATTTATGTTGTCCTTTTTATGAAGATGATCAGCTTTGTTGATTGTCTAGGGTTTTAACTAGTGTTGTTTTCTGTTCTTGTTGTTATCATTAAGCTAAGGTTTTTTTTTTTTTTTTTTGCATGGGACTTATTTTAATCTGTTTGCAGCTGTGATCTTCCGTTTTTTTTGTTCCAACTTCTTGCTGTCAATCCATTTGACTCTTTAATCTCTCTCTCTCTCTCTCTCTCTCTCTCTCTCTCTCTACATATATAGGAATGTGTGTGTATAGACATGCATTTAGACACAGGAACGTGTATGGATGTGTGTTTATGTTTACGTACGTGCGGAAAAAGGTTGAATTTGTTTTTCCCAAGGAAAATGTTTAAAATGTGAGAAGAGAATCTATCTAGCCAACATTCCTACAAACTATTGTTTTTTTCAGCAATGAACCCAAGTGATCTGAAATTCATGCCGCAGTTGGAGATTCTTCCTACAGTCATTGTCTTTTGTGATGAAAGTGTAATACACAGCTTAATCCTTCACCACAAGGACATTTGTTCTCATAGAGATTATCTTTGCAGTATTCTAAGATAAAACTAATTACTTACTAGTTCTCTAAGAAGAAGAAAAAACTTATCATTACTTTTCAACAAATGCAAAATATCTACCATTATTTATTGTTTTGCTGATTATGTTATATATTTGTCATTCCAGAAAAAATATAAAATTACAAAGTCTATTTCATTATTCAAAGGGACTCATTCAAATCCAAAATGCCCCCATAGCTACTGTTCCACAATCTATGTACCTACTGAGCACACAGTACACATATAATATATATAAATAAGATTTATTTTCTTTAAATAAGTTGAGTGAGAAAACAAAAATAGTTCACGGGGTCGACATAGATCCATTGAATTTTAATTGTTCATCATGGACCATCTAACTCGGAAATGGCAGGCGACAGAATCGTTGCACAAAACTATAGTCTCACCTTTTTAGCACATAGAAGGAAAGTCTCAATTATTTTGTTTTAATATTTTTTTTTACAATTTGTATAGCAGAGATACAGAATAAAAACAATTCGAACAAACAAAATTGTTTTTTATATGAATATAATGAGGCAAAACATAATTGTGAGGATAACCAGCTCTTCCTGGATCAAAATTTATTTTAGCTAATCAAATTATGTTAAGTGAAAATCGGTGACTAACCCAATCAGCAAAACAGTATCAGTTTACTTATAAACACAACATGATGGAGCCAAACTAAGAATTAGCTTAAACGTTATGTCTTTCCTCCATAATATGCATGTGCTTTGAAACCATACGTGGTCTCGAATCTTTTCAACTATGTATGCCTATATGTCTTTTTGTTTGTTTTGTCACACTCCATATTATATATACCATGTGAATGAGTTATAGTAAAAATAACGTTCTACTTGCACGTAATTGTCCCGATCGATGCTACTAACAGAGAAGAACGTAATTGTCCCGATCGATACTACTAACAGATTAGACTAGAATCTAATCTAATCATTAGATCTTTTGTATATGCACTATGCTAATAAGTAAACTTTGAAAGCTGAACCACCGATATATTTTGAATATTCGTTCACCGTTTGCCGATAAATAAATAGCAAAGCATCACAAATTCGTCGTGAAAAACATAATTTTTCTGAAGTATTATTACAATCTTCCTCTCGATGTGAGAAAGTTTTGGATCGTAAAAAAATATCTGAATATATCCTTTAGTTATATGCTAAACCGCTCATGTATTTTCTGTTTGGCTTAAATTTCTCTAGTGTGGGGTTTATTATGCCCATGCATGTAGCCAACGAAATTTTTGCAATATAGGCAAACAATTTTTAAAGGATGATGGAGACAAATAAGAGCTCAATATAGATTTTTGTTTGGTACTCGTGGACCAAAATAATTCGGTTTTATTTTCATAACCATTGTCGAATAAATTCAGTAGCTAGCAAATAAATTTGAAAGAAAAAAAAAATATCTAGTGATGGAGGAAACACCTTAAACCCCTTGCTTAATTATTTTTTCCTTTATAAAGATGAGCATCCATTTCTGAACCAAATTTTCAGCGACCATACAAGAGTCGTGACAACAAATCCATCTATGGCGAGTTGCCTAATCTTTGAATAAATTATCTTCCACATCTAATATTTGACAATTAAATCCACCTCTATCTTGATTTGAAATTATTGTTTTCGTGTACTTCGCGTAGACGTAAAATATATAAGTTTTGGGCCATGTTTTGTAAAGACAAGATCATAAGAACTATATGTTAAACATATGATTTATTATTGATTCGAAATTTCATACAACAACCAATACAACACAGAATCCCAATAAAAGTATACAAGACAATCGGAAAAACATAAGTGTAAGTTTTAGAACTGTAGCAATCTTACACACACATATATAAGTAAACACACAAAGACAAGAATATATGATATATCATCTTGTCTATCCAAACAAGAAGATATGTATGTTGGTATGAAGTGTTGGTTGTATAATTAGGTTCTTGATTAGCATTGGAACCCTGGGGGAACTTTTTTGCTACAAACATTGAGAAGCAGACTGAGAGAGACCGGAATGTTCAGATTGATTCCGAGGATGTTGGCCTTGAGAGCAGTGCAAAGACAAGCTGCGGCCTCAAGATCAGCGAGTCCTTTGATGAGGGTGCAACATGGCTCGACGGGTGGCTTGCCAAGGGTGATGTTGAGTAGGCCATTGAGCACGTTGGCGCAGACTCCTAGCTTAAGAGCGTCTCTAGGGCACTTGGCTGTGGCCGGACTAGGGCTAGGGCTAGGTTTTGGCTTAGGAGAGGGGCTAGGTTTTGGCTTGGGAGAAGGGCTAGGTTTTGGCTTGGGAGAGGGGCAACCGCAGCTACCGGTGGCGGAGATTGCTGTGAAGAATAGGATGTTGACAATCAAGAAAAGGGCTAAAGAGCTTGTGGTTCTTAAAGCCATTGTTAAAAATTTCTCTTTTGTTTAGAGACAAAAGAGACTTCAAAAGAGTTTACTTTGGTGTGTGTGTGAAATTGGGATGAAGAAAAAATGGAGGGTTCGAGGTGGCTTTTATAGTAGTTTGAAGAACATGCCGGAATGGTTCATGACCTCATGTATTTTATTTTATTTAAAAGAATATTCGCGAAGTTTTGGATATTTTGTTTTGTACTTCTTTTTGGATTACAGATAAAAACTAAAAAGAGGTTTTTTGGTAAATGAGTATCTTTCTTCAGCATAGAGCATTGCCTCTTGACTCTAGATTCGATAAGATTCCTCCAACCAGTTAAAGTAACAGCATTTGCATCATTACATATTGATTGATTTTAATGTTTATATAGTGTTAGCTAGAATATAAAATGGAAAACTGAAGAATGAAAAAAACTTTGAATATTGTGTTTTTTTGTAAATTATTTTTGGTAAATAATAGTTTCGCGCCTTAGTTTCAAATCACTTTTTTGTTGCAATATTATTTTAGTGGGTAAGTAGTTCAGTAAAATTAACTATAATCTTCAACATGCATGGAGACTTATAGAATCGAGTTTTAGGACAAGGAAAATTATAGAATCGAGCTATAATCCTTTTTTTTCACTGAAACTATGTTGATGAAACTAGGACAAGGATTCATCTACATAATCTTTACGGAAAAAGTTGCAATAAATCTAATTATTAGTGCCCTTATTCCTTTTTAATACTGTATTCACATGATTAATACTAAAATATTGAGGTTGAGGGAAAAAAACAAGATTGAAGCCATGTGTGATCTTTGGAACATTGATCTGGCAATCAACAGATGGATCTTTGAAGGTGAAACTTTGGAGTTTTGTTCGTCTCCACAGATTATGATGAAAATTTCTTGAACTTATCCATTAGATAATTTTTTAATCAGAGTTGCTCCAACGTATGGATATCATCCAAAAAAAATATATGTTTTTGTTAAACATGTATATAAAGCAATGATATAAGATAAATAAAATTAAGGTTAAACCATAGAAAAGGAATCAAGTTGTGTTACCAATTGTAACACTCGACCTCCATACATTTATGTTTTTAAGAAGGATTAACATTTTCAATTGTGATACTCAATCTCCATACCTTATTGTTTTCAAAAATTAACATATTTTTCAGGTTATGTGATAGCGAAATTGCTGATTCTCTTTTTTTTCCCTTCACAAAACGATCGAAAACAAGATAAGATGATGAAGAACACTTTTCAAGTCTCCTTCACACATAGATTACCAAATAAGTCTTATTTACGAATTGCACGTGTCACATAGGTCTTTTTTTATATCAAGTACGTGTCATGTAGATGACTATAAGGTTATCCATTTTACAGATCATGTACTTGTGTCTCAAACACATTTTTGATTTCTGTACACAAAGATTTTATGTGGGTAGTCGCGAATCGCGATTGTGCATTATTTTAAAATATTTGGATTAGCTCTTTGAATATATCCAGTGTTATAAAGACAAGAAACTTCCAGAAATATTTAATCAACAAAACAAACAAAAGAAAGATTTTCACGCTGAGTACTCGTAGTAAGTCGATAGTTGGAACTTTTTCTTCACCAATTACGAAATACATTATATGTAAACATAAACATTATTGAATATACTATTCTTTAATCGTAAATTATATTACCAAACTTGACTTAGATATGTAGAGTGTAGACGCACAACAAATCATGAGCATAATGGAATTCAGTTGAAGAAATGTTCAAAAAAAAAAAAACGATTTGAAGAATTCCTTCCACCAAAATTTTCAACCTTGGCAGTCTTGGCATAATAAGCTCATCGTTTGTATAACATATTGGGCTTTAGCCCATAAAATTGACTGAAGCTCAATTGTTACAGAAACCCAGGGGCATTTCTTTTAGTAAATTCATTTAAATATCGGTTCATTTTTATGAGCTGATTTGCAGGATTTCTAATAGAGTATATATCTATATCTATTTTAATTAAGATTCAGACCACACATGCGTAGGAATGAATGAATAAGTGCGATGCTAATTATGATTACATTGTTCTTTATGGACGGGAGATTATAACTGTAAACTGTATGAGAGGTGATAGATGAGAATTATTGAGATTGTAAATAATCAATAAATATACCTTTTTCCGGTCAACCTGTGCATAAACAACGTACGTTCTTGTCAGCGTATGTTCTTTAAATTCTTGAAATATGGGGTAAGAATGTTAATTACTGGAACATTAAAAGTTCTATGAATTGGATGGGTTGCATTAAGTGTTTTATAAATTAACCGGTCGGATGATGAATCATTTTCTTTATCATATTTTGAATAACCAAACCATATTGGAAATTTGTCGTACGATAACATGTATACTGCTCTTTAACTGGAACCATTGTAAACTCCAAAACAAAACAAAAAACATTCTAAAAGCTTTGTAAATATTTTGTTACTATCCTCAAAATATTTTATCATAAATGCTTGTTCTTCCATTTCAATCGGCATCTTGATTTTTTTAGTTTAGTATACTGTAGACTAACTAACATGACAGCCAATAGTTTATTAAAAAATAGCGTCACAAACAAAAACGTAATGTGGCACAATAGTGAAAGCCTGAAAGGAGAAAAGTGCATCGTTTCTACTTTTTTGATAATTAATTAATTGTCATGCATGTATTTGTTTTCGTTTTATTTAATACATGAACAGATAAAGAAAACGGCATGGAAATCTTAAATTAAAGGTTAGTGAGTCATGTTAAGTACAGTACTGTATATACTTAAAAAATGTCCAGATATATATACCATAAAGTATCCATAAAATTTAGAATGGTGGGGTGCTAATATTAACTTACATATATATATCTAACTGAATAAATATCAAAAACAAAAAAGATCGACATATTCGACATGTGCCACTCCTAGTTAGTCTCACAATGTCACATTTTAACGTTGGTGAGATTAGTTGGCTCTTTTGGATATGGTTCACCCGGTTTGTATTTTGTAATTAAAGTAAACTAGTTATCATTGAGGATAAAAAAAAACTAAAAAGAGGATTAAAATTTGAACACCGTTCCCGGAGGAGACCAAGATTATTCTTAGTGCAAAGCGTGAAGTAAAAAGGCTGTCGAAAATAAAACATTGCAATTACAAACTTACATCTTTCACAAAACCCTAGTTTCTTCCCAACCAAACTTCCTCCTTGGCTCTTCTTTTTATTTCAATTCCAAACCCCATCTGTATTTGATTTCTTTATTGTGGATCTCATAATCATTACAAACTTTATAATATAGTATATTATTACCATTCATGTTATTTGCATATGAATGTGAGATTGGCAAACTAAGCCCTAGGGGTTGTATAGCTTGCACAAAATAGTCACTGAGCTTTTCCAAGCAACGAGGCAACCCTAAACTTTCCTAACTATCAGCTTAGTCCACATGGATTTAGTTCTTTTCTTTTCTACAAATTTCAACGACTATACTTTCTTTTCCTTTCTTCTATTAACGACTACATGTTGCTACATAATGTTTTGTATTAAATAGTTTAGCTAATGAATAATCTAAGAAAGCATTTTTTTTCTAAGGAGCGTTGTATGTGGAAAACGAAATATAAATGGATATCTCTTGTAGGACTTATAGGCTGTTGACAAAAAAAAAGGATATCTCATTATAGTTTATATTACTCTAACTTATCTAAGTAATGCATGGTTTTCACTATTTCAAATTTTGGTATAATAGATATATATACTTCAAAAGACATAGTGAGAGTGTTCACAAATAGTGAGTGTTGTTTTGAATAATTTTGAAAGTTTAAGGATATTTAGTTGATGTTCAGTATTTAAATAAATACTTTGGACATGAATTCAAACCATTTATCATTACGTGCGGAATGGGAGTATGTATTATTCTATTGTTTTGTTTTACTTTTTGTACAATTGTTTAATCGAATTGCTTTAACTATGTGTTTACATATTTCAACGTTGTGGCCTCCTCATGTTACTACACGACCCACTCTCCCAAAAGTTTCTTAGCTAAAAAAATAACATTCTCACCATAAAAATGAAGTAGTTATATAATGCATATATGATCTGTTATTTTCGATATACACATTTCTTATAGACCAGTTTTATAATTCTTTATTTTTCTCCTTTTGAATAATTGTATAACCAACCAGACTAAGCTGGTATAACTCTGGCTTCTTTCATTGAAAATCTTCATAATACATGTGAATCATATGGTTAGTCTAGAATTTAACCAAAATTTTTTTAACTAAAAGATGACAGCCTAAATAGATTGAGCTAACTAGTGACAATCTAAAACCCTGTTTGTAGTTCTTCAATTTTCTCCTGTTTACAAGAAACAAAAAGAACACTGTTCTAAGGTAGTAAATTGAAAACGACAGTTCTGTACGTAAACAAATAAAATTTATATACAGTATAGTTAAACAGAGGAAATATGCTAGTATAAGATTTTAGTATTGTGAACATGTACTCGTTAACAGAACCAACCAACAAAGCTGTATAAGCATTTATCGTTGATTAATAAAATGCTTGTGTTAGACAAGGTTAACTATATGGTTAGGGTAGCTTATTATAAGTAATCGTTTTGAAATGTGTAATTAAAGTATAAAAAAGAGAGGGAGACATACGACAAAGAGAAGAAAATGGGTGACATTATGCGAGAATTTCAAAATTTTCAGTGCGATTTGTTTTATTAAGTTCTTCGTTGGCAGCTTCCATTCTTCTATTCTTCCATTTTGTTTTTGTAAATCTCTAACTTCCAAAAGATTCCCATAACCACGATAGAGTCTGAACTTTTTAAACTAGCAGTATATTTTTATAATAGTAGGATGACAAGTGATTAAGATTCGCATATCCTAGTTCTATATAATATTTACATTGTGTTTATATCTGGAGTCTTACTCTTTACCAAAAAAAAATATTTGGAGTCTTACTTAGTTTGATTTTGGAATTAGTATACTTCTAAAACATAGACTAATATTAAGCTAAACAGACAAAAGTTAGGTGGTTGAATTTGGTGTTTTTATAATCCAAACAAGGTACTATTGATCAATGATTGATTCAAATACGATAACGAATTATGATTCTTACAAAATACGAGTGCTATGAAATGATTTTTTTTTTTTTTTTTTTGCCAAGTATCTTTCTCTCTAGCAGAAGTGGTTGAGTATGTTTTGTATGATAGCGCTGAAAACCACATCGATTTCGAAACATGCTTGTCATCGACTAGAAGATCCAGATACCATAATTGACTTGATTAGACCTTACATGTGAAACTCTATTGTTGAGATAAAAACAAAGAGTTGCAAAATTTGACGTAATTTTAAAAAATGTTATTTGTGTTCTTTTGCGATCCATATTTATGATACAAGGACAACAATCACAAGACTGTACCTCAAATAAAAATACAATTAAACCCCACTGTCAATTATTTTCATTACATTTAATTTCCGTATTTGTTCTTTGTATGTTTTCTTACATAAAATCAAAACCAAAAATTCCTGCTCTTATAAAAATGAAATTGCTTTCTTCCAATTTTGATACACAACTAAACTAACAACACAAGAGGAAACAAAATAATCACAAGACTGTACCAATACAAAAAAACAAGAAAATCCTGAAGTCAAATTTTCGTTACGGTTTTGTTTTTTTAGTATTATCGTACATAAATCAAAAACCAAACTTCTGTTTCTATAAAAATAATTTTGTTTCCTTCCATTTTTGATATAACAAGGTAGACCAAAAAATGCAGTACTGAAAAGACAAAAGTGCCCACCGGAATACGTGAGACTTTCCTTTTAAAACGAAGGGTATTATCGTAGTTACACTCCCAAGTTCCGACGTCTACTTTTAATATTCATCATCATCATTATCGCGCCATGTTGCTTTCTTCTGCTTCTGTTTCTGCTTCAAAGTTTTTTTAAGAGAGAGAGAGAAAAAAAAACAGAGAGCTTTGGTCTCGCCTCTCGGATCCTGGTTATGGCGAGCGGGTGGGTCAAATCGTTACAGTGCAAGTCGAAAGCTTTCGATGATGTTTACAAACCAATAAAAAACCCAAACCCGAATTCGAATCCGAGTCCGAAACATCTGATATCAAGTTACAGCTGCAGGAGAAGCACTCAGAGTCTAAAAGACGTGATCGACGCTAAAAAACCCAAACCGAAACCGAAGAAACCGAATCCAAAACCCGATAAAAGAGAACCCGACCCGGTTTTAGCTCCTTCGACCCGGATTCGATCGTCCGTTGATTCAGCGACCCGAGTTCGCGACCCGTTGTTGCCGACATTGACGGAACTTGAGGAAGGGCATCCGTCGCGTAACGTGGTGGAGATTATCTTCCAGACGAGCTGGGGCCCGAAACCGTTTTCGGGTCGGATCGAAATGATTTTCAAGGTGCAAAACGGGTCGAAGACTTTGACCCGGTTCGAGGAGTACCGCGAAGCCGTGAAGACGAGGAGCGTGGTGAAATCGCGTGAAGAGAACGCGCGTTCGGTCGCCGACGGGAACGAGACGATGCGGTTTTATTGTTTGGGTCCGAGTTACGGAGGCGGCGCGTGGGGTGTTCTAGGAGGAAAAGGTGGCGGCGCGTCGATCTATACGTTCGCCGGGAGTTGCACGGCGCATGATAAAGCCGGCGGAGGTAAAGGGAGGAAGGCAATGCTGGTTTGCCGGGTCATAGCTGGTCGGGTCTCGAAGCAGAGCGAGTTAAGGTACGATTCGGTTGACTCGGAGGTACGATCACGGTTTGACTCAGTGAGTGGTGACGACGGTGAGTTGCTCGTGTTCGATACACGTGCAGTATTGCCTTGTTTTCTCATAATCTACCGGCTGTAAAAATAAATTGGAAAAATGGTTTTATTTTTATTTTTCTAACTTTTTTTTTGACAATGTAATTTCATTTATCAACGCAATTTTCCGCTAATGTTTTATTTTCCTGATGTATAAATTGGTAGAAAATTGTGTTGATAAATGGTAATTAATTTTGTTGACCAGAAACAAAAATGGTAACTAGATCTGTTTCTTTCCCACGGGTAATCGATTTCTTAATTAATGCTGGAGTAAATACTGAATATTTGGGTGCGTTGGCTTTTACAATGTCATAAATAGAGATTTTATTACTCAGTCAATTGTTTACATATTTTTGTGCAGTTGGATTTTGATTCTTGAGACTTGACATTCAATTCTTTACAAGTATAGTTAGATATTTTCATTCACTAAATCTCTATACGTTACTATTAAAGCTTACTTTTCTTAAAGTGAAAACCATCATTGGAAAATTTCAAATTTTGTAAATTTTTTCTTGTTAATATAAAACCAATACTGTTTTTCAAATTTTCACTGCGAGCACACTTCCTTAAGGAAAGAATAACCAGCCTAAAGTGATTCCCTATAAAGAGGATTTGTAAAAGATATAAAGTGAAAAAAAAAAGAGAGTAAAAATTGAAAATGAAATCATGAAAGTATACATATTGGAGAAATTAGAAATTGATGAAACGCCAAATGCAAATGTGAGGCCCACTAGAGGCCCATTAGGTCAGCAAATATCTTGCGGAATCATACCCTAACGAGTCTTTTTTTGGACAAACTAATCAAATAATCGTTGGCAAGTATTCACTATTTCACAAGTTCAATAAAAATTTGAATATCTTTCTCCTCCAACTTGAATCAATGATCACAATATGAACCGAAACCGCCAAGTGTTAAAAGCTAAATCAATGTATATAATATAAAGGAAATTTCATCATTTTGTTCCTCTCCTTCTTCTACCTATATACCTCTTAGTCGAATCTTTGTTGTTTCTCTGGCTTGGTTTGCATTTTCCATCTTTACTCTTCCCATGATCCATCTTCTTATATTCTCTAGACCTCAAAACAGTCTCCAATATGTTCATATCTTCACGGATCTCGTGTCTAGAAAGCGATAAAAGTTCCGGGAGTATCTCCTTTTGGAAATTCTTCATCCTCCTTCCTCTTCTCACCTTGACTACTCCAACTTCTTTCTTGTTATTATATTCATCATCTTTGCCCTTTGATAATGGCACACTACAGATATCTTCAGGGATGGTTTCGGTGATTCCTAAAGTGTGAAGCTCAAATGAATCGTAAGAACAACTCGGTTCTTGATCTTGAGATGAGCTGTTAGGTCTTGATCTAGGCTTGAGTGACACGTTATCCTGACTTTGATCGAGTGAAACCGCTGAGATTTGGAGTAAACATTCAGCTGCCATTTCCATTACTTCAGACGGATCTTCTCGTTCCGCGGTGCAGCATGAAGCTGGAGATGCTGTACTACTGTCTTTTCTATGTATCTCATCTAAACCTTTCTTCTCGCTGCTCATTTCCTTCTCCTGAGTGGAAGGAAAGTTCAAATCTTGGAAGAAGCATTGATGATGATTGGGAACTGGCTCATTAACCGGGGTTTGGTTAAGATCCAGCAAACCTGATTCACTTGAGATATTCACTTCCTCACTTCTCTTGCCAAACCAATTTGTATCTTGAGAGTCTTTTATTTCGGAATATACCTGAAAATGAAATTTGATGAACTTGCATATTGTTAGTTTTGTTAACAAGAAAAGCAACAAATTAAAACTTGGAATAGTAACATTTTTTAATATTAAAGAAAATGATAAGATTCTTGAGTTGAGTCTATACCTTCTGCCCGAAGAGAGTGACCATTTTGATTTGATTCTGCTTAGAACTTTCTTCATACGATTCAGAACGTTTCTTGAATATTGTTTCATCAGTAAAGAAATTATGGAGATACATCACGACACTTCTTGTCCTATCAAATGCAATCAACAGTTAAAAATGAGATGGTCCATAAAGAAAACATACATGGAGTTAAATCATAACGATAGTTAAGAATTGTGACATCCTAAACAAAGCTAACACTTTTTTATTCTTGCCTTTCTACTTTATCGAACAGCAGAAAATGAGCTAATGCATGAACAAAAAAAAGATTATACTAAAATTCATAATGCATGTCAATATGTCTATGTATAACTTGAGATACTAATATGACATAATGTTGTTGAACAGAGCCAATGTCCAGAATTCAAATCATGTACCAAATTTAAGAAGACATTCTTTTGTCCTGGTGATCTTAAAAGGAATCAAAACCATCAATATCCATGTCTGAAAACTCAATAAAACAAGACTCTTAAAGGTTTTTGAAAAACCTGATTTGCTAAATCTTCAATTTTATGAAGCAAAAAATAACAAAACTCATACTGATCATTCGTATATATAGAGAGATTTATGCTGTTAGTTATACATTCAAAATTTTGTGACACTGAGAATAAAACAAATAAAAAATGGTATTGAATCTCAATTATAGGTATTAATTTTACCAGAGATTTCATTGATGATTTACCCCAATTTCCAACAAAAGAGCAATACAATGAGCTAAAGCAGTATCTTCATTGTATAAAATTTTGGATAATATATATGAACAGTATAATCTAATAAAGTATACAAACTACAAAGAGATACTTTTTAATAGAAGAAAGAGAGGAATTATTACCCAGAGAAGAAGCTTGAAACTTTCAATGATTATTAGATTGACCAACAGATCTATATATGAGACATTCCAAATAAAGAAGCAATTCTCAATAAGACAACAAGACTTTCATGGTCAGAGATTCATGTGTAAGCTCTTCTGTATATTTATAGGTTTTATCGTAGAAGAAATCTTACCATGAGGAGCGAGAAAGAAGAGTCTCTCTCTTCCTTTTCTCAGAGAGAGAAAAAGAGGATTAGTGCCTGCCGGTTATGGATTAGCAATAATATTTCTGTTATTTATGTCCACTTCCTTTTTTTTTTGTCAAATACTTTCTTTTTCTTAGAAAACAATTAAAACTTTAGGTTTTAGATCCGTTTTCTTACATAATTATGTGATTGCATGAGGACCATTGTGTATACTATAAACAATAATGGGGTTGTTTTGAAAATATGTGAAGTTACAAGTACCATTGTACGAAGCAATCTTTCATAAAAACGCTGCGTTTAAAATCATTACTGAGGATTATCTAATGAAAATAACAATTGTGGTTCATGGCTATGTGGGCCAGATATTTTATCACAGGGCCTAAAAATATTCTCCGTCTCTATAGGAATCTCGTAAACACGATGGCACCTTCGTTATCACCAATTAGATCGCACCACGTGGCAGTAATCGGAGCTGGAGCCGCCGGATTAGTCGCGGCGAGAGAGCTTCGACGGGAAGGTCACTCGGTGGTCGTCTTCGAGAGGCAGAAACAAGTCGGAGGAACCTGGATTTACACCGATCATGTCGAGCCGGATCCGTTAAGCGTTGACCCGACCCGACCCGTCGTTCACTCGAGCGTCTATGGCTCTCTCCGGACGAACCTCCCTCGAGAGTGTATGGGATACAGAGACTTCCCGTTCGCGATCCGATCCGGCGTCTCGGAATCCAGAGATCCGAGGAGGTTCCCGAGCCACGGTGAAGTTCTGGCGTATCTGCAGGATTTCTCTAAGGAGTTTGGGATCGAGGAGATGATTCGGTTCGAGACGGCGGTTGTGCGTGTTTCTCCGGCGGCGAAAAGCGACGGCGATGAAGGAATCGGAAAATGGAGAATCGAATCTACAGAGAAGGAGAAGAAAACTCATCGCGATGAGATTTACGACGCTGTTGTTGTTTGTAATGGACATTACATTGAGCCTCGTCTCGCTGAAATTCCTGGTAATCTCAATTGATTTCTCCTCTTGGAATTTCAACATCTTGACTGTGGAAATAGAACTTCACAGGAACAGTGAAGCATAAGCTTCAGTGATAAGTGTGATTGTGATTCATCATCATTTGTGAATTCAAGATCTTGATCTTTGAATAGCTTGGCTTGTTAGGTGTTTCTTTAGTCCTAGAATCTTTGTTTGATCTCAGAAATGTTAGATCGAATGTTGAAACAGAGCTTTATAGAGAACCATTGAATCTAAAGCTTTGATTGTGATGATTTAGGGATAAGTTCTTGGCCAGGGAAGGAGATGCATAGCCATAACTATCGTCTTCCAGAACCTTTCAAAGATCAGGTACTCACTTCAGAGAATCATAGTGTCAGATTCTTCAGAAATGTTATGGTAGAAGATAATGTGAAGATTGATGATACCTTTTGATTAGGTTGTTGTGCTGATTGGGAACTCTGCAAGTGCTGTTGATATAAGCAGAGACATTGCTGGATTCGCCAAAGAGGTTCATGTGGCTTATCGGTCAAATCCAGCTGATACGTTTATCAAACAGCCCGGTTACAGTAACCTGTGGATGCATTCAATGGTTAGTTTAGCGCTTAAGTACTTTACCATCATTAGTTGTTGATCAGAATAACAGTCGATGGTTTCTTGAATCTCATGCACAGATAGAGCGTGTCCATGAAGATGGTTCTGTGGTTTTTCAGAACGGGGAAACGATTCTTGTTGATGTTATCATGCATTGCACTGGTTACAAGTACCACTTCCCGTTTCTTGAAACAAATGGAAATGTTACCGTTGATGATAACCGTGTTGGACCGTTGTACAAAGACGTCTTCCCTCCGGCATTAGCGCCGTGGCTCTCCTTCATGGGAATACCGTGGAAGGTTGTACCGTTTCCGTTGTTTGAGCTGCAAGGCAAGTGGATCGCCGGTGTTTTGTCCGGTCGGATTATGCTTCCGTCTAAGGAAGATATGATGGGAGAGATCAAATCTTTCTACGCAACACTTGAAGCTCAAGGGATCCCAAAGCGATATACTCATCAAATGGGGAATGCTCAAGTAAGAATCTCTTTGACTTATGATTCCGCAACATAAACCGAAACTGAACAGAACCGAATTAACGTCTTTTGTTGTTGTTGTTTCACAGTTTGAGTACAATGATTGGTTGGCTTCACAATGCGGATGCTCAGGAACAGAGGAGTGGAGGAAAGAGATGTATTTGACGACTGGTGTGAGGAGGAGAGCGCATCCAGAGACGTATAGAGACGAATGGGAAGATTATCACTTGGTTTCTCAAGCTTACCAAGATTTCTCTTTGTATACACATTAGCAGAAAGATCCGTTAGAAGTAAATTAATACCCTAAGATATTGTGTTTATACTGCCATTCGTTTCTCAAGAACAGAGGAATGTATAAAACAAAGAGTTTTATTGGCTAATCATCAAGAACATAGGAAGAAATGAAAAAGGAGTCTCTGAAGAAGAGCAACATC